ACCCGTTTAATCACTCCAACCCCCACTTTGGTTACCGCATTTTTTTTTAAAAAAAAAAAAAAAAAAAAAAAAAAAAAAAAAGCACCAGCTAATGGAATATCATTGATTATCTGAATCATGAATGGGAAAGTAAAGGTCAAATAACAGATGAGCTGAGCATGAAGATAAGGTGGGGTAGACGCACCCTGTTCTTTTGAAGAAGAGATAGGGGGCAGTCTAACTCCGAGTTGATAAATAAGCTCGTGCTTTTCCCTTGTGGCAATACCTGGGTGGCCGATAAAGCATGCGACAGGCACGCCGATATCTGAGACTTCATCTCTGCCTGCTGTGCTGTCGCCTTGCGGCAAGTCACACCCGGTCTTTCTAACCCGTAACTCTCCGAACCCAGAGTGTCGTGGGCTCGAACTCCGCATGGCGATCGAGGCGCTTGTACGCGCGATGGAGTTTGAGTCCCAACTCGTAGGATTGGCGTTCGACGTCGGCGAGTTCTGCACGCAGGGTCTCTACCTTGCGCTTCTCCATCTCGCGCTTGCGCACGACGGCATCTGACGCCAGGATATTGTCCGTCGGCATCATCTCCGTCAACTTTCGGATCGCCGTGTTGATGTTGATACGGCGGTTCCCTAGTGCCTCGAGCTGCGCGTTCAGTCCCGTTACTCGGTCTGTGGCCGAGGCTTCTGGGGGCGCTGGGGGCAAAGACTTGTCGACCGTCACGACGGATGCCACGCTTAGGGTTGAATGATTCCCCTCGGGTATCAATCCTCGTGGGGGACGCAGTTCGGAACCTGGAGTTTTTGAGGCTTTTGTGGTTGATGAGACCGTGTAGAACGGTGAATCTAGGTTTATCTTTACTGGTTCCGTCGGCGTCGTTCTCGGCGAGTCTTCGTAACCTGGGATAGTAGGCCGTCTACGGTCGAGCATCGATAGCTCTGGGATTGGCTTTGGAGAGTGTGTAGGCGTAATCATTTGGGTTGTTGTAGACAACGGGGGCTTCTCATCATCGACACCAATGCGAGGGGTGAAGGTCTGATTTGGTGTGGTATTGAGACGTGAGGGTGGTTGTGCCCATTCTCTCGAAGTCGCTGTGGAAGCCTTGGGGGAAGGACCAGATTGCGAATTGTCGGGGTATTGACCCGACGAAGCTCTTGCTGGTTTTCTGCGTATTGCCTTGTCATTCGAGGGCATCTGCAATGGTCTCAATGGCGAAGGAGTTGTAGTACTCGGACCCTGTGCCAGCGGCTGAGTTGCTTGGCCAACTTTCGTTGATAAAGGAGTCGGGTGTGCTGATGGTACTGGGCTTGAGTGAAGGTTTGATGTAGTATTGGGCGACTGTGATGGCCGTGAGGAAGGTGGTGCACCTGGCTTCGCAGTGCTACTCGTTTCATGCTCATGAGACGTAGGGGTTTGCGTATCAGCCTGGTGTGGTGATGAAGCTGCTTCAGACCCATTAGACTCGATAGGTGACAACATCGGAACGCTTCGGTCGGCTTTCTTATCACTCCTCGGCGGCATGTTCAAGGGCGCAACGTTCCGATTATCCCTCACCGGTGCAACAATTGCGGTTCGGCCGCTAGCGCCTCGCCATTCCGGCCGCGGCGCTGGTTCGGGTTGAGGGCTGGCACTACCTTGCCGCATTGGACGTAGGCGGTTGCGAAGTGAAGCTGGATTCGGCGGGGAGGATTCGGCGGGAACTACCCGGTTCGTGAGACCATGTGCATATTCTTGCGGGTTGACTTGAGACGGGCGGCCCTTTGTACTAGTTGTCGGCTCACCTGTCCTAGGGTCCCAGCGAACATCGTGGCCGTAAGGGCGTGGCGGTGTGGTTCGTTCGCGTAACCTGGATTCGCGAATAGAGTCTGCAAGCGCGTCTGAGTTCTTCCTACGCTCGCGGCGCATCATCGGTATATTACTCCGAGGTCCAGTTTTCGCCTGCCGCTCCTGGAAGGGTTGAGGTGCCTCCATCGCTTCATCAATGGGAGAGACATCTCCAGGATATGGTCTAGAATCAGAACTCAAGGTTAGCATGTCGGAAATGTATATTCAAGACATCAAGTTCCTCGACTAGCCCAACATTGCAGCCACCTTGTCATTTACTTTCGTCATTCCAATAGAGGCACAATAGAGTATTGTTGTCCGAGACAGTGCGTTCCTAAGGACAGGGCGAAGTGTCGCAAAAGGAGCCAATATGCGCCACACATCCGAAACAGCTGCCACACCTGTAGGTATTCGATTCTAGACGATCTTCCCCGCGGCATCTCTTCCTGATTCCTTCCGGCACCCGTTGCACAAAAGTAGGAAATCAGACGTTCTTACCCTTCTTTGGGCGAAGTGATATCCGGTGAGCTGGGCGGCGACACCTCCAAAGTATCGGGACGGCCAATGTCATTCCTCAACTGATTTGCCGCAAAAACAGCGGCCTCTGGTGAAGGCTGTGAATACACAGACGAGGTCGGGCGGCCATGAATCGAGTCACGCTGAATTCTGTGGCCGGTCGGCGGTGTCAGGTAAGCTGTTGAGTTCTGCTCCTGTGTTTGCTGCGCACTATGATGCTGCGATGTTAGCATCTTGAGCTGCTGGAGTGTAAGTGGCTTGGAAGCTCTAGTCCGAAAATGAATGCAGAGCGAACGCCAGAAGACCAAAAGCGGAAAACATGCAAGGAAAAGGGACAAGGCAGAGGGTGACACGAGAATCGCACATGTACGGCGGACATGCCGTTGCGATCTGTTGGTAGTCGGTTCGAGGCGTTGGCGAATCGTCAGTGGTCGACGAAGCTGAGGCACCGCATTCGCGGGCCAGATTCCCATGCCCCCCCATGTTCCCGCATTCGAGGCGGCAGCCCACGTAGGTGCAGGGAGGTGCTGAGATAACCCTTGCAGGACTACTGCAGGTCGTCGATTTCTGGGGTCCATCGTCTTCTAAATTAAGGACTTGGCCCCCTGGCGCAATGTCCTGCCTTCCTCAACGAAATCTGGTCATCCCTGGCATCATCATCATCATCCTCGGTGTCGAAGCCTATAGTTATGTGAAATGCTGGATTACACATCTGTTTCGCTACCTCTCGCCCACTTGCTCTTTCCACATGAAGAGATCCATATCCAGGGCTTATCTAAGAGTAGAACGCTGCTAACGTCATGACATCAAGATCTCTACCACTTGGGGGCTGGGGCCAAGTGAAAACTGCGTTGCCTGCTTCCACACTGTGGGAGGGCAAGACAAGACGAGTGGCAAGATAGTAGTGTAGCACTTCGGAAATTCTTTGGGGATACAGAATAATAACTAGGACTTACTTCGCGAGCAGATCGTCGGCATTTTTCGATGGTGTAGGTCCGCCTTTCACTGCATATTGGTATTGGCTATTGCCGCCGATGATGCCACGGGGTGAACCACGAGGTGATGTCTGCGAGTGAGCCGCTTGCCATGCTTCCAATTTCTTCCTGCTGAGAGTGGGGGTGGTGACCTCCTTCGGCCTAAGACGATCCCACATGGTAGCGGTGATGAGTGAGTTTGTTCGTCGTGCAGAGCCTCGATTCAGGACACCTAGTGACCTCGGCCCTTGACAGCTGGGCTTGAGAGAGGATAGCCGCCGCCGATAGGATGCGGGAATCCGCGATTAAATTCTCTATTGGCTTGGAAAACCTGCCAATCTGTATTGAAAAGGTACAGCCGGAGAATACCTAGTCGGATATCAAGGTCTGTCCTGGAGCTGGTGGCTGTGGCTATGGTGATTATCACTCGTCAAGTTAATCGTGTTCTGGGTAAGGTTAATAATTTCCAGTAATTGGCCTCATTGGCTTACGGCAGAAAATGGCCGTAGGTAATTTGGGGGTGGAGAAATATTGGTCGATACATTTAAGTAGATGGGAAGGTCGGTAGTACCATAGCGACCATGTACGGTGCGGTGCGGTGCGGTGCAGTGCAGTACAACAACGCGAGTGAGCGCAATTGTTCGTATTTAAAGGCTGCTTGCTCTGATCATGTTTTACGCGCGTGCAGCTGTTTGTGGTGACTTTTGGTGACCACTCAACATCAGTATCTGGTCCCGATCCAAATCTGGCTCCCCCATTAACCGCATTGCCAGAATCAACAAGCCAGCGTCAACCTGTTTGCATTCCATGATTGGCTCGCTGTCGCGCTACTACAAGGGGACTTAGTCTTCAGGCGGTTGTTGCAGATGGAGCTGCCACGATCCTATCGACTGGCCATCTCCGGACAGGTAGCACAAGTAGCACAAGTCGTCAGTCATCGCCCAGCGCACCCCCTTATCTCGCCCTTCTCTCCCCTTTCTCTTCCTCGCCGAAGCCTGGATGATGAGGCCTGGATGGGGCACATGGATTCGAAGCATGTCTTTGCTTTCCGAAAGGCACGGCTCGTCTTCGTCTGAAACTACACCACAGCATCGTCCCCTCCGTATAACTACATATCTAGGTACGTATACATGCCACTTTCGTCCCACCAGGTATCACAGTACCCATTGTGCCCGTTGAGGTACTTTCAGGCGTAGGGCTATGGCGGGTGGTGGAGGTACTGTAGAGGTATTGCTTGGGTATAATTAATTTGTAGTATTAGCTGATAATCCGGGAATTTTAAGTGGGAAGTGTCATAGCTCGATATCCGGTGTCCTTACAGTCACACCATGCCGCAATTGATTCATTGACATCTCATCCCACCTACAGTTGACGATCATCCATCCCATGAGACAGCCGAGGTTGCCGATGCAGAGGGAAGAAGAAGCCAACACAGTGAGGCATATCGGCCTTTATTGCTCCAACCGACCGATTGCAGATAAGGACCAAATGTAAGTAGCGTGATAAAGTTACATGATGACTGTCTAATTAGATCCTGATTTCGCGAGGAGACCTACCTACTGTACTGTAGTGTACATAGTAGTGGAGGTACATATATGAAGAAAGGCTAGCGGAGTAGTGCATAGCTGTTTCACATTACCCAGGCACATCCTAGCGCAGTCGTAGGTACTTACATTCAAGACGTGGTTCCTGATCGACAGGTCGCTAAATAGATACCTACCAAATTACCAAGAATTTATTCTAGCTAGGCATCACGATGATGTGTGTGTCCCTGAGCACTTGGTACATTGCCAGAAGTGTTATCTGGTGTTATCGGCACCCTCTAAAATACCTAGGTACTTATAAGAATCTAAGCAACAACATCCCCTACATATGATTAGACTACCTACCCAGAGATACTGTAGTCTACCTGGGTAGCCTGTCCTGTTAAGGTAGGAAAGAATCGCGTCTGCTCCTTTCATCTTCAATCGACTTCAAATGTGTAGAAAGCCTGGGGGCGTTGGTAGGTACATAATGTAGGTACTGTACTTAACTAGAGATAGCATCTGAAACTCGAATGGCAGATATCTAGCCCTACCTACACAAGTTATGCAGTTATCCGTGCAAGCACGGCTCAATATCGGCATAAGGCTTACCCACGAAAAAAAGCGCCCGCTTGTGAGGGGCCATGTTTTAACGACTCGCTTTCCAAAAAATTGCCCCTCCTGGCCTGAGCGCCCATTCGCAGAGCAGCAGTCACAAAATTCGTAACCTTTCCCACCCCTTGGGAAATTCGACATCGACCGTTCGGCCCTACGGATTCGATCCCGACTGCCCTCAGCCGACCCTTTTTATACCACCTCCGCCCACTCCGTTCCCTCAACCAGACACGGGAGGATTTCAAGTCACGACAAAGGAGCATATCGAGCCTAGCAGGACCAACCAAGGCAAAATGGCGGCACCCCACCAGCCGCAGCTCGTCTTTGTTGACGGCAGCTTTGAGGAGCTAGCCCAGGAGATGGCCGATTTCCTCAACGTCGGCGACGATGTCAAGGCTCTGATCGAAAAGAGCCAGAAGGATGAAGTACTCAAGAAGCTCATCATCGCCTCTCCAGCCCTACATTCTATTCCCGAGAAGGAGTTCGCTGGCGCATATAACCTCCTCGTCTACCTAATTCTCCAGAGCGACAATGCCGACAAACTCCTTCCCCGAGTCTGTGACAATCTCTCAAAACCAATAACTTCGTCCCCTATGAATGGCCCCGGCTTGGCTCTCAACACACTCACCACTATTTTCAACATGCTGAAGCCCGATGATGACCTCCGATTCAACGTCTTCATGGCCATCTTGCGATTCCTCAAGGTCCACGGAATGTTCGAGAACCTGAAGCCATACCTGAAGAGTCTTGACGACTGGATGGCCGAGTGGGAGACTGATCCGGAAGACCAGCGTCAGGCATACGAGGCCATTGCGGAGACGGCTCGTGACGCTGGTGATGCTTCGTAGGTGCTTATTCTACATACCTCACATTTTTCCGTCTTTAACATGAGTAACACAACAGTACCTCCTACCAATATATCCTTAAAGCGTTGCGGAACTTTGGGGATGCCGAAGTCAAGTCTGAGGCCGCCCAAAAGATAGCTCTACGTGCCCTGAAGACGGCACTTCTCTCACCAACGCAATACGACTTCCAAGACCTACTTAATGTACCTTGTGTCCAAGCGCTTTCCGAGACTCACCCTGTCTACTTTGAGCTGTTGACGGTATTTGCCGAAAAGGATTTGGAAGACTTCAATCAGTTTAGAGAAGAGCATGAAGGATTTATTGAGAAGGAACATTTGGATCTAGAAAAGCTACAGACGAAGATGCGGCTACTGACATTCACGTCTCTTGCTGCCCGGTCGCAAACACGCGAAATTCCCTATGACGAGATTGCCGAGGCACTACAGATCTCGAAGGAGGTGGTCGAATTATGGATAATCGACGTTATTCGTGCGCAATTAGTCGAAGGGAGGATGTCGCAGCAAAAGAAAGTTTTCTTAGTTCACCGAACAACATACAGAGTCTTTGGCGAGAAGCAATGGCGCCAACTAGGAGACCTTGTAGACACATGGAGAGATACCCTACAAAAGGTGGCAGCCACATTGCGTAAGGAGCAAGCAGGGCTTGAAGCTCAGAAGAAGCGCGATTTGGAGGAGGCTGAGCGGAAGCTGGCAAACACCAGCGTCTCTGGGCCGGGAGACCGGCGACGAGGTGACAGGGGAGACCGTGGCGATCGGAATGAACGGGCGCCTCGTAAGGAGCGAACCGACGATGACGACTAGATGACTTGTTCTTTTCTCTTCGCCTTTTTCGGTTATCGGCTCTCAGTCGATTGCATACCTAGGGAAGGTCATTTCGGCGTATGGTATGGCGATGCGGAAAAGGCTTTGTTGTAATGAATTATGCGAGTTTGAATTTTTGGCATCCGGGGCTTCAACTGAGGTATTTAATACCGTATATCTCCCCATTCTCCATTTGACGAAAAGCCGGGATTATAAAGTAGAAGGTTACTTACATACCGGTTCGTCTTGGCCGTTGACGGAATCCCACAAATTATAGAGGCTGGGTGGAAATACTAGAATAACACACCAGAACCCTATGAGCAAAGGCAGTTTTGGAGTTGTCTAGTTACTATGTCATGGGATGTCATGGGACCGTGAAACGCTATCTAGACCGCCAATCCAAAATTACAATGCCACAGCTGACTATTTCTATCTGAAGCTCTTGAGTGTCTATGTATGTATGGTTTTCTTTTCTTTTCTTTCTATACTTATCCGTTTTCGCCATGCGTGTGTCTCAGACAATCGCTAGCTGTCCTCAATCTGTCGCGATCGCTATTCCCGCCAACCAGCTCCTTCATCTAAAAGTTGTCACCTAAGCGCTTGACGAGCTCGGCCTGCGTGGCACGGAAGACATCGTCGGGCGGAACGTTGGCGCGGATGCGGACGACGCGGTTTTGCTTCTCGTAGTAGTCGACGACGGGCATGCTCGTCTCAATGAAGGTGCGGAAGCGCTTGCGGATGCTCTCGGCGTTGTCGTCCTCGCGGCCGCTCGTCTTGCCGCGCTCGAGCAGGCGGCGCTCCATCTCCTCCTCAGGACAATCGTAGAAGAGGACAAACTTGGCGGGACACACAGCCTCCTCGAACTTGACGGCCTGGTCGAACTTGCGAGGGAACCCGTCGATGAGGAACTTGCCCTTTAACGGAGCATTCTTCGTGGCCGGGGTGGCGATGGCGGATGTGTCGTTGGTAATGGTGGTGTCTTTGTTCTCGGCCGCGGCGTTCATGGCGTCGCGCATGGCGTTCTCTAGCAGCACGATGGTCACCTCCATAGGCACAATCAACCCGTTTTTAATGTAGTCCTTGATCAACTCGCCGTACTCGCTTCCCGCGCGGTTTTGCTCGGCGCGCAGGAGGTCGCCAGCCGATAGGTGGGTGAAGCCGTAGGAGGCGACCAGCCGTTCGCATTGCGTACCCTTGCCCGCGCCCGGTCCACCGAGCACGAACAGCACGGTCACGTCATCGGCAGAGAAGACGGGCGTCGTGCGGTTCTTGAGATCGTCGATAGCGGGCATGTTGCTAGATTTATTTATTTCTTTTTCCTTTTTTTTCTTACTTCGTGCTCTGTAATCGGATCCCTTGTAGGACGATTGGAGGAATTTCTCTCCTTACTAGCTCGTTGCTTACGGCGGATATGTTGTCGTCGTAGGAAAAGACGCGGCGAGGTAGATATATCAGATCAGTAGATGAGGGGTAGCACTGGGTACGTCCACTAACTGCCAACAATCAGAAGGAAACAATGGCTTGATAAGTCTGGACCACAAGTGAAGGCTGGGCTAGAGACTGTGCTTGAGGTATAAAGAGCCGTCTGCTTTTCTGGTTAGGAAGGATACGTATGGAATAATATTAATACTAATGATAATAGGAGGAGCAGAACAAGGAGGGATAATTTGACCAATGTGACCTACCTAGTGACCTAGTAAGGCTAAAATACCTGCTGTAGGCTGGGTTACTCTTAGGCTCGGTAGGCTATGTAGTACTAATTTCTAGACTTACCTACCCACGTACTTACAACGCTCGCTGTATGGAATCATGTCCCATGTCCCGCATACGGTAAATACGACGCTGCGCTATGCAACGGTTTTTGCAATGGCGTTCTCAGGCTGCCGCCGCTGCTGCTGTTTTTGCTGGTGGTGGCAGGCTGCAAATGCTCTGCTGTAAAATGCTGCAAATGCAAGCCCCTCCCCCCACTTATTCACCCCCAACCGCGGTGCTGGCGCCGCTCTGGCTCTGGCTCTGGCCCCTTCCCCTTAAAAGCCGTGAGATTGGCCTCTCTCACCTTACTGAAAAGAAAGATTAGCTATTTCCTGTATTATGACCTGAGATGAGGTTTGTAAAGGCTAATATCTCCACATGAGATAAAAGGGCGAAATGTTAGGGCGCACAGTGAAGACGAGGGTGGCTTAGGGTCTCCTAGCTACCGGTATGTACCTACCGAGGTTATCTTAAGAACTGGCTGCATCATATCATGACATATATCACTATATAGACATCCTGCAATTGCCGCTTCTCTCTCTAACCAACAGACAGTGCCAATCGCATCAGCAACACTAGCAAATAACCTGATATAAGATCTATTAGATTTACACTAATGACGACCCCCTTCTCGTATAGGATGTACAGCATTCTAAACACCTTTGTTATACAGGCTGCTGTAAAGATATGACGACCTAAACCATACATCATTGACCTAGATAGGGCCAGGCAACTTTGGTGTTGAGCTTTAACCAGCTATGACGACGACTCGCTTGTACCAACCAAGTGGTTTTCGGTCGTCTTATTTGTTAGGGATCTCATTTCTTGCAATGGGAGCGCGACTAATGTCATTCATATGAGTATCAAAATTCATCTCATAGGTTTCCGGTGTGGTTTAGATAGGTACCTAGGTAGGTAGTAGGTTGGAACTTACCCTTGACCAGCCCTTGTTTTGCTCACGTACGCAAAGGCGCCTGTTCCGACAATGATGATGGCTAGGAAGGGCCAGAACTTAACGGTGGTGTTCGGTCCCCGCCGTGGCTGTGAGCTGTAGGCCATACTTGATAATCTCGAGCCTCGGACAGGTGCCCTTGTAGTCAGGTGAGACAATGCCGTGGCCGTTGTGATTGTAGCCATTTTGTGTTGTAGGGACATCTGATGTGATATGGATTACACCGGGTTTTGGGCAGATGAGATTAGGTACGCCGAGCGCACTGCTGCGGTAGAGCCTCCTCACTGCCAACAAGCTGACTGATACCGGAGAACGTAAAGGGTATCTTGTATGGATTTGTTTCCGCAGTCGCAAGTCGATGAGTTCATTGATATAGAATCAAAAGCTCCGTCTCGCCATCTCTGATTAAGCTAAGCGATTTGATACCTAGCAAGGCACAACTGCTAGCGGCTGTTGCCTGCACCCTGCCGGCTGCTAGATCTGGACAAGATACCTTTGACAAGCATGGAGCGAGTACGGAAATCTCTTCAGTCTGCTTTTGAGAGTTTACCGACCACTAGTTTAAGTATGCTGAGTTGTCTACCTGTAGAAAATCTAATGCTAGCCCTCCACGAGCTTGATGTTCATTCTTATTTTCGCTTTCTTTAAGTTAACCGGTAAGCCTGCGTAGTAACCACTGATTCCTAGAAATATAACCTAGTCTCAAAGCATGTATTAGAGAGCCTGCGAAGACTTCTGCGTGCGGAACTCGCTCCATACTTCACTATTAGATGTCATTTATACCCCTTAACACGCATATTGATCTAATTTTCAGTTCAAGTCAATACCTGACCTACCTCTAACAGGTGGCCAGAGAGGTCGGCCGTCACAAGCTCTAGTCTAGCACCTACACAGACGTCACGCGCGAAATTACCTACATAGGTAGTCTATTCAAGCCTTCCGATAGGGTAGTCTCGTGTACATCGTGAATGGCAGTAAATTGACTTCAACCCTGAAGCGTTGGCGACGTCCGGGCCCAAGACTCAGATAACACCAAAGAATACACCTCCACGACCACCACATACAAACACACACATACACGAGGTAATATTTTCTGCTCGTATTAGAGGTGAACTTGCTATCTCTTGCTGTACTACCATCACTACCAGCCGACGTCTAGAATCATTATATGCACGTGGAAAATGGGTCTTATGACGGACCGCAACAGTAAAGCAATAATGGGCCCATCCACCGGAACTCCAAGCACCGGTACAGAAATCACGAAAAACGACGAAATTGCAAGTCATAGGTCTTAAGACGATCCTGTAAATTGGCCGTCCGGATCCTCGGAGAATATGCACACAGCCTTGCTCGGGAGCGGACCCAACCGTACATCCGCGCGAGACGAGAAAAAACACCGGGTTTCGTTTCATCTAAGCCACCTCGAATAGGTCGCGCTCAGCCAAACGATCAAACAGAGGAACGAGAGAAAAAAAAAAAAAAGACTTCGTAATCCGCAGACACGCAAACGATATGTGCTACAGACATACATCTGCCTGCTAATAATGTATATCGCAATTACCCATCTCGGATACGCACACGATGATGCCGTATGTCCGCTTGTGCAAACGAGAATGCGCCGCCGACACAACCCGAGTTTCACGCCGCCTACATCGTAGTGGAGTGAGGGTTTATTTATTTCCATTTATTTTTATAATCATTATTCCTCGGGCACAGCGCTGGAAAACAAGTTTGGTGGGTGATTACGAACGAAGTCATTTTGAACGAGAGTTGAGTCGTGTGGATTGATGCAAGTTGAACAACATGTAATACCTAAGGACTAATAACAGCAGAGAGACAGGTAGATAACCATCATGAATGAACCAAAAAATCACCGTACAAACGCATGTGCAGAAGATTTGCTTTGTCCATAGTTTTTTATTTGGGGAGCACAGCAAATAGATTTGCTGGTTTGCTATGATAGTAAGGTATGTTGTAATTAGATAGTTACACTTAAATAAGGAGAAATAGGGCAGCATGTAAGTGAGGACTAAGTCAACTAGCTGACTTGACAGACCGTAAAATAAAGGTATCTCTTTCTTCCGTCCCAATAATTGATTGATAATAAAAGTTTCTCAAATGACTCCGTTAAACGCCGCGCGCAGTCGCCCTGATCGCTCGCGCATGGGTATAATAATATGATCGCGAGAAAGGCGCAGCAAACCCACCCCGTCCAGAATAAACCATCACTCACTTCGACAACGCTCGTTGCATCTCATGGATATCGTACACCCTCCTCTAACTCATAAATCCAGTCCCTTGCCTCAGGTATTATTCCCATCACCTTGATGAGTATCCGATACCTGGCTGGGGGTTTTTGACGGCAGCGTCGGCATACGCCCCAGGTATGGGCACAGCGTCATACTGCTGTTCGCCAGGCGCAAGCGTAGTGAAGTTATTTTCGGGAGGAGAGCTGGAAGTCGGCGTGAACGCGCCTTGTGCAACCTTGGGAGTGGCTGAGCGTGCCTTGGTAGGTGGTGCCTGCAGCTTGAAGGGCTTCTCAGCAGGCTTAGCAACGGTGGCCTGGGTTGCGAAGGATGATGGTGGTTCGGCGACAGGAGCACCGGGAGTAAAGGTCGGGGCCTTGGACACCTCGGAGAGCGAGTTGAAGGCGGAAGGTGGGAAGCGCGGCGACATGGCGTATTGTGAGAAAGCAGGGGATTTAGGACCGAAGCCTGGAGTGTTCGGCGCCGATTGTGAACGCAATTGCGCCAAATAGAGGTCCGAGCGGGCGCGGTCGCGCATGTCCATGGACTTAGTTAGCTTGCGCTTCGTGATGTATCGAAAGAATACGATGCTGTAAAGTGTGATGGTGAAAACATCGAGAACGATTTCGATGAGCGCGCAGATCAGAGACCAATTCTATAAGATGAATCAATTAGCTATCATAACAGGGACAAGACGCCAATGGCCAAGGCCGCGATGGTATATGAACTCACCTGAAGTCGGCAGACGAGGGCATAGTCCACCTTTTCTGAGAAGATCTCGGCTCTCTTGTTTTCAACGCATGACCACCCCCATAAATCCTTATTGCCGCTGTTGTTGCGGGTGAACTGAAGGATGCCGGCAGCAGCGGCCCACAGGATCGATGATGCGATGAACCAGCCAACTGCAAATAGTGTGTAGTAAACACCGACTTTTTCGGCTCTGCGGTGACCTCCTCTTAGGTAGCCGAAGAAAATGAGAATGCAAAGAAGAAGATTTACGCCAGAGACCGAGAGCACGACGATCTGAGGCCACAGCTGTGTGCCTTCAGCCCAGGCTGGAAGGCCACTCTGCGGCGCAAGTGACTTTGTGGCGCTGAAGACGTGAAAGGAGGCCGCAATCAGAGAGATGATGATCAAGCTGCAGCTAAAGCTAATACCACGAAGAGCGAATTTGGCTAATCTGACCCTGTACTTAAGACCCTGTGGAAAGGTAAGTAAGACGACATGGCTCGCTATTGCTGGTTGGACTTACAACATCCCGTTTCTGCGCCGCCTCAGTGTCTTTTTCTCGAGCTTCAAGAATCTCCTCTTCTCTAAAGGTTGGGCTTAGAGGATTCTCTAACTTCCTGCCTGGAGTCCCGGGCACTTTCATGGCACTTTTCAATGGTGTTTTCGGTGTCATGGGTACATTGACAGTTTGTGTTCGCGTATCATCATTGATGTATCCAAACCCTACATCGGCTGGCTGAGCCTGTGTACCATCTCGATTTTCATCCTGGCCAACAAATGGGTTGCTTATTTGTGGCTCAATGGGAGAGTATACAGTAGTAGCCTCCGCGAATCTAGGGGTCCTTGGCGGCTTCAGCGAGGACGTGCTACTATATGACCCATTTGTTGAAGACGACCTTGAAGGTGTCAGGTTGAGGGCGACAGGCCTCCTCTTCTCGTCCTGGGATGCCATTGTGATTTTGTGTATGATAATAGTATGAACAAAAGAACAATTGCTCGTCCCTGCGAGGCAGTGCAGTAAGAGGCTGCTTCACGAACTAAAGTAAACGAAGTTGTAGTTCGATATAAGGATGAAGCAACCCTGAGAAGAAAAGTATATAGAGGCCAGCTAGCGAAGAAAAGGAATCTCCAAGGTCGGAGACGGGAGGAAGGGATAGGTTTTGAATAAGCGCCCTCGGGTGTGCTACGAGTTCATTCGAGCTTCTCTAAGGCTTCTGCATACACGGGTAGTGGGGATAGTCCAGCGGGCAACATGCAATGAGATGGCTCAGGCTGGCCTAGGGTCCTCGTGGTCTCTTACAAAGAATGCCTCTGATAGGGTGGCTAGGAAAGAACTCCAATCTCGGGTGGGCGAGTCTAGTGTGGATAGACGCCGTAGGTAGGTAACAAACGGGATGGGACCACACGATGATGGGTTGACTGTATTCGGAGAGCTCCCAGATCACCAATCAACACAAGTTTCACAGCTTGCTGGAACAAGTTGCAGATATTGAAGACACAGGATGGCTATGGCCAGCACTGCAGAAAGGAAAGCAAAAGTTGAGAATGGAGGAGGGAATTCCGGCACGACTGTGATTACCGTACTCCATGGGCATGAGGAGAAGAAGAAGAAACGGAGCACAACAGGTAACGGGTGCTCTTTGGACCAGTGGACAAGGTACGGTATTCCACGCCTAGCCTTAGTTACCCGACAGGCCAAATCAAGGCGGGAGGACATGTTGGACTGGCGTTATGGCGGCCCCCAATCACGGCGAGCAGCAAAGTCCAGGCTGTTGGGATGCAATGGCGACTATCACGATGAAGATGCGGACAACGGCTGAGTGGCTCGCAGAGTCGCAGCGGACCGGGATGTGGCCGGGGATGTGAGCAGGGGTTGTCTCTCGGCGTCGAGCGGAGAGACAGAGAGACGGCTCTGGTTGGACGAGCAGGCTACCAGGGACAGGCCAGGGAGAGGCCGGGCGCCAGAAGACAGCGCTTCGCAGCGACGCTACGAGACCCTGGTCGGCGATCCACGCATCTCATAGGTCTATCGCGGGCAGAGGCCATCCGTGTGCTGCATGCAAGAGCAGACCAGAGCTCGAGCATCCACCAATCACGAGGGCCAGAGACGTGATGTCGCCAACCGCCTGCATCCATCAAATCGATCCCGGGCGGTAAAGTGAGTGGTCTCGGTGGTGTGCGCGAGATACCGTACCTACCTACAGTACACGGTAGCTTCTGGTAGAGATATCACCCTGCGAAGTACGACGAATACATACAAAGTAAAATAGAGATGTATGTGGTAGGGAGCGGTGTATCCATCTGTACCTACTTACCTACAGAAATGCTAATTGCAGTCGAATGCGCCGATGGCAAATTCCAGCCCAGCCTTCGTCTCCCTTCCCCCCTCTTGCTCGCTCTCGCTCTCTCCCGATACCATCCCATTTGTATCCATCCTCACATGCAAAAAGGACTCTTTTCGTGCTGCGGTACCACCATGAAATAGTACGTAGGTATGTGAGTTTGAAAGGAGATGTCCGACCAAATTTCAAGTGTGAGCTAGGAACACGCTTGATGCGGCCCGTTGGCCTCATGGCCGCCATCTATCGTCGTCGGCCGCATATGCATGTGCAGTTGCTTAATAGCATACCTTTAACCCCCTTCCAATGTTATACCTACAGCTGCTCTGCCAACATTTAATGACATACTATATATACATATTTGGGTAGTAGATAGGGGCACGTCGTCTTGGGGTCCAAAGATCTACCGTAGGTATCTATCTGTGTCCTGTTACGACGAACTCAGATTGCCCCGTAACACATACATAGTAGACAGATGGTAGTGTGCATCATCTAGTGCACACCACCAAAGTATTTTTAGATTGTTTTGAGCGTGGAAGCCAATAAGGCGATGGCAACCGCAATCGTTGAAGGATATAATACTACACACCATCCGTCGGTTTGTAAGACCGTCGTCCCCGCAGTTGTGAGCATGACACTGAATATGTATATAATTAACCTCGAACGAACCCATTTCTACGCAATAACCCGCAAGTACTACACGTTGGACTCACAATGTTGATCGTGGAGGGTATAAGAGATTACTTACTACCATTCACGTTTATGCTGACTGTATCGAGGAGCTGAAAGGCTTTCATCATCTAGACGAATCATTTTCGAACTTCGACGGACGCTTTCAACGCAGGACAATCGTCGATACCGGGCACTCTTTTATTGTTCGATCATTTCTTTTCCATCCTGGAAACTTTCGCTCATTTAGTGCTGAAAGTACGGATGCAATGGTAAGCTGGTGATACTAGCAGTAAACACAATGATATAATTAGTAAAACATAGTGAGCTTCCATGATTGTTAAGTCCATGTAGTGCAGTTGATCCAAATTTGTGTTTTCAACATATTTCTTGAGGCGAGCCCCCAAGTTCTAGGTGGCGTCTATTCCCGAACAACGTTCATAGTTCATCCTGTTAAGTCTTTGAGGGACACTTGATGCTAGGCACCGCGATCGATTTGTAAAACTGGCACAGCACACTGATTCAGTAGCTTTATCCCCGGCCATGACTCAATACCTACTGAACAACTTTTCGGGTCGAGACGAAGTGAAAAATAGAAATGTCGATCTGTATTTTGGACGTGTTAACTTGCGGCTACAGCATATGCTTAAACACTTTATCATACAATCATGAGCACGCTGAGTTTCAGTTCCATTTTGGCGTATTAAGATTTATAGAGTGGCTTCATACCTAGCAAAGTCTTATTATTGACAGGCTGTTCCCAATGGTGCACTCTCTAGTTCAACGGCAATGATGAAGCGGCTAAGGCGGCTACAACAAAAGTCGCTGCCACAATGATTAGAGAAACTCGATGTACAATAAAACCAGAGGCATATTTGTCTCCTAATATATAGGTCTAAATTCTCTCTTCAGACTAAATTTTATTATCCTAGTATATCATATCCACGACCCCTGTTAGGTCAATTAGATTCAGGTTTAATCTACCTATGCTGCATTCGTGTGCGTCCTATAGTAAGAGCCTTGGGGGTATTATGTCGCACACATGAACATCATCATCCAAGTGGGGAGATATGTTGTAAGTTGGTATGTCATTTAAGTGATAACATAGAGACATCGGAGAAATTGAAGGTTAAATTGAAGACTCCTAGGAGAGAAGGTATCACTAGGTTTTGGCATACCGTACGTTGTAGTGCTGAGCATGGCAACCCAGTATAAGAAAAGAAACCGAGCACCAAGACTACAACAATCCTTTGGAGTAGCTTCAAGAATCAATTCACTAAAGTAAAAGCCCGAGCACTTCCGACTCTTGTACTTACACATTAATATCCTATCTAAGCTCCAACACCAACTTAGCCAAAATGTTGATTCTCATTGCAGGAAGACCACAGCACCTATACACGGTGTGCCAGTCTATAGAGGTGGCAGTAACAGCTACTACGCATGATAGTCCTGCCTTGTCATCAAAAACGGATATTGGAAAAGGAGGGTCAGCCAACAGGCTAATGAAATATTCCATTGTAAAATCGCGCAACTCCGAACAACATGGAATGAATGACTGATCATTTATGCCGTTAGCTTGTCTCAAGTTTCTTTAGCAAGCTACTACTTCAACTAATAACGACAAGTTATCACGGGGTTGGCTTCGCAGCCCATTGACAAGACGACTGACGACGATCAGAGCTTTAAACCAAATTCTTAAGGACCCTCACGTGCGATGTTAGAGATCATCGAAAATCACCGCTGTCACCATATTCACACGTAGAATAAAACAATCTATCTCCAAATCTAGACGATGTGCTAGTAGTCACATAGGTACAGATACACGCCCATCATGTGTCAGTATAGTGTACCTACAGCGTCAATCAACCGATTGCTAGATACATCTATACCAGCTATAATTTTACTTGGTTGTGCCCCAGCTGTACTCCAACCTACCCATAAATATACAACAAACATATGTGGCACATATCGTACACGCGTAAGCACGTCGACTTACCCTACTTCAGTCGTTGTGCTCCAAGTAGAGTAGGCCAGAGGCTAGAAGCGAAGGTATTCGGACTCCTTACATAGGTAACCTCGACAACTCAGACAGCTTGCACGACGGAGAGGCGGACGATGAGGAGGACAAAGACATACATACTGCTACATAGATTTTAATTCCCTGGCCTACCTGCTTACCTACCTGCCTGATGTGTCACGAAATATTAAAATGAAAAGCTATAACAATGACCAACCTTATACTATAGCAGCTTCTTGTCTCTTTTTCTCTATTTATTAAAAGTTTGATAGCCGGTTGTAAATTCTCATTTTGATATGATAAGCTACTTGAAGCATATCAGTTATTCATCTAGTCGATGTTGCTCCATGTATATATATCAAGACGATAGGATGGTTTTGTTCTGGATACCGACCAGTCTAGACAGTGACTGCAGAACCGCTTTGTGTGGGTATTAATTAGGGTGTCATTAGATTAAATCGTTTCAAGGGTATTCCTCCTCATTTTCTCGTCTTCCGCGCGTGCTTCACGAGATTTTCTATAACACCTTCAAATGCTTCCCTGTCGCCAATCCTCTCATCTGTGCGTTTCTTCCAGTACTCATGCACTTGATTCGCCAATACTTCCATGTCTTGAAGCTTCCTCACATGTTGTTGAAGTTCAATGTCGGTCATTCCTCTCAGGGCCTCCTCTGTGGTGGCACACAGTTGTTTTGCCGCAACCAAGTCAAACTCCGGGACCTGGGGAGAAACTTTCCGCCTTTTCGAGCCGGATCTGGGCTTCTCCTTGCCTTGGGAGTCGACCGATACCGACGATCCGTTAGCGTCTGATTTCCGCAGTCGGGATACTGAACGTGAGTCTGTGGAAGTTCGGAGTGAACCGTTTGATGTAATACGGTGAAGAGATGGAAGCACTAGTTTTTTCTGTTTGGAGGCGGGAAGAATCTCGTCTAGGTCTACAGGCACTCCGAGCGATACTAAGAAGAGTCTCCTAATGCGTGACCGAATCCAGTCGGGAGGTTGAAGAGGAGGTGGGGCAGCCAACTGTGACCACAATGATGCGCTCCTCGGGTTGAAGAAAATAGGGTTGTCATTTGGAGGTGCGGGCAAAGGGGGGATTTCGAGTACGTCAGGTGGGTATAATGCATCCAAAAAAGGGTCAGAGGCGGTCAGGATGTCTTCAGAGTCTAGCCCCTCAAGATCTAATAATGGCTTTGGACACGCAAAAGTCAGCATGGCTGCGATATGGCTATCTAAGGAGGGTACTAGACACACAAAGGAAGGTATGGAAACTTGTGGCTGGTTCATCAGCGACTGAGCCGGGGTAGGCTCAGTAGCCTGCTGAAAGCCATCATCAAAATCGCCGAAATCTGCATCTTCGCCACCCTCTTCGAATTCGTCAAAATCGTCACCAAAATCGTCATCGTCATCAGCATCATCATCATCATCATTTGTCGCATCGTCGCGAAGGCTTGTGACTGGACTGGCTGCCGAAGACTTTCTCCGTCCATGTGTGGAAGGGTGCTTCAACACTTGATCTACAGCCGTATCATCTATCCAAGGCACGTCAATCGCAGTGCGGGTTTTTAGGAGGACTTGGTTGCCGTACCGGTGTCTTGTATATTGGCGTCTAACGGAGCAGGAATAGGATTAGCCTCACCAGTGCCATCAGGCTTCCGGATGATGTCTGGGGTGGCATCTGCCTGGTGTAAGTCGTCATGATAGTTGTGAGTCGAAGAGCCAGGTACGTCGTCAGTCACATCGACTACCGTCTTGGGAATGGCGGTGCTCTGGGATATGGTATTGTGATTCGATGACGGAAGCGGAGACTGGTCATCTTGTACAATGGCTATTTCATCAGGCGACGCATCCTCTGTTCTTTTGTCATAAGCCTCGGTGCCTGGAACCTCTCCGTAGGAAGGCTCGTCATCCACTCTCTCAACTCGAGTTCTGGGTATGGGAGAAGCGGCGCGGGCTTTATCTCTAGGGGACGACCGGGCATCGGAAAAGTGATCGTCTGAATCAGAGCTTTCTGTAGCAACGAGTGTTAGGAAGGATAGTTAGGACTGGGTGAAATGTGCTTTACCTAGTTCATGTGCGCCATGGTCTTCAGTCCCCGTCCTTTTGGGCGCCTCAAGACTAGACGAAGGTCTGCGCTCTCCAGACATGGCGAATGATGGCGGGAGACCGGCTAGCAAGCTGGTGATGCTCGGAAGCTTAGATTGGCGTTGGAGTTGGAGGCTCAACTGCTCAATGGTGGCGCATAACAATGGTTGAGGGGTAGAAAGTAGCGGCTCAAGCGGACAGCAAGGAGACGGCGTAATGCGGCGGGAGGTTGTGGTAGGCTCAATAGACGGAGAGCATGACCGAACGAGATGGATCGATTGCCAGAGGGTCTAGGTGGACTGGAAGCTAAAAGCTTATACAGATACCTGGCTTAATTGCACCCTAACCTACTCAGCTCCCTTGAGGCTAATGGGCGGATGCTCAGGATCGGGATTGCAGTTGGAAGATCGGAGACACTTGGACATAGACATTGAACATGAAGCTGGACCGCTGCAGGGCCTCGCAGTAGGTGTGCCGTGGCCTACGGGTCTACTGCGGGAAAGGCCTGGTTAAGGGATTGATCGACCTTAGCTATCCTGCTAATGTACTTGAATATGGAGGTACTCAGCAGGAGCAGTACTTGCCTCACAGAGAGTGGTACCGTGCTGGCGGCGGTACCTATATAGATGCAGTCTAGACCGCCGGGGTTGATGATAGGGCCCATAATGGAAAGGCCCAAGGCGATCTCAGCTATCAGACACCGCTGTAAGGTGTGCACGGACGGTGCAGTTTACATGTACTCAAGCGCGCAGGTACCTGAGAGATATGCAGGGCTTGGTCCAAGCTCCCCCCTAGGTAAATAGTATCTGAGGCCATCAACTGCCAGCCACCCGCAAGTGCTGATCCAGCTGCCAACCACCGACAAGCGCGTCCCTAGCTATCCTCAAGCTACTAACGAGCCTGGTCGCGCGAAAAGTTGGTCGTCGATATAGGTAAATAGTACCTATTATTACTACCTACGTAGCCTACCTCCAGAAGAAGAGTATTGTGATTCTCCAGATTGTCCAGGCGACGGACGGAGCGGCTGGCCATATCAGAGCCTCTTTTTCTTCTGTTTCTAGCAACATCTAGGCCTCATCATCTACCACATACCCATTCACGAAGCTAGACACCTCGTTTCTTCTCCCGTCACCTCGCCGGTACCGACATCCCAATCCAATCCAGCCGATTCGGTTGTATACCTATATTCACCGCAACTTGGGGATGACCATATAGATACTTGTGACGCGCAGTTCGTCGAATCGTTGCCTTTCCACCTCGTAACATCCGATAGAATCGTCTCTACGCCCGAGTCAACTGCATCCTAGCCTCGCACCAATGTCGTCGTTCTCCTTTGGTGCCTCAAGCTCTTCGGGGCAAACCAACAACAATGCAACCACCTCTAGTGCGCCAAGCAGCGGCGGTCTGTTTGGCTCATCAACAACACCCACAACTTCGGGTGGTCTTTTCGGTAACCAATCTAAACCCGCTGCTGCCTTCTCCTTCGGAAACACAGCTGGAGGAACCAACAGCAGCTCTACTGTTTCCTCAGGCGCTACAGGAGGTAGTTTGTTTGCAAATGCGGGAGCCAAGCCGGGCGAGCAAAAATCAATCTTCGGAGCTGCGAGCAGTGCAGCTCCCAGCTCATCTACACCTTCTTTGAGTGGAGGTGCTAGTGGTGGCCTTTTTGGAGCTTCATCGAAGACGCCCTCCAGTGGCGGCCTGTTTGGAAGCACACCAGCGGTCACATCTGCGGGAACAGGTGCCAGCCTGTTCGGTAACACCTCCTCGGCTCCGAATAGCACCACATCGAGCACAACGCCGACCACGACGGCTCCTGCTGGTGGTCTCTTTGGACAGACGAATAATGCGAGTAATCAAGGGAATTCCGCCAGTAAACCCGGTGGATTGTTTGGGGCTGGTAGCGTTACGACCGGGAGCTCTCTTCTTGGTGGCACGAATACCAACAGTATGTCGGCTAATCAAGTAACACCAGCAAAGCCCGCGTTCTCTCTCAATTCCACAACGCCGGCTGGCGCACCTCCGGCAAATACTTCCAAGCCGTCTAGCGGACCAAGCCTCTTTGGTAATACTGGCACACAAAGTAGTTCATCCTCATCTTTATTTCCATCCACTCAGCAGGGAGAAAACAAGGAGACCAGCTTGTTTGCCAGTAACCTGGCTAGCTCACAGCCTAAACCCGCCGGCTCCCTGTTCGCCTCTGGCAGTGAACCACAGAAACCGGCTTCAACTCTTTTCTCGACTACTACGAAGCCCGGTGAGCCTTCCTCATCCACGTCGGGCATGAAGCCAGCATCTACCGAAAACGCTGGTGCCACGGGTAGCACTGGCGGCCTCTCGCTTTTTGGGCAGCAGGCGCCTTCTAAACCTGCTGAGACTGTCCCCTCAGCTAAGCCAGCTTCTTTGTTTGGCAATACCACGGCCTCAACAGCAGCTGGCAACCCTTCTCCTTTCAGCACTGCCAACACAACGCAGGCACCTACTACTTCAGCACCCACACCCTCAGCACAACCTAGTTCACTTTTTGGAAATGTGAACAAGCCTACAACTGGTACAACCGCCGAAGCTCCAAAATCGCTGTTTGGTACTACGAGCAGCGCCACATCCGAAGCCCCGAAGAGCTCTAATATCTTAGGAGCACCATCGTCCTCTGCTGCGGCTCCGTCTAACATGGCAGCAACAACAACCACGGCTAGCACCAACACAGCTAGTAGTGGTACTTCTACTCCTGGCACTACAGCGCCAACCACCGCCTCTAAGCCGTCGCTCTTTGGTAGCACAGCTCAACCTACATCTACATCTTCTGCGCAGCTATCTGGACAGCCAACGGCTCCAAAGCCCGTAGCATCTCAGACTACTAGTTTGGGCGCGTCCACAAGCGGTCCGACTTCGTCAATGGCGCGCCTCAAGAACAGAACCATGGATGAGATCCTTAATCGCTGGGCTACGGATTTGTCTAGATATCAGAAAGAGTTTAAGGAGCAAGCATCTCAAGTAGCAGCTTGGGATCGTTTATTAGTTGAAAACGGTGACAAGATCCAGAAGTTGTATCTCAACACATTCGAAGCCGAGAAGGCCAGCCGTGAGGTCGAGCGGCACCTTGTGGCTGTAGAAAGCCAACAGGCAGAACTAGAGTCTTGGCTAGACAAGTATGAGCTTGAAGTTGATGCTCTGTTCACCAAGCAAATCGGCCCTGGCGAGCAGCTTACTGGTCCCGATCAAGAACGCGAGCGGACCTACAAGCTGGCCGAGAAGATCACCGAGCGCTTGGATGAGATGGGCCGAGATTTATCTAAGATGATAAAAGAGATCAATGACATTTCAGGCACCATTAGTAAGGGTAGCAAACCTGACGACCCGGTATGTTTCCATAGTTGTCTTGTTCGAAGTATATGCTAACAGAATCTCCAGCTGAGTCAGATTGTGCGTGTCCTTAATGGACACCTCACACAGCTTCAATGGATCGATACTAATGCTGCGGCACTCCAAGCTAAGGTCACGGCTGCCCAGAAGACAAGTAGTCAGATTGGTCATCCGTTAGGAGGCCCTGAACAAGATAATGTGGATAATTTCTATCGATCCTACATGGGACGTCGATAGTGTATTGTTAGGCAGATAAATAAGAAAGCACTGTAGCTGTTGGGAAGCATTAAGCCCTGCGAAATGGAAGCATGCACTGAATAATCTAGACGCCTAGTAAATGGCATTGAAAAAGCAATGATGGCATACTACTGGAGAGGCAAGGGGCGAGAGGCGCTTTGGTATTCGATGACCTGGAGGTTACTCTACAGAAGACGTAGAAATTGTATGGATGTACACTATGCATAAATTGACGCATGACGAAGAGAAAAAAGTGACTCAAAAGATGCGATTTTCCTTTTGCAGCAGCGTATCTAATAATGCGCAGCTCCATACAACGTTGACAGAGCTGCTTGAGGCGCGCACGCTGAGCTATCATAACACTAGTTCTTCTCGCCGCCTTGTTCCTTTGTCAATTCGTCGCTGGGGAGCAGAGAGAACATAACATATTAGCGTGAGTCCTTTGTCTTCGGAACAGACCTCAAAATTCAAGGATGTAGCAAAACAGGAAAAAGGGAATGGTCAGATGACATAACTCACATGTGGTCGGACAGCTTCTGGAGGTGATCCTTTTGCTCCGCAATTTTCTTGCGGAGCTCCATGAGCTTCTCCTTCTCACGCTGGCGGATGGCGTAGTCCTCGTTGGCCTTCTCTCTGCGCTGGAAGGCGTCTCTGTGGCGAAGAATCACGGGTTAGTCCTCTTGATCTGTTTCTATTCATTGTATGCTAACAATACGTTGATGGGTTGCAGAGGTGAGATGGGAGTAAGTATAGCGCGGGGGTGAGCAGAGGGTCTAATCTATGGGCTCCCTCGCAAACTCGGCTATTGGTATGCGCATTCCATAAGAGATGGTAGGCATATGGTGTTTTGAGGTATTTTGGTGCGGGTTCGCGGAGATCGTAGTTAACGTACCCCTGGCCACCTGTCTTTGGGGGTGCGCCCGTGTCACCGGCAGCCATAGCTCGTAGTGTGGTCGAGAATGTTCGGGAGACGGGTGTCGCGAGGCCGCGAGAGGGAATCTTGGTGAGGGTCTGGCGGAACATTGTAATCTGAGGCGACGTGAATAGTCGTTGATTAGCAAGTCGTGTTTTGTATTGGTTGCTAAAGCTTGTTGCGGAAGGGATTGGAAAAGCAGTAGGTAGGTTCTTATATATTAAAAAGTAGGATAGCAATTGACATGTGGATAGGCCAAGCTAGGCTACATTGTTCATAGGAGTCATATGGTGAAATATCAGGAGATAGGCTACATACCTCGTGATTGCGTCGTTGTTGTTGGTGGTGTTGTTGTCAAGGAGCTGTTAAGGTAAAGGTAAGGCAAGATGAATCTTACCTAGATAGGTAGAATAGGTGGTGGAATGACGCAGTGGTGGGTAGGTAGCTCGCCTAGAGCCGTTGGTTCGTGATTGGGGCTCGGTTCGTGGCCTGAGGTCGGGTTAAGGCGGAGCGGAGCATCCAAAGCTCAGGCCATTACTTTGCTTTGCTCTGGACGGAATCATCTAGACCCTACCGTCCCCGTCCCGTCGTCTCCTCCCGGCTTGAACCAGTTGGTCACGAGCTGCCACGAGCTTTTGACAACATGGCTGCAAACTCATACAGTTCGATAGTTCACACGCCATTATGCCGGCCTTCCAGCTACCAATTTTATACACAATAAGTACCCAGATAGAGACGCTGATGCCCACTGGTGTAGAACAGAAAGCTAGCTTGTATATCTACCAGGTATGTAAGTATATTATATCATTCTTGTTACTAAAGCTAGATATATAATTTTGATCCAAGCATTGGCCCTATGCTGTATTATCTGTCCCAGATTCTACACATAAAAAAAACAGAGGACAAGAAAGCTACCTAGGTATGGCACTTACCCAAGCAAATACCTAAGTCTATCTAGGTAATGCAAAGAACACCCGTCCAAGCAATATTTATATATGAATACTTATAACTCGCACTGCCTCCGCCCATAGCTCGGGGGTGGCCTCATTCATGCGGTAGGGTTTGAACTGGATCATGCTTTAACCTAACCCACGAAATACAAATTAGTTAATGCAGCGGGTGACACCAATGAGAAGATTGAGATGGCGGATGGTAAATATCCCTTGTCTTGGCCCACGTTCTAGGACGGATCGCCCACTATTAGCTGTTACGGGTGGGATGCTGACGCAGAGCAGAATACGATGGGAATTTGACGCCCCAGGGATAGGCATCTACATCTTAGATCGCTTCAAATATACTAGGAATCTGTCTGTCTAGGGTCCATTTGCTCGCATCAAATTTCTGCCTCAGGACACCAGCTAGCGCTGCCACTGGTAGGAGGCCCCAATATACCTAGTCGGTATTATTACCTACCTAGTCACATCAAGAACTATGCACAGAAACACTTACCTATGCTTTTATCTATACTAAGGTAGCTGGTAAATTAAGGCTGTGATATGGCCAACAGCAGTAAATAGGACCCAACTGAAGGGATTACGAACATGAAGATAGCAAGGCAAATCGTTAGGGATAGCCTAAAATCTTGTTCGCGTCATAGGGCTAATCAATCATTACATTTGAACGAATACCTATGTCGTATAATGAAGGAAAAAGCAAATCAAGTTGTAGTATACTCCGCTGGGTAACTTATCGCAGGACCAGCACGTGGAACTTGTGTGTACTTGACTGATATTTAGGTACCTAGGTACTTAACGCCCCGAATTGGAGGACTCCAGCTTCCTTCCATTGTCTGGCGGCGGCACCACCACCAGTGACCATCCACCACTAACATCCAGCTACCTACCTGTAGACTAGGTACATACCAGCGGGTACCCAGTACATCTCTCGGTAGTGACTTCCAGGTCCTACGGCATACCTAGTACCGTACTACCCCTCCATCCACCCAGCCAGTACCAGCCAGTACCAGTGTATCTAAGGCGACATATGGGTAGATGCTAGGTACTGCTGCACAGATTATATAGCTAGGAGAAACGAGATAATACACACAGGTACCTGTGCAGCCATCACCGCGCGGCAACAACACAAGTCGTCCTGGTTCACCTCCCAGGGCTGTCGTCCCTCTTGGTCCATTCCTCTCCCTCTCCCTTCCCTACTTTTTTGCGCTTCTCAGTTTCTTTCTTGTGCATCACATCCCACGCAAGGCGTTCTTTTGTCACTTCAAAGTCCCTACCGACCTCTACCAACCTCTACCAACCACCAAGCCCTCACTTACATCTAGCCAAATCTTTCTAATCACGGTATGTGCCTTCAACTCCTCCTATCCTGATGGTGATATCTGCCCTCTCCATCTTCTACTACCTGCCTACCTGCCTACCTACCTACCCACCAAAGTCTACATACCTACAGTACCTATCTCTCCATCTGGACCTCTTTGCATCATTTCTTTCCTTCCTACCAATGTTTACCTTCTTACTGCCTACTGCCTACTGCCTTGTCTAGGGTAGGTACCTCCTTATTGGAGGTACTGTGCCTTATCTCACAGCCTACCGGTATTGTTGTCACTGTTGTTGCTGCTGCTGCTGCTGTCACGCTACACTACCTACACTACCCACCGAGGGAAACCCCCCCCTCCCCTTCCCTGTTCTGCTCGGCCTGCAACCCAGAATTTCCCTATCCCTCTCCCGCCTGGCTGCACCTGTCGTCATCGCCCACACATCTGCGCACCCGCATCTCGTCTCGACCGCCTCATCTGTCCGCCATCGTCACCATTGTAGACACGTTTTTGTCTCTCCCCTCATACTTTCACTGTTTTCCTGTTGTCATCACTATCCCCGATTACTCCACGCGACAAACTCTATACCTGTTCATCACGACTTGTTCGCGTGTTAGTCACCGTCTAGTGGTAGGCGCAAAACCCCACTCATTGCGGGGGGATTCACCTCTTGTTGTTCACCTGGATTCTGGCTCTCTAGACTTCCAGATCCCTTGATTCCCTTCACACCTACCAGTCACCAGGACGCGCTTTCTAATTGCACTTGCGCTCTGGAACATTGCCTAACCCTAGCATCGCGTCTATTGCCTACCCAGACATTAATCATTCTCCCATAACCTATAAACGATCCATTTGCGCGTTGTTATCTCAGACTCTCTTTGATCGCTCCCCAATCTTTGTTGTTTCTCAACTGCATTGCAAGGCTTTCCTTTCTTGCTGACAACACCCAAATCTGCAGTTTCGATTCCACTGAATACCACGCCGACAAAATGGGTCACGAGGATGCTGTGTATCTCGCAAAGCTTGCCGAGCAGGCTGAGCGCTATGAGGGTAGGTGATTAAAAATAGTGTTGGCTTCTTGAGGTACGAACATGCAGGATTAACTCCTCGTCACCAGAGATGGTTGAGAATATGAAGATTATCGCCTCCGAAGATCGTGATCTTACCGTTGAGGAGCGTAACCTCCTTTCCGTTGCCTACAAGAATGTTATTGGTGCTCGTCGTGCTTCTTGGAGAATTGTTACCTCCATTGAGCAGAAGGAGGAGTCTAAGGGCAACTCGTCCCAGGTTGGCCTGATCAAGGAATACCGTCAGAAGATTGAGGCCGAGCTCGCAAAGATCTGTGACGACATTCTCGAGGTTCTCGACCAGCACCTTATCCCTTCTGCTAAGTCCGGCGAGTCCAAGGTCTTCTACCACAAGATGTGCGTTTTTGTGCCTTCCGTTTTCCATATGATATCAGAGTATAGGCCTGAGTCCAACTTCTTGCTGACTTTCAATGTAGGAAGGGTGACTACCACCGTTATCTGGCCGAATTTGCCGTTGGCGACCGACGCAAGGAATCTGCCGATAAGTCCCTCGAGGCATACAAGGCTGCTACTGAAGTCGCTCAGACTGAGCTACCTCCCACGCACCCTATCCGCCTGGGTCTTGCCCTTAACTTTTCCGTCTTTTACTATGAGATCTTGAATGCTCCTGACCAAGCTTGCCATCTCGCCAAGCAGGCATTCGACGATGCTATTGCAGGTATGTAGTCGGTTGAATCGTGCAGTCGTCTTGGGTACTAATCCTCGATTCTAGAGCTTGATACCCTAAGTGAGGAAAGCTACAAGGACTCGACCCTTATTATGCAACTTCTACGTGACAATTTGGTATGTCTATACGTTGACCTTTTTCTTCTTGAAATTTAACTGCTAATCACTACATATAGACCCTCTGGACATCGTCTGAGGCCGAGCAGGCGCCTGCAGAAACTGCCGCGGCTCCTGCTCAGGAGGCTGAGAAGCCTGCTGAGGCCGCTCCTGAGGAGCCTAAGGCTGAGTAAACGCTCCACCTACCTACCGTACAACTCTGTGGCAATATCTAAAGGGGTTAACCGTGGGCCTGGGTGGATTTATGGTGTCTCGGAGTGTTTGCTTGTGAACCTCGACCAGTTTCGGCATGTTTTTCGCGTGTGGAGGTACAGAAACAAAGACTTTGGAGGAATCTCCTTTCTTAGGGCAGGGCTCAAGAGCTTTGGAGGGTTCCTTGCCGTGAGCTTCCCTTTTAGACTCTAATACAAATTCATCTGGACAATAAAATCGTATTCCTGTGCCAGATATCATTGAACCCTAGAGAGTTAACTGTGCCTGCTCCATCTCTTCGGATGAGGACAAGGCGTTATACCTCAATCTCGAACTTATAATAGCAGGCTAAATATTATTGTCTGTTATGTCTCGGTGAAAACCGAGACCCGTAAATTGGTTGTTGGTAACATCAAGTTATACACGTAAGCCTCTCGGATAGGCACTTACACATTGTCACACATAATTATCAGTCCATTGCAAAGGCAAGAGAGTACTGATTGGGGATTTCCTGGTTCAATCCCGCATGTACTTGACGCTACAGAGTTTTTTTGGATTATTTTAACAGCTTGAGACACTTGCCATGTAACATAGTATAGCAGGAAATATGCAATGATTACCTATATAGGACTGCAAGTATCCATTTCACTACCTAGATAAGACTGAACATACTTGACGCTCATTTAGGCCTTTCTAGTCCTAATAAGTTGCCTGTTGAGAATTTGAAAATAAACCGGGAAAAAAAAAAAAATAAAGGGGAGGAAGAGGACATATATTTACTACAGCACACAGTAAAGATTGCCCCACCATTGAGCATATGCCTATGTAGACGCAGACGCTGAGCCGGACAGAGATAGACCCCAGTCGAAGCTCAGATTAAATCGCCAGCCCTTGCCGCTCTTGCTAACGCTACCGCTGCCGCGACGCTGTTCCGCTGCATCGCGCGTCTGAGTGCGGTTTGATACCGACGTTTCTGGTGCGTTATTGCTTTGATGGCGATGCGATGATTGTGTTTGCTCGTCGCCGGCTTCTTCGTCGCCGGCTTCTTCGTCGTCGTCGACAGCGTCGAACAAGACCCGCATCCAGAGACTGCAGTCGAGACACTGCACCATCAGCACCAGGTCCTCCTCGTACTCCTCCAGCTGCGCCTCGGTGAACTGGAACCCGCGCTCGTTGCCACACCGGCACGACCCGAAGTACACCCCCGTCTTCTCGTCGAAGCCGAGGTCGTCGAGATCGACGGTCTCGACCCCCGTGTGGAAGCGCGTGGAGACCGAGTGCTTTTGCTCCGTGGAGATGGATGTGAACGTGGAGGAGGATGAAGATGTGGTTAGGAGGAGTTGCCGGTCGTACTCGCGCCGCTGGGCGGCGTCTGAGAGTACGCTGTAGGCATGCTGGATTTGGTCGACGGTGTATGTGAGTTGGGACTTGGGCACTGAAGATGAGGAGGATGAGGAAGATGATTTGCCACCGCCGCTGGATTTAGATTGGGATTTAGATGATCGAGCGGGATTTGATGATGTTGCTGTATTTGTGGGCGAATCCTGAGGATTCTTGTCTGGATGGTGTTTGAGAAGGGCCTTGTGATATGCTTGTTTGATGCTCTTTTGCTGCGCTGTGAATTCTTGGCCTTGGAGCCGTTTTGGTGTTAGTGAGAGGATCTCATAGAGCGTTGGCTCCGCTGAGGTTCGTGATATAGTTGTGCGTGGCATTTATTTGTCTTTGAAATGTGGTTCTGCCAATTATTTCCTATGCACTATTTCTAATGTATTAAAGGGGAAAATGATTATTCAGTATCGGAGAAGCGAGTTGGGAAACACCTCCGGTGAGCGTTTGTCTTATGTAAAAGGCTGGAGATGCTTGTAAGTTGATATCATCTTCCTGGCGCCCCAGTGAAAACCGGTTTTTGGGGCGTACAATCAATTGGCCAAGCGGTCACGTGAGCATTCGTTTGTAAGGTACGAACTTGAGATTGTAGCGACCTGACCAGAAGGACATAGATGACCAGTGTATTGTACAGGCAACAAATTTAGCAGATTAATCATTTTAAGTAATCTGCTAACAAACCTTGTTTTAAAAAGAGGGAAGAATGGATGAAAAGTTTGATGTCTCAAATTGTTGGGCTAATATTCCGATGCAACTGAACACCTTTGATACATGGTTATACATAAATTCGTACATCCAACTGCGAAGTCGGTGAATAGAGAGTATTTCAATATCTTCTCGCCTATCGTGGATACTTGGTCCATCTGCTTCTCCCTGTCTAGATTGCAATATTAGTAAAATGGTGAGGAACCCAAACGTCCATTGAGAAAAATCTACCTTTCTCCACTCCCGCACAAGCCTGGGCATGCCCATCATAGCTTCTCTCCTCTTCTCCATCCTATTCATCATGTTAGCACATGTGCAAATCTTGAAACCCATCGTTCCAATGTAGGCCTCATGGTGTGAGAAATGGCAACGTACTTGGAAGCCAGCATTCTCTCGTGTAAATGACCCTTGACCTTCTGTCCAACACCTGTACCACGCACACGCAAACCGTGCTCGACTCTGTGCCGTATGCGCTCTTCGGTGCCCTTCGATGTGAATGGTAGCAACTCCTCGACGCCCTCCTCGCGAGCGAGTTTGACGAGCTCCGCCTGGCGTCTTAGCGAGAACTCCGGGTCATGCCACTTGCCCGTGACGGGGTGTTTGTGTGGAAGAAAAGGGTTCGGGGTTGCGCCGTCCTTGATGGTATTTGTGCGCGTCGAGGTCGGCAGGATCTGGTTCGGAGGATACTTGGCGAAGAAGCGCTGCAGACGCGGATGCAGCTGCTTCGCGAGTTCGACGTAGCGCATGTTCAGCGCCATATTTACTGTCGATGTTCCTTAACAGTCTAGCTGGCAATCGTTCCGTGGATCGAGGATGCGTAGACAAGTCCTGGGAAAACGGCTGAAACAATCAATTCGGTGAGCTTCAAAAGGGTCCCATCCAAAAATATAAGAGATAGCACTACTCTACAGTACATAGATCTTGATGGCACATGTCTGAGGTACGTACCTGTCACCCCTCTGGGGCATAGTGGGCTGGGTGTTATTTAGTGGGCTTCAGCTGTGGACGGAGCCGCTAAACCCGACAGATAACTTGTGAAGTGAAGTGTCATAGCTTTGCTGCTTCAAAACAATAGAATGTTCTCTTTTGAATTTCAAGGCACAGACCTAATACATGCAAATACGTCAGCCGGCTTGAGTCTGACCCCTACCCATCACAGTCAGCCAGAAGGAATCGGACGAGAAGATTATAGAGCTTATGTGAAAGGTGTATCATGATGGTATCTCAATTGCAATTAAAATGTATCTATTTCCGTAGACCTGTCCCACCGTCGTCCTCTTTACTCAATTTTCTTGAAGCCTCCTTTGTTCGGTTTTTGTTGGGCGGCCTCATGTCTTCGTAACTCCTCAGGTACTTTTGATATTGAGCTCTTGGAAAGCATCTGTCTCAGATCATACAAAACGTCTGCATCTTCGTTGCCCAGAAATGTGATAGCCACACCACTCTTACCTGCACGACCAGTACGACCAATACGATGCGTGTAGCTCTCGATGCTTGTGGCCATGTTGAAGTTTACGACGAGAGACACATCAGGCACATCGATACCACGCCCAGCTAAATCTGTTGCTACAAGGACTTCGGTAGCGCCGCTACGCACTGATGCCAGGGCCTGTTCTCGCTGTTCTTGAGTCTTACTACCGTGCATGGTAACTGTAGATAGACCCATATGTTTGATTTCTCGTGCAATGGCATCGCAATTCCGTTTGATGTTGACAAATACGATGATAGGTGCTGCAAACTCTCCCGAGGTGAGAATCTCTTGCAACCGTTTCTTACGACGATCTTCTCCAGCCACGAACTCGACACGTTGTTCAACAGTGTCCACAGCTTCGCCAGCGTTACCGATGGTAACAGTGGCGGGCCGCCGTAGGTATTTTTTGGCAATTTTCTCAACGGCTGTCGGCATAGTAGCCGTGTACATCATCGTCTGCCGGTAACGGTCCTTGCCCCCGAGAGGCCGACTCATGAGTTGCGCATTCTCTGCAGCTTCAGAATCTGGCTTCTCGTTGGTTACAGGGAGCGCATCTAGAATTTTATTAACGGGATCTTCAAACCCCATGTCGATCATGCGATCGGCCTCATCCATAATAATATAGCAGCATTGTGAGAGGACAAGGAGTCGCCGCTCAATGCAGTCGACTAGACGACCAGGGGTAGCAACGATGATTTCAGCACCATTTCTAAGTGCAAACGCTTGTTCCTCGAGCGAATGACCACCAACTAGACTGACTACAGTAAACCCCAGTGGTTCTGCGAACTTTCTAGCTTCTGTCTCGATTTGCTGCACCAGTTCTCGGGTAGGTGCAATAATGAGGGAGTAGGGACCGTCGTTCTTGGTAATCTCGTCTAATGGTGGTAAGTCAGATATGTAAACCAATAACGGTAGGAGAAAAGCAGCTGTCTTTCCCGAACCGGTGACAGCTACACCGATGAGATCCCGGGCCTGTAGAGCTATGGGAATGGCAGCGCGCTGAACAGGGGTTGGTTCGTCATAGCCGACTTTGGCGACGATCTCAAGCAACCTTCGAGGCAAACCAGACTCTTTCCAACTGCGCATAGGATTCGGTAAGAGACCGCCTTTTGTAGAAATACCAAAATCCTCTTTGAATATGCGCCAGTCTCTCTCACGCATATCCTCCAGCCTTTTTTCTGACCAGTGCTTTCCGAAGGTGTTGCGATTTGCTCGTTCTTTTGCCCGTACAGACATTTCAAGCAGCTGTTGTGCTCGTTCTCTGCCGGTTTCCGGATCGCCAGCCATAATGTACCTGGCACGTTTTAGATCCTCTGGTTCAACAAGGCCATGATACTTGGCAAGAAGACCACCATCGTGGACTGATAATGCCATTTGCTCAGAGTGTATGAGCGCGTCTCCTTGACTTGTGTCATCATGCGGATCCCAGTCAAAATTGAATTTATCCCTGTGTCTTCTAGATTTCTTCTTAGCGGAGAAGGTCGATTGATTCAACTCTGGACCCATATATCTAGCTCGAATTTGGGCGGATTCGTCATCTTCTGTCGCTTTCCTCTTTTGCCCAGATGTTCTGGGATCATGAGCAGCCTTGAGCTTCTCGTTTTCGTTGCCGTGTTTGCCGTTTCGCATGGCCCTAGGCCCAGTAGGCACGGCAGGTTGGGTGCCACGCAGCGGTGCATTGTTGTGGCTTGTAGTCCGGGTATTTTTCTTTTCGTTCTCCAGTCGTAAACGCTTCTCTTCCTCCTCTTTCCTCTTTTGTTCGTGCGCGCGCCGCTCTCTTTCAGCCTTTGGGATGAATCGGGGTTTCGCAGCAGCCGCGTCGGCAGCTTTCTTTGCTCGTAATATCTCTTCGATATCTAAAGGTTGTTTCTTTCGCGGAATGCTGACGCCGTTGGTGGCGGCTATATCGCCATTTGAAAGAGACCCGGCCCTAGGTTGTATCCCCATTTTGTAGGTTTACAATACGATGCTGGAAAATTGAAGGTTCTCCGTTCGAGATGCGAAGTAAGAGTGGGTAGATAGCGAAGGACAGCTTCGAGTGGCGAGCTGCGGCTTGGACCTATTGCTACCTGAATGGGTGGATACTATGTGGGGTGCTTAAGTAATGGTGGCCAATCGGGACCTTTACCCTTACCCATACATGTATATGTACCTGATTGGTGAGTACCGAAAGCAGGAAAACATATCTATAACCACCTCCAGAGCATCTCTTCCAAAGGCCTCTGCGACAAGTAGACTATTGGTAGTTTTCTTGAAATATGAGCAAGGGTAATCCAGAAACATACTTATCCTAACCGGACCAACTACTAGGTTACTCCAAATAAAAAAAAATGATTGCCGGACAGCGTTGTCATGATTCGCAAAGGTGTTATATTAACTACTACGTACAGCACCTTTCCCTAACCAAGTCCCACATTGCAGCATATTGTACAGATCAAGTCAATTCTAGGTATATACCTAGTAGGTTATCGTAAATGGGCAAAATGTACCTAGTTAAAGACTCTTATATGTAGCAATTCGGAGTAAACAATTTCTCTCTCCTACCTAGATACTTTCAAGTTACGAACATTGCCCTTGGACCAAACTCCTTAGCTTATCCAATCCAATCGCATTGTTCTTGCTAGTCGGATGGAGCAAAGTATCACACGACAATTTCGAACTCCTCATTACCAGACGAAAAGAGACGGCTGAGAATTTGGAACAATTCCCAGAGTGTCGAAATCATCGAGCGTTCTCGGTGATCCTTTCCAAGCCGTCAGGCAGCGGACATGTCGATAGGCCTCCTCGGGCCTTAATCATGACTGGCTGGCCGGCTGATTGAGGTGTAGGCTTGCCATTCTGTCGTCTCCATTTCTTATCGCGCAACGCTAGACCACATCAGTCTCTCAAATGCAGGCGTATGTCTAGCGTCATTCGAAACTTTGCTGACCCCAGAAAGAGACGACTCGACCGCAGATGACGACGAGAATCCAAGCCCGAGCCCACAGTCCCCAGCTGCACCCTCCTCTGCCCTCCCTTTCTTCGCTCCCACGCTTGTCCGGTGCCCGCTGCCACCGCCGCCGCCACATGAATTCGACTGCTGTGCAAATAGGGAATCGCCCCGACTACCCCTCCTCCTTCTAACCCCTCTGTTTATGTACATTACTAGCCCTCTTGTTGCCGGTCTGGTCGCCCTAATCGCCCTGCCATACACTGTATTATAGCTGGAATTGGCTTGTTGTATACCACCGTCCCTGTTTGTATTATAGTAGACTCTGCTTTCCCGCATCTAATGTCTTTTCGTTCTGTTGCCCGTATCGAGTTTCTCTCTCGAGCTTCCCCTCTCACTAACAGAGTCCGCTTACGACACTACCCACCAACGCATCCTGATATTCTGGGCCGTGTTAGTCTTAGGTAAGTACCGGCTGCTGCTCACCGAGTGGAGTGGGAGGCGTCTCTGCGCTCGGAATCTCGCCTGTCTAACATGCCACGTTATGCAGTTCGATTTCTCGACCTACGCCAAGCACATCCTCTTTCACCCCGTCTTCGTCCCCTCCAAGGCAGTCAAGGCTATCTTCTCCGAGATCTTCTCGCCCACCAACATCCCTTTCAACCTCTTTCATCCGCTATTGCTCCTACAGAAGACACAACATGTGCAGATTAGCTGGTGATAGCGAGCACTTTGGCGGCGCCAAACCCGACCCCAACGTGGGTCGCGAGCTGCTCCCTACCAACGTTATTCCCCGCCACTACGATGTCACTCTCGAACCCGACTTCAAGAAGTTCACCTTCGAGGGAAAGGTTGTGGTCGACTTCGACGTACAAGAAGATACGCAGTCTATCTCCCTCCACACCATCGAGATCGATATCCACAGCGCCCACATCAAATCGGGAGGGAGTGTCGTGACATCCTCTGCAGCCATCACGTACAATGAAACAACCCAGGTTTCCAAGATCGAGTTGAAAGAAACGATTCCCAAGGGGAAAACACAGCTGGAAATAAAATACACCGGTCAACTCAATGATTCAATGGCTGGTTTCTACCGTTCTACTTACAAGAAGCCCGACGGCTCTGAGGGTATTCTCGCCACAACTCAGATGGAAGCCAATGATTGTCGAAGAGCCTTCCCTTGTTTCGACGAACCCCTTCATAAAGCCAATTTTACTGTCACGCTCATTGCAGACAAGCATCTGACCTGTTTGAGCAACATGGACGTGGCTTCCGAAACTGAGGTGCTCTCTGAGATGAGCGGAACAACAAAGAAAGCCGTCAAGTTTAATCCAACCCCACTGATGTCTACATATCTGGTAGCTTTCATTATTGGTGAGCTCAACTATATCGAGACCAAGAAATTCAGGGTGCCTATTCGCGTATATGCACCCCCGAGCTCCAACATCGAACACGGACGCTTTTCTCTTGAATTAGCCGCACGGACGTTGGAGTATTATGAGAAGATATTTGGCGCCGAATTTCCTTTACCTAAAATGGATATGGTTGCTATTCCGGACTTCGCTGCAGGCGCCATGGAAAACTGGGGCTTGATTACCTACCGAGTCGTGGATCTCATGTTAGATGAAGCGGCCAGTGGTGCTGCCATGAAAGAGCGGGTTGCTGAAGTCGTTCAGCATGAATTGGCTCACCAGTGGTTCGGAAACCTTGTAACTATGGACTGGTGGGAGGGTCTGTGGTTGAATGAAGGGTTTGCAACATTGATGAGCTGGCTCAGTAAGCTTGACGCTCCTTTTCTGCATCCTTAACAGTTTCTCATACTAACATGGGGGCTTAGGCTGCAATCACTTCTACCCAGAATGGAAAGTCTGGGAGAACTATGTCGCAGACAATCTCCAGAGTGCTCTTGGTCTGGATTCGCTGAGAAGCAGTCATCCCATTGAGGTACCTGTCAAGCGTGCAAGCGAAGTTGACCAGATCTTTGATGCTATCTCCTATTCCAAAGGCTCATGCGTTCTACGCATGATTTCGACGTACTTAGGCGAAGATGTGTTTTTAGAGGGTGTTCGACGATATATCAAGAAGCACGCTTATGGTAACACACAAACTGACGATCTTTGGGCAGCGCTAGAAGACGCCAGTGGTAAACCTGTCCGAGAGATCATGTCTATTTGGACCAAGAACGTTGGTTTCCCAGTTGTTCAAGTGACAGAGAACTCAGCGGAGAGTTCTATTCTCGTGAAACAAAACCGTTTTCTAAGGACTGGTGACACCAAGCCCGAAGAGGATAAGGTCTTGTATCCGGTATTCCTCGGGCTTCGAACTGAAAAGGGTGTTGATGATTCAATAACTTTGACACAGAGAGAAGGTGTCTACAAATTGGACAATTTAGACTTTTTCAAGCTAAATGCGAACCATACTAGCATTTATCGAACTTCATACAGTCCTGAACGGCTTGCAAAGCTTGGCCAGGCCGCGAAGGATGGCAAATTGACAGTCGAAGACCGTGCCGGCATGCTCGCAGATGCTGGTGCTCTCGCAGTGTCGGGTTACCAGAGAACATCAGGGGTGCTTAATCTCTTGAAAGGGTTTGATACTGAGGAGTCCTTCGTGGTATGGAGCGAAATTATTGCCCGCGTTGCAACTGTCCAATCTGCTTGGATTTTCGAGGATCAAGCCGTCAAAGATGGTCTTGAAGCCTTTATCAAGCAGCTCACTAGCGAGAGAGCCCACAAACTTGGCTGGACGTTTACAGACAAAGACGGACATGTGGAACAACAATTCAAGGCTATGCTCTTTGGAGCTGCTGGCATGGCAGGTGACGAGGAAATCATTGCTACAGCTAAGAATATGTTCAGCAAATATATGGCTGGTGATAAATCAGCCGTTCACCCAAATATTAGAGGCAGCGTCTTTGGTATGGCTTTGAAGTATGGTGGAAATGAAGAGGTAGGTTCGCATACATTATGCAGTTTGATCAGAAAAGACTAACTCCACGACAGTACGATGGCATTCTTAAAGCATTTACCAACTCCACCAATACTGATGAGCGCAACACAATCTTACGTTGCCTAGGCCGTGCCAAAGACCCTGAGCTTATTCAACGAACTCTTGACCTCGCGTTGAGCAATGAAGTCAAGAGTCAAGACATATATCTTCCCGTCAGTGGTCTTCGTAGTCATCCCGAGGGTGTAGAAGCGTTGTTCAAATGGTTGAACGACAAATGGTCTGAGATCTCCAAACGTCTCAGCGGTAACCCCCCCATTCTAGGTTCGATGGTCACAATCTGCACGTCAAGTTTTACGAAGCCTGGGCAGCTCAAAGAAGTTGAGCAATTCTTCAAAGACATTGATACCAAGTCATTTGATCAGCCATTGGCACAGAGTAAAGACGCCATTCGCAGTAAGGTATCCTGGGTCGAGCGGGATCGCGATGATGTAGCTACGTGGGTGAAGGAAAACGGATACAAGAAAGCGAGCTTGTAACCTTACTGCCTCTAGGGAAAAGCTTCATCGGTTTACCCTTGTCACATTCGACGTGTCGAGGGAAGATGCATTATATACATTCTCGTGAGCCACCAAGCTGCATATATATAATGAGAAAACTATATAACTAGACTAAATACAATACATCTTAAAGAACATTGAAACAAGGAACAAGTAGCAATTCTTGATGTTTACTTAGTGATGTCTCGGCTCAATCACCAGCGACTGTTCATCAACGAGCGTTAGGTTGGAACATGAAAGTTCAGAAAGACAGACATTGGGGCCTGCTATGAACGACTAGCATCCCGTTAGAGTTTGCTAGGGTTAGAAGCAGGCTTATTGAGACAGCTTGGATTTTTAGCCACTTGCAGTCTTCACTACGATTGACAAGTCTGCCAATATTGCTTCGAATACCTAGATCCTTGCCTGTAGCGAGGTCCACTTCTCGACGACCACCGCAATCTACATCACAGCAACACTTCGCTACCTAGGGATGACTAGGAACTACCATTTTGTCTTGGCTGGCTTGTCCACTTCACCCAAGAATAACAGAATTGGGTAACGGATCTAAAGGCTGAACAGCATGGCCAAGGTTGACAACACCTGATAAGACTTGAGAGAATTTAAGCTCTCCTGCCATCCGCCGAGTAGTAAAGATCGCTAGGGCCTGAAAGGCAGCTTGGGGACCATGGGCATCCCATGTATCGATTAGGCAGGTCTTGTGTCCCCGTCAACACAGAATTTAGTTCACACTTTTGAAGTTAGGACCGAGTTCTTCATGGCTCACTCCGTATCCTTTTTTTTTTCATCTGAACAGGGGGAACGAGTTCACCAAGGCAACCGTGTGAACGTGAAGAATTTAAATAACTTTAACTTTGTTTGACAGGTGAGCCAGGAAAGACTTTGACGCCGTACGCACGAGCTAAGCTAGAATGTCTACTAAAGACAGCCTGACGACCCTGCAACCGATGACGGCCATAGGCGGTACGAGGCTTGCAGTGATGAATAAAAATGGTGAGAGGGTAGGTGAGAGATATTAGTTGGTGAAGTCCGCTTTCGGCATAATGGCAACAAAATGTCTCAAGTTTAACGGGTCGAGTTGTAGTGCGAAGCACCCAGGACTCACTCAGTCTTGTGTAGGGCTACTAAACAAATTGCCTTGACACAGAGGAACCATAAGAGCTCCTGTGAAGCGTCTAGAATAGCAAGCTCTACTGGACATGGCTATCGACCAGCTTTGCTTCCTTCAGTAGACAGGAGGCTAGATGTTATGGACGGGGGTTCCTATTCGTACCTCTGTTCTAAGCCCGTGGTACAGCGCTTACAGCTATACTGGTTCGAATGTTGTACTAGGTACTCCGTCGTTCGTGGTCTGAACGCGTGCCGGTACGCATATCGTACCAGTCTGTCGACTAAACCCCTACCGGTCTGAGGCCGTACTGGCCCAGGTCTAGATAACGTACCAGATGAGGATCTACTTGTCCCAGTACGAGGATTTCCAGAATAGCATAACTACTTCATCATCTCCCCAAATCTCCCTTTTCCCGCTAACTAATGTCCAGTGCAGAGTGGCCTTTATCGCATGTACGAATACATCGTGGTCGGTTTCACGATGGGGTTGAGGACTGAAATTGAATTCTTCTTTAACCAAGGCCCGTCATGGCTGGTATCCGCAATCCCAGATCCGGAAGACCCAGATCCCCAACGTTACGCAATCCTATCCGTCTTACCGTTCTATCTCTGTAAAGCCTTCAACAGATTGATAGAACGTGGATTGCCCCGAGGCAGTCCAGCTATCATTGGCCCTGGGGAGCTAGATGAGCTGCGCTCGAGGCCTGTTGTCTTAGAGACAGAGCTAGAATGGGCCGCTAAAGTCCCAGCATTGGTCGAGAGGCTTATATTACCGGGGCTGGACGGTGGTGAGCCCGCGAGAGAGACGTGGAGTGAACAATTTCTGGCCAAGAATATTGTCTGCGAGGAGCCCCATATCCTCTTTGTTTAACTTAAGGTCGGATCAGCCGCTCGCATGTACGGATTGACGGGTACAGAAAAACGGGCAGCACGGCCATGACCTGAGAATATGAAGGGAGCATGTTAGATGTAGATTCTAATAGGCCTACGGCAGGCGTCGTCGCGTAGTCCTCCAACTATACTAGCGTTCACCAGCTGGCAAGCAAGGGTTGGAGTTAAACGGAACAGGGTGCGGATGACGGCACCAAGCACACAGAAGAGATTCCAAATACCACCACCATCCAAAATAGCTCTTTCGTAGGCGTACTGAAGCTCGTCGAAGTGCGCCCATTCATGCCCGTACCCTTCATGAACATGACCGAAGACGTGCAAGGAAGGATGTACGCGCCATAATTCTCGAAGCAGGTAATTGCAACCGAGTGTTGTCAGATCTAGATGGGCGCGTGGGGGTCCGTGAGTAATAAGAATATCGGTGTTGTCGGGTACCAGGCCCTTCCAGACATCTGCCTCCCTGGGGTATTGAAATGCCCAGTTGCCGTGACGTCTTGACCGAGGGCTACCGAAGACGTTGAGGCGGCGGCCATTTGGGCACGTGATCGTTGCCGAGGTGTCCTGGAGATACAAGATGTCTCCCCAGTCGATCTGCTCACGTATGGCCGGGGTATTGCCACTTTGTTCGTCCTTATCAACGTCCAGTATAAGATCGTGATTGCCAGCAATGACGATTTTGATAGGGTGCGGCTGTTGCCTCAACCATGTGATGGCAGCCTGGAGCTCTGCAAGGGTGCCTGATTGGGTAAGGTCACCGGCGTGGATGAGAATGTCGCCTCGCGGAATGGAGCACCGGGTATTGTGCGTGTCTGAAATGCATACCACGGACACAAGATCATCTCGAGGTGTGTCTGTGATAGCTAGGCGCCGCTGGGAATATAGCCTGCTAGATAGAAAGGTACAAGGGTTTTGTAAGAAGAGTTGCAAGACAGATGGACGTGGGCGGTGGAGCAATGCTTCCAACCCGGATGGCTTCTGTCGAAACATAGCTTGTAAACAGTCAGCCAATGAAGATGATGGGTGACTCGAGTCGTGGTAATTCTTGTTTTAGAAGAGGAAAAGGAAAGATGCTGAGCATTATGCAGGTACTGATTAGTAGGGACCAGTCCAGGTTCTTTGCTGGCCGCATCGGAGGTCTCTTATGGTATCGACGTGATTGGTTCACTACCATACCGGGATTGGGGGGGTAGGGAATAGAATTGTAGCTAGTATTTTTCCAGGTGAAAATAGTATTCGTAGGAAAGACACGCAACTTTTAATTAGATTATAAGCCTATTAGTTAAGAAATAATTTTTTAATTTAAAGATAATCTTTTATTAAAAGTAGTTTCTACTTTGAAAATGATTTGAAAATGGTATGCCAATAAGCTATACAGAATTAGGGCTACAGGAATAGCAATAGCGCTATAGGGGCTACAGGTCTCTAGGGGGGCCACCTACTGCCCCTATAGCCACTGCAGCCCTTCGCAGTATAAACCTAGCCATATAGGGCCAATCCAATCCATCGTCAACTTTAAGGATAATCGCTACAAGGATCAATCCAATCCACCACCTATTATGTTTCGCAGCGGTTAACCGTGCCACGCCCCACCCTTTTTCCGGCTTTGCAACAGCACACCTACTAAAGTAGGTGCTAAACACCAATTTAACCACATTACTAAAATAACCACTTTTTCAACCCTTTCAACCTTTAATATTAAAAAAACACCTATACGATTGATTTTTAAACTTTAAAATGGAGCTTAACGTTTAAAAGGCACTCGATTACTTAAAGGACTTTCCATTTACGAAAATAATAACGGTTGCGCGGTTTTTTAGCTTAACGTATACAATCCTTCGGAATTGCCTTATAGGTTGCAGCGGACTTAATTAACCATTACCTTTTAACCTAAAGTTAAAACCTATTAAAGAAGAAGCTATTTATAACTATATTAATTACCTTAATTAAATAAACCTAGCTATATAGGTTAAATTTATTAATAATATTATTAATTATATTTTAAAAGCGAAGTCTTATCTATTAAACTTTACCCCACCTATTATTAATAAGGTTTAGGTATTACAATTTATTTAATAGTACGGATACCTTTAAAGGTTATAGAAAAAACTTAATAAAAACTATAGCAAAGTTGAAAATATTAAAGCTATAAATAAATATTTTTAAAAGCTAAAAGAATTATTAATAAATAAAGGTATTATAATAAAGGATATATAAAATATAAATAAAATTAATTTTTAAATTAATATAATTAATAATATATTTATTATAATTAAGTAAGCTTAAGCTTATTACTTTACTTTACTTAAAAATAAAAAGTTAATTACTTTTATTAAGGCTATTTTTATTATTAAAAAATTTATACCTAGCTTTTTTATATTAATAGGTTAAATTTATATAGCTTAATAATATAAAACCCTTAAAATATTAAATTTAATAGCTATTATAATTAGCTTAATAAGCTATTTAAATAATTAATTAAGCTTTAAATAGCTTTATTACTTTAAAAAACATATTGCACCATTATAAATAAATCGAAAATAGCTATTTATATTGGATAGCTATAAATCCTATTATATAAAGGAATTTATTACTTTTTATAATAATTATAATATTATCCCCTTTAAATTATTACTTTATTTAACCTATATACTTTAATTGTTAAATATAGCTATTTTTTAACCCTTAAAGCACTACTGTGACGAACATGTTAAACATGTACTGTGCTGGAATATTGTGCGTACTATAGAAGGACATTATAAAGATACGTAAAATATATGCCAATAAGGTTATATGACCCATAATAGCTATTAGTACGTATATATCTTTATATACGTTTATATTTTAATTTTATCTTTCTTTTCTTTTTTTTTTAGCTTAGAATCTTTATTTATAATATTAATATAGCTATGTCTTAAACCCCTAATTATAATATTATTCTAAGCTCCTCCTTTTCGTTAACGAATATTATATAAGTATATTACCTATATCTAATTATTATTATTTATAATTTATAAATTAAACCTTTCCCCTTTTATTATTATATTCCGTACCTGACGATAAATAAGTATAACTTTACAATAAATCTAATTAATAAAATTAAACCTTATACCCTTTAAAATTAAAAAGACCTTAATTAAAATAAATAACCTAAAATAATTTTAACAATTATTATTATATATTATACTTAACGTTCCTATAATTAGTAAATAATTAACCTAGAACCCTATTCCTTTTATTAAAGAAGAAGAGATTAATATTAAATCCAAAAATAGCTTTTAAGACTTCTTAAACCTTAAACCGGAAAATATAACGCTTTTACTATTAAACCTTAATTTAAATAAAGGATTAATAGAACTACCCTAATTAGTAAATAAGATGAGCGTTATTAATTAAGCTGCCTTAATCTAATAGCTATAAAAATAAATTACCGCCCTTTAAGCCTAAATAGAGAGAGGTAGCCTAACCCCAGTACTATAAAAAAGTATAGTTAAAAGTACTTTTAGTAAAGTTAACTTTAAATTAATTAATATAGCTATATAAGCTGTTTTTAAAACAATTAGCCCTATAGGTAACTTTATTGGCTTAAATTTAAAATATACGGAAAAGGCTAAAACTTATAGAGCTAATTTGGGCACCTTCTTTAAAAATAAAGATTTATTTAATAACTAGTTAGGAAAGCTAACTAATAAATTTAAAAAAGATATAATAATATATTTTATTAAAAAGAGTTAAATATATTATATTATATCCCTTTTAAAGGAGGATATTAAAAAAGTGGTTAAGATTTATTTCTGTTTTATTATTTAATTATGTAATAGTTTAACTAAAATAGTATAAACATTGGAAATAATTTATTATAACCTAAATTAAGCTATCTAGGTATAAAATGCCTTAAATAAGTTCTACTTTAAATTAGGTTCCAATATTTATTAATTTATTTTTTAATTTAATAATTTAGCATTAAAGTTAAAGTTGCTTAAATTTAAATAGTTTTAATTCTTATAAAAATATATTAGCTTTAACTTTAAAACTAAAGTATTTAAAATTAATATTAATCTATTAATACTATATAAACACTTTTATAATAAGGTAATAAAGGTAATATATAACTATAATTATTATTATAATTATTAAAAAAAAAGATAAGCTATTAGCTTTATTAACTATAACTTTAATAATAAAAAGAATATAAATAAAAGGAATATTATAATAAAGCTTAAAGGGATAAAGCTTTTAAAGAAAAAGAAAAAGACCTATTAGGAAAATGATACTTATTTTAACTATAGTAAAATAAAATACCGTATTATAAATTGCCCCGGAAAAAGTAAAAATATAGCTTAAATATAAAATAAGGAAAGTAAAGAAAAGCTTGCTAACTTTTTTTTTACTAAATTTAAATTAAAAAACTAGCTAAATTATTAAAAAACTTTTTAACAATTTATAAACTATCCTTAACCTATATAAAAAGTAGTCGAAATATTATTCGATTTATATACCCTATTTAAATATAAATAAATAATCTTGGAATAAAAGCTATTATGCTATATAATATTAAAGCTTAAGTATATTTAATAATTAGCTATAAATTAGCTTATTATATTAGCTGCTAATTAAAGGCTAGGTTAACTACCTTAAAACAACTATAATAATTAAATAATTATTAAGGATAATTTATTAATATAGTTAATTAACACTTTACTATTACTTTAAAAGTAAACGGATAAAGGTTTAAAGATTAAACCTTTTAGGTTATTAATATTAAATATAACGTTATAATTAGTTTAAAATAGCTAGCTAAAAATAAGGTTACTTTAAACTATACCTATTAGATATTATATTAGTTAAAAGATTTATTCCCCCTTACCCTATTCTTACCTATGATTAAAATTATATAGAAGTTTTCTAACGATCAATAAGTTAACCCCGTTATCCAATAGGACGCTAACCGGAAGGATATCGCTTTGGAAAAGAAATACACTATCTTAAAGCGGCCAGCTGTACGCTTCCAAAAAAACATCCAACCGGAAAGCCCAAAAATAAAGCAATTTTAAAATAAAAGGATCATTTAACAATTTATTAAAAAAACTAAGTCAAACCCTAAATGGAAACAATGGAAAAAAAAGGGTGCTCCTAAAGGAATTAATACTTATTAAATTTATTAAAGTGGCCTTAAAGGTAGCTATAATAATATTAAAAAAGATTTAAAAACCCTTTAATAATAAGTATATTCCTTTTTTATAAAATAAAAACCTTAAATATATTAAGCTAGTTCGTTATTTAATCCCTAAAGAGCTAGCCTATTTAAAAGGATTTTTTTTAAAAGTAAAAGTTAATAAGTTACCCCTATTATAATTAGGATATAATATAGTTCTTAAAACTATTATTAATAATCCCTTAAATAGCCCTCCTTAATATTAAACTCCGATTTAATACCTATTATTAAAAAAAGAAGTAATGGATAAATTATTAACCTATAGCTTTATTAAACCTTATATAGAAGTAAATACTTCCCCTATCCTCTTTACCCCTAAACTAAATTTAACTAAAAAACAGTTTTATATAAATTACTAATGGAAAAATAAATACTTAAAAGACTATATTGTTTTAACGTTAGATTTAAATAGTACTATATATAATAGCTAAAGGGTTAAACGTTATGCTAAGCTGGATATTATTAAAGCTTTTTATAGATTAAAGATAGCTTTAAAATTTTAATATTTAATAGCTTTTTGGATTTAATAAAGAATGTTTTAATAATTAATCCTATCCTTTAAATTAAAGATTAGGCCCGCCTAATAATAAAACTTTATTAATTCCTAACTATATAAATTATTTAACCTTTTTATTAATATTTACGCTAATAATGTTTTAATATTTATAAATAATAAAAAAGAGCATTAGGAATAATATAAAAAAGTAATGTATTACCTTTATAATATTAAGCTTTAAGGAGATATAAAAAAATCTTACTTTAATATAACCTTTATAGATTATTTAAGTATAATTTTAAAGGCTGGATAGGATATTTAAATAAACTTTAAAAAAATAAATACTATTATAAGTTAAAAATTTAAAAATTTAATTAATACTTAAACTATCCATTTATTCTTTAAGTTATATAACTTTATTTAAATATTTATATATTATATTAATAATATAGTTAAACCTTTAAACTATTTATTTAAAAAGGGTATACTATTTAAAATGGGTAATAAATAACAAAAAGCCTTTAAATTAATAAAGAAATTAGCTTACGAAATATTAATGTTAGCCTTCTTTTAATTTAATTAACCTATTAAAATTAAAACCAATGCTTTTTAAAATATTATTGGTGGAATTATTTAACAGTAATAAAAAAATAGCATTTAGAAGCTTATAGAATATTTTTTAAAGATTATATTATTAATTAAATAAGCTTATCTTATATAGAATAAAGAATTATTAGCTATAATTTAAATTATAAAGTATAATTGCTTAAAACTATTAAGTATAAAGTTTTTTATAATAATTAACTATTAAGCTTTATTATATTTTACTATTAAGAAAGTTCTTTTTATAAAATAAGTAAAATAGGTAAACTTTTTATTTAACTTTAATATTACCTTTTAATACCAGCTTAGTTAAAAAAACGTAGTAATAAATATACTGTTTTATAAAATAATTAATCTATTAACTATTAAAGCCTATAAAGTTAAAGAATATAATATAGCTCTAATCCTATTTAAAGCTTTAAAAGGGTTGGTAGCTGCTATAGAAAAGGAGGTAATAATATTATATAACTTTAACTTAATAGATTTAATCCAGTAAAAAAACGAAAAATAAGGTTTAAGATATAAAAACTATTAATTAATTATTTTAAAGTAAACCTTTAATTTAAAGGTTTATTTCCGGATAGCTTTAATTAAGGAAGCCTATTATTTAATAATTATTATTTACCTTAAGTAAAATAAATATATTAAAATAATTAAATAGGATTATTATTAGCCCTTATTAAAATAAAATATTTAAATATATATTTATAATTATTATAATTATTAATAAAATAAGATTTCTTAAAATAAAACGTTTAGATTATTATACCCATTACTAATCCCTATAGCTATTTAACATTACATTATAATTAATAAAAAGGATATACCCTTAAATAAATATAGTTATAACTATATATAAACATTTATTAATAAATTTAATTACTTATTAATTATAATACCTAGTAAAAAAAACGATATAGTAAAAGATATAATATATTAATACTATAAATATACCTACCGTTTTTTAGGTTTTTTAAAGGTATAGATTTTAAATAATATAGGACTCTTCATTTTATACTTTTTAATAAAGATTAATAAATTAACCTATATTAAATATTAATATAAGAGTACCTTTTACCCTTAAACGTAAGAAGCTATAAAGTTTATAAATTAAAAGTTAAATTAATAGTTATACTTTTATATTAATAAGTATTAAGATAATTAAAGCCCCTATTTACCTATATTAAATTTTATATATAACGCTTCTTAATATTTAACTATTAATATAGTACTATTAAAGGTTTTAATAGGAATTGATATAAAAAACCCTTTATTGCTACTTTTATTAAATATTATTAAAAAGATAATATTTAAAAAGCTAACCTAACAATTGTTATAATAAACCTATAAAGTATAAAAGGCAGCTTATAAAGTAATAAAGGCTATATAAAAAAGGTAAGAAATATAGGCAAATAAAAAGCAACGCTTAATAAACTTCCGTATAAAAGATAAGGTCTTTTTAAAAAAGAAGGGCTTTATAACTAATAGCCTAACTATTAAATTAAACTCCTAATAGGTTAAACCTTTTAAAATATTTAAAAAGAGGGGATATAGCTATATATTAAACTTTTTAAAGTTAATAAAGATAATTAACCTTTTTTATATAAATCGATTATATAAAGTAAGCGAAAACCTATTACTTTAATAAACCTAACCGCTATTAAAACCTAAAGATATTAAAGGAGAACCGGAGTAAAAAGTTAAATAGTTATTTAAGTTATAAATAATAGGGCGTAATAAAATGCTATAATATTAAATTACTTAAAAAGGTTATAACCTTAACGATACTTAGTACCCAGCAAAGAATTTTAAAAACTTATTAATTAAAATATAAAAGTTTTATAAAAAATAGCTTAATATACTAGGACTGCTTAAACAGCTAAACGAATAGATAAAAGTTATAGCAGTTAACAAATTCATTACTAACTACCCTAATAATAATATTATTATATAAAATAATAATATAATTAAAACCAAACGTTATAAGTAATTCTTTAACCTATTTTACACCTATATTTTAATTTTAATAGGGAAAAGTATAATAAATATATTAAATATATACTATACCGGAATATTATACATATTATAAAAGAACACTATAAAAATACGTAAAATATATACTAATAAGGTCACGTAACCTATAATAGCTATTAGTATATATATATCTTTACATATACTTATATTTTAATTTCATCTTTTCTTTCTTTCTTCCTTAACTTAAAATCTTTATCTATAGCATTAATATAGCTATACCTTAAACCTTTAATTATAATAACTATTATATAAAAGCCTTAAATATTATTATTTAAAATGGAATAATTAATATTATAAAGTTAAAATTCCTTAGCTATATTTAATAGGTTAAAATTTAAGCCTTTAAGCCTTTAATAATAATTAATACCTTTAAAAAAACCGGAATTCACCCTTTTAACCTTTATAAAGTGCTTTAAGTATTAAAAAAACATATCCTTTATAAGGCTACCCCTATATAATCTATAACCTTTAAATTACTATCCAGCCCTCCTATACCTACCCTTATAATTTTATAATATATTAATAAAGCTATATATTATATTATTAAAGCTTTAAAAGGAATAAAGGGCTTAGATTTTAACCTTATTAACGTTATTATTAGTTTTATTAAGGGATTTATTTTAAATACTATAAAAATAGTTTAACTTTAAACTAACCTCTTAAGGATCTAATTAACCTAATAGGTCTTTAAAGCTTATAGATCTATAAAAAATACACTGTTAAAGTTAAGGGGGGTTTTAATTATAAAAGAAGGTTACTATTTAATTAATTAATATAATAAAAACAAACTTAAAAAGGCTTAAAAGCTTGTTTAAGCTATAGAAGAACGGTTTAAAAAAGCCTTTTAATATACCTTTAAAAAAGCAGTAAAAATAATATATATTTAAAGGCTATCTAAAAGGCTATTACCTATATTAATTATCTCTAACGATAGAAAACGCCGTTTATTGTATAGATTCTAGCTATGAAGGTTAAAAAAGTGGTTATTTTAATGATGTGGTTAAATTGGTGTTTAGCACCTACTTTAGTAGGTATGCTGTTGCAAAGCCGGAAAAAGGGTGGGGCGTGGCACGGTTAGTCTTTCGTACAGCTGCCAAACTTTCAACAGGCCGATAACTTCGTAAGCCTTACAGCAATCGTTTTCTAAACCCCCCCCCCCCTCCCCTTCAAACCCGCTATGGTACCTAAGTACATACGAAGTAGTAGATAGATACCTATACTATATAGTTTTCTTCCCCTCCTATTCTCAGCTTTAGTCTGGACCCGAGACCCTTATCGATTGGGCCTGCTCTCAGCCACTGAAGGGGTAGGTACCTCGCCGTGCACGCAGACTGCACCAGAGACTGTTGTACCAGCACCCCTCATTTCCAAGTTTCAAGTCTACGGTGTTAGATACGCACATGTGTTAAATGTAGCAAAATATAGCACGATCGGACCGGACCCCGCCAAACCCAAAGCATCCGTCGTCAGGCCATGTACCAGGTATCCAACCCCACGTACCTTCCTACGCTCGCTTCCTGGCTGGCAGGTACCTGCCGTAGTGCCAATTGGTTACTTGGTGGGCTTCCGCGGCAACCTCTCTCTCTCTCTCTGCCCCGCCAGCCAAACGTACCTACCTACACAGGTAGTACCTACATATCTACAGCCTCTCTCCCTCTGTCTATCACCTAGTTTTTCCTCTCTTCCTCTCCTCCTCTTCTCCAGATCACCAGCTTCTGTATCTGCTCTCCGCGTATACTAGGATCGTCTCAACCTGTAAGCATTCCCGCTATTGCCATCTTCGTTTTCAATCTTCTCGGACTTCAAGCACACGAACATCCCCAAGCTCATCCGCCAAGCGATCAGCTCATTCTATGTCCTACCCCGCCAATCTCACACCCTCCTACACCATATATTCCTCAACAGCACTCGCTGCCGTGAGGTATATTCTGTCCACTTAGCTTGGAAAGTTACCGGGCCTTGTCTGAACTCTATTGTCTTTCTCCTTTCTCTCTCCTTTCTCACGCATCCACTTGCCCTTCTCTCCCACTTCCATCCCATCGACTTCCATTTTTCGAAATTTTGGATCACCCAGATTTTCCTCGTTTACTGCTCCTCATAAACCAACTGACAGCGAGTACCACCAGTGGCATATTATCCCGAACCTGCAAAACCCGCAACATGGCGATCAAGAAGATTCACGCCCGCTCCGTTTATGACTCCCGTGGTAACCCCACTGTGGAAGTTGACGTTGTCACCGAGACTGGACTTCACCGTGCCATTGTTCCCTCTGGTGCTTCCACTGGTGTGTAATTTCCATTTTACACGAAACGAAGTCGGCTAATTGTCCTGCGCAGGTCAGCATGAAGCTTGCGAGCTTCGTGATGGAGACAAGACCAAGTGGGGTGGCAAGGGTGTGACCAAGGCCGTTGACAATGTTAACACCATCATTGCCCCCGCAGTTATCAAGGAGAACCTCGATGTGAAGGACCAGAGCGCCGTTGACAAGTTCTTAAACGAGCTTGATGGAACCGCCAACAAGACTAAGCTTGGCGCAAATGCCATCCTTGGTGTCAGTCTAGCCATTGCTAAGGCTGGCGCTGCCGAGAAGGGTGTTCCCTTGTACGCTCACGTCTCGGACCTGGCCGGCACCAAGAAGCCATATGTCCTTCCTGTCCCTTTCCAGAACGTCCTGAACGGTGGTTCCCACGCCGGTGGCCGCCTAGCCTTCCAGGAGTTCATGATTGTTCCCTCCAGCGCTCCTTCTTTCTCAGAGGCCATGCGCCAAGGTGCTGAGGTCTATCAGAAGCTGAAGGCTCTTGCCAAGAAGAAGTATGGTCAGTCTGCTGGCAATGTCGGAGACGAGGGTGGTGTTGCCCCCGATATTCAGACTGCCGAAGAGGCCCTTGACCTGATTACCGAGGCTATTAAAGAAGCTGGCTACACTGGTAGCATGAACATCGCTATGGATGTTGCCTCCAGCGAGTTCTATAAGGCGGATGTGAAGAAATACGACCTTGACTTTAAGAACCCCGACAGTGACCCCAGCAAGTGGATCACCTACGAAGAGCTTGCTGCTCTCTATGGTGAACTGGCCAAGAAGTACCCAATTGTGAGCATCGAAGACCCCTTCGCCGAGGATGACTGGGAGGCCTGGAGCTACTTCTACAAGACCCAAAACATTCAGATCGTTGGTGATGACCTAACAGTCACCAACCCCATCCGCATCAAGAAGGCCATTGAGCTCAAGGCTGCAAATGCCTTGCTCCTCAAGGTCAACCAGATCGGAACATTGACTGAGTCCATCCAGGCTGCTAAGGATTCATATGCCGATGGCTGGGGTGTCATGGTTTCCCACCGCTCGGGTGAGACCGAAGATGTTACCATTGCCGACATCGTCGTAGGTATCCGATCTGGCCAGATCAAGACCGGTGCCCCTGCCCGTTCCGAACGCCTTGCCAAGCTTAACCAGATTCTTCGCATTGAGGAGGAGCTCGGAAGCAACGCCATCTACGCTGGTGCCAACTTCCGTACAGCTGTCAACCTATAATTGAATTTTAGAGTCCTCGGCTATTTGCATGTGGTGCGTATGATTTAATGATGATCGGGATGATTCGGGGAAATGGAAATGGTCTGGGCAAAAACGGCGATGATAGATTTCGGGGTTACTATTAAGAATATGAGATATATGACAAAATACTACGATGATGTCATGCCGTGTGATGTACACCATATCGCGTCGGCGGGAACCGCAACGTATTGCTTGTGTTAGGTAGACTAGAGATGGATACTAACTACAGTATAAACACGAAATCTTCCGTGATCGCGTCCTGATTACCGAACTTAACCTAGGTAGTAATAACTCGAAACCGGACTGCAGAGATGCCCGTACCACTACTTGCTTTGTTGTTCATGGTTGCTACCTTGGTTGAAACCTTCCAACAATGCAACTGTATTCCGTGAAAAGTCTAGCAAAGACAGCTTAGGCTCAGCTAGATACCTGACAGGTACTCACGCAAATAGGCCAACTCAGTAGATTGTATCGTCATCCGTCAGGTCAGTACTCTACAGATTCTTGAATCTTTGAAACATGATTGTGAATATTGCCGTGTTGATTTCACTACGTGGTTAGGCGACACACAGTTGTATGACTCTGTTAATTCTAGTAATGTTAACAGCCAAGCCCCTCAGACTAGTGATATACTACGTGTGGCCTTGGTTATTGGTTATTGTTCAAAATTTGTTTGCGAATTGCGTACAGTTGCTATTGTTGGGTCAGAACAAGTCAGGCTGATATGAATGTAGCGCCCATAAACATTTCTAGTTTGAAGCCGAGAATAGCAAAGTGAATACGCGTTGATTCTCCATCTATATCAATGTTGGATGAGATCTAATTTAAATATATGTAGAGCATGATTACTGGAGGTTGCGAGAGCGCCAAGGCAGCAATAGATTAGCAGCAGGTGCATTCACTCCACAGATCTCTATGGAAGTCATTGATATGACGATAGTATTCGCGCTCTAGATGCCGAGATCATTGCTCAGCCTTGCCAGAAGCGTGGCAGATAACTCAGAAACATCACATGATTCTAAGGGCTAATAAATAGTCAGCGTGGGTTCAGGAATGGCTGAAGTTGCATCAAATAGTAGATAGAAACAGTTCCGAATCAGAAGTCCGTTTAATACATTTCGGGCGAAAAGGCCCGATGATATAAGAGGTACCAGAAATAAAAGTAAAAAGTTGTTTATCATCATAGGAAACAAAGGCTGGGTAGGTCTAGGAGAGTCCAAAGTAGGTTCAACATACCTTGAGATCGCTCCATGCACCAGAGACTAAGATGCAAATAGAATCTAGCGATGTTTGTTCGTTAAGACTTGAGCACCTAGATGCTAACGCTCGATGGTTCTAGCGGAGGCACTGTTACCTTGCTTTTCCAGGCTTGAGGCGAAGGAAGGGCAGAAGATTTTGCTGAGGTTTAGACCTGAGCTAGAATAAATTTAGCTTATCAGTAGACGCGGTAGATTTTCGGCCTTGGTGAAGCTAGGGTACTACTTAGACTAGGACAGGACCTCCAGAGGTACCTATCTGTTTGGGTGGAGATGCTGGGCGCTTGGACCACATTTTTCGCCTGCCTATCAGCGCCCACAAACCTCCCACCTGAAATTTCGTACGCCTAAATTACTAGCCGCGATCAAACTTCCTGTAACTTTTCAACCTCTCTCGACCGAGACAAATCGACAACCGCTCATCGCCCAACTCCGTGTCCGCCGACAAACAACACCAACACCGCCAAGATGGGTCGTCTTCACAGTATGTTGCCCTCGGCATGCTCCCCCAATTCTGTATATCACCGAGACCGATTTGGCTTTTTTTTGCGACGTTCGCTTACGTTCGACTTGTGATTAGGCAAGGGAAAGGGTATCTCCAGCTCTGCTCTCCCATACTCTCGCGCTCCCCCTAGCTGGTCCAAGGCCACGGTAATCATTTAGCCGACTGCTTCATCGATTGAACATGCACTGATGCGTTGCGTAGCCCGCCCAGGTTGAGGAGAACATCATCAAGCTCGCTCGTAAGGGCGCTACACCCAGTAAGCGCCCATCTACCTCGACCATCCATTTGGGACAACGTCCTCGACCGTAATTCTGGATAGAGTAAATCAGGGGCTGACTTAGGAACAGGCCAAATCGGTGTAGTTCTGCGCGACTCTCATGGCATCGCCCAGGTTAAGGCTGTTACCGTATGTACATCAGATCGGATCAGAAAGGTGTTGATAGCGTTAGCTAACGAAGGTATCTCTAAAGGGCAACAAGATCCTCAGAATCCTAAAGTTCGTTCTTCCCTCTATATGGCGAGTATGTCGAGACAAAAGCTAACATTTCATAGGTCCAATGGTATGACATGAAACCCCCCTAGACGACAATGAACAAAAATCCTACATCCGATATCTACTCGGATTATCGGCCATCGGCTCTATTATAGCCACTAGTTGGTCCAGGCTGACAGTGTGACTGGCTAAACAGGCCTTGCCCCTGAGATTCCTGAGTAAGTTTTAATTTCTCGACGATGAACTTTGTGTGACGATGCTGACATTGCGCCAGGGACCTCTACAGTAAGTTTATATTTTCCGAAACTTGTTATCCCTCAATTTTGTCACAGTTTTTCTGGGTTGTTAAAGAGATCTGGGAGGCATTTTCGTCGTGCCTAGAGTGTTGGGATTTCCTCCGTCGATAATGATCCTCTCAATTCATAATCGCCCCTCATTAAATTCTTGGGAAACATGCGCGCTGACCTAGAGTTCTTTAGTGTTGATCAAGAAGGTGAGCTGAGCTTTTGCAAGCCGGTCTGAGGGTAACGACTAACACAGCACCAGGCTGTGTCCGTCCGAAAGCACCTTGAGCGCAACCGAAAGGACAAGGATGCCAAGTTCCACTTGATTTTGATCGAGTCCAGTAAGCGAATTTCCCTCCCCTTTGTTTAAAAAGGAAAGCACTAATTATCCATTAGGGATTCACCGCCTCGCCCGGTATGTATCTACATTATGCAGGCGTTTCTAGCTGCCGACACCTGCCAGAATTTGATAACTTGTGACAGTTTAACTGATTCCTGGAATAGTTACTACAAGGCAAGCTTCCTGATATGAACCATCATTCACCGAATTACGAGCACTAACTCTGAGCCATAGACCGTCGGTGTTCTTCCTCCTACCTGGAAGTACGCTAGCGCCACTGCTAGCACTATCGTCGCTTAGATGTGAAGCGATAATCTAACATCGAATGATCTGGGCATGGAGTTCGTGGACCTGGAGAGGTATTGCTTTTAAGGCACACAAAAATCAATTTGACCTGGGTCAAATAAGATAGATGAAAATGGTCATTTATCATAGAGATTAAAAAAAAGAATCTCAATCAATGTCGTAAACCAATCCTGAAACACAATGGTATCACTAGTGAAGGCCTGTAATCTATGGACGTCGAAATGCCTGTCTATCCACCATTTTCCTGTCCACGAACGCCACAATTACATGAACAATATCATTAATAATCTATGTTTCGAACTCTTTCGACCGTTCGAGAAGGAATTGGCCAAGAACCCGCAACGGGTCTTTGGGTCTAAGGTAAAAAGGAAGTTAGCGTGTTTACGGCGACATAAGATGAAGCACTAAACTCACTGATCCTTTGCAAGCTGTTTCATGCCCTCGAGCAGATGAGCAGTGACTTTGCTGTTCAAGTATTGTCGTACCGGTGCGCCGTGGGCGGGAGCAGCGTCGGGCATAGTGAAAGCGGGATCGGGATGTTGTGACGCAGCACGCGACGTATTGTCTTGGCCATTAGTGCGTAGAGGTGTGCCGGTTCGTGGAGGGGCAGGGCTCGGGGCATTGGTGGAAGGCGCAGCGGGCGCTGGAGACTGGAAATGAAGAGAGCATCCTGTCAGCTACCTATCCATTGACCATGTCCACGTGGTTAGATTGCTAAGATTATAGAATATTAAACATACAGGGGCTTGATCGGCGCTGGAGGCGTCTACCATTGTGATATCCTTATTGCCTGTCTCGGTAGTCGGCGCAATTGCCTGTCCTTCTGGAGTTGTTGAGGCCTCGCCAGGTTGGCTCTGCACAAGCACAGGCGCCGCCGCGGGTTGAGGCTGGCCATACGTGGGCACGGGGACGGGGGTTTGGGGGATCTCGTCGGCCATGGTGAAAGAAGGAAGTGTTGGGCAATTAGAAGTTGTGGTGTAAGTTCGTTAAAGCTGAAGGAGTGACGGTATCAAAATTATAATTGAAACGTTCATGAGATCTTGTCTTAGGACCTAGGTCCTACCCTGGGTATGTACCTAGGCGTAACTGCCCTAGGTGCGCTGGAGACGCGATGTCCCGTGACTTCGCGCTATCAATTTAAGCCCCTGTCCATCGTAGGCGCGTGCCTACGCGCGCTTTTCTCTCCCCCCTTCAATTATTCTTAGCATATCCGAACTCTTGGAGGAGGTATTCGTTGCTACGGGATGCTGGTCATCTAGTGGCCACCATGATGGATGCTTTCCTCAAAAAGGCGAAACCTAATGCTCGCTCTACCCCGCAACTTAAGGAGAGACCAACCCAGTTAGCTGAAGAGCACCCGAAGAAGAAAGTCAAGCGAGAGGAGACCAATGATAGCGATGCCGATTCGGACGACTATCAAATCGATGCTCCGCCTTTGAAGGCCTGGCCCCATTTACTGAAAGAAAGGGATGGTCTCGATAGTCCTGCAGATGATGACGTAGTAGAGAGGTCCGAAAGGTCTGAACCAGAAGACGCACACACATCTAGATCAACCGCGATTGAGAGCTCCTTGCCTGAGACAAAACTTGATAAGAAGGCCATCGAGGATTATCAGAATTTTAAGTCTTCCCAGGAAAACGATGCCTCCAATGCATCGACCAGACTCGGCTCTAGAGCATGGGAAAGGGGTAAGAGCTCCATCTACGTCGACGCTTTCAACCTCGCCCTAGACACTGTTCTCGACGAAGAGGCGCATTTATTTGACCCAAAAGAGAAACGGGTTTTTGATGAGTGGAGGTCCCTTGATTACGAAGCTCAGTTCTTGTAGGCGGTCGAATACCTCCATGTCAGTTTCCTATGTTCTAACCGCTCTTCAGATATGTGCGCTTGTTCCTTAGGAAAACGTCCTCCTGGCATCGCATAGCTCGTCTAAGATATTATAATGATATCACTGACACTGAAGCTGCTGTGAAATCGTTACAGAAGACCAGAGACCTAACAAGCAAAACCTCGCCTGTGCAGAAATCCCCTATACTAGAACTAAACAATTTTATTCAGGAGCAATTTAGCTTTGAAGATGAATTCACTTTTGCGGACACTTCAGAGGACTTCATTGATAGCGTGGAGGAGGCCGTTTCGCTTCTAACTTTGGACGAAGTGAAAACCTTAGCGAAGGAAGCCAAAGTCCAGGGTAAAAACAAATCCGACTTGGCCAAAGCTATCTGCAGAATGAGCAATCAACAAGCGGGCCTATTGTCAATGGGCCTTCGAAGGTCTGACACTGCTGAGTCGGTTGAGTCATCCGGACGGGAAACGCCTACATCCAACAAACGATCGCCCGTGTCAGGCTCAGGGGATGATGGAAACAGGCGAAAGCACTTCCTCGATAAGGTATTAGCCATAACAGGTCCCTGTGTAAGACTTTCTCTACCTGTTTTCAAACTTTTTGAGAGAGTTCATCTTGTCTTCTACAGATCTACAGAGTGGACTGAGAAGTCTTTGACGACAATCATCCTAGCCAAGATTTCGAGACGCAATTTTCCATCCTATATTGTTAGCAGATCTTCCAATATATTCACATCTCGACCGCAGCTTCTAGAATTTGAAACTGCCATGAAATCTGAATATGCGGTTGATAACATTCTAGAATTTAACGGTCCCATCACAGATAAAGGCTTTCAAAAAGTAATTGACGTCTTCGAAACGATATACTCTAGATGGATACGCCTTTTGCAGGAAGAGCAGGAGAAGGAAGAACGAATCTACGAGTCTGGTGAAGGTGCCTACCTGCGACGACTGAGTCCTGGGCATGCCTATACGCGCATCGTTCATAAAGCTGCCTACGTTTTTGGACGTCTGAAAGAGCATCAGAGAGAGCATGAGATATTAAGCGAGCTACTCAACCAGCACCTTTTCCATCTAGCACGTCGAGGGTCGTGGTACCAACGAAAAGCTCTATTAGAGGAGCACTACATGCATGCCTTGCTACCAAATCCTGCCTACACTGATCCAGAAAGGCAGAAAAACCACTGGAAATCTATAGCGGCGGCCACCTGTGAAAAAGCTCTCGAAGATCCTGACTGCCATCTTAAGTATCATTACGACCTGCAGAAGCGGCTGGTCAAGCTTGAGAAGCAGCTCAAGATACCCGTCAGGCTACAGCATGGCTTCGGTCACGTTCAGTTGAAACGGCCGGAACAACATCATGCTGAAGGTATCCAATTGAAGAAACTAGATTCTATAGGGAAAAATGGGCGCGGGCCTAGTACGAAAACGATCTGGATTGATGAAGTTGAAGGTGGGGGTGAGTGTAGTGTCGAAGCCATGTGTCTCAGCTGGTATAGAGGTCAAGGTTGGAAAGGATATCACTCTGAGGGGGGCATCATACGAACTCTATTCGCCTATCTATTTTTTGACATTCTCTTCCTCTACATCCCGAACGTCTTCCAAACAGCCTATCAGACGTGTCCACTGGATTTGCACACAGATGCCTTCTACCCAACCCGGGCCTCGGAAATAAATCATCGATTAGTTGAAATAGCAAATGGAAGGGCACCGCAACTAATTGAGGAGGTCGATAAGCAGGAGCGGGAAAAGCGCACTTGCGTCGTTGGTCTTAATTGGGACTACGAGCTAGAGGATTTACGCGAGCTTGCCGACTGTTTCGATGGTGAGGCACTCGCTACAGTTTGCAAGGTGATGGCTCAAGACTATGGCCAGAGAGGAGGCGGTATTCCCGACCTGATCCTATGGCGGGCTAAACCGCAGAAGGAATGCATGTTTGCTGAGGTCAAGAGTGCAAACGACCGCTTGAGTGATACCCAAAGGCTTTGGATTCATGTTCTTACTGGGGCTGGCCTCAGGGTAGCACTATGCAATGCAGTTGCGAAGGAAGTGAGAGAGATCTAGTGGGAGTCCACTGGTATCACCTTACATCTCTCCATCCGTTTAACCACGCGCATCAGTCTCAGCCCCCCGATTCTGATTCTAGAGCTTGGCAGCTACCGGTATCATGTTTGGCACGACCAAACTCTTGTAGTGAAGGTATCAGTCACTTGTCTGCCTGTCGAGTATTATTTCGCCTTTTAGTGGGAACTCATCATGAAAACTAGCAGGGGAAACCCCCCCAGCCTATAGAATTAGTTCACTCATTCGGTGTTGACAGTCTCACCGCAGGCATACACCCTAACACTAGACGCACAAAAGAGCTCCAACATAGTCCTTCATTTGATAAAACTCCCTCTTCCAGCTCGTCATCTCAATTGTGCATGTGGATGGAGGGATGAGCCAGGTCAATTTCCGAGGTATGATCTTGTGCGATAGGATAACATGCACAGTAGGAGATTATTGCATTCTGTCCTACTCTCTCAATCTCTTGGTTCAAGTTTCCAGTGATCCTTCCTTGTCATCACATCCACGTTTCTGCGATCTTGCCTCATTTGGAAAGGTATCATCGGAAAATTAGCTTGATCTTATGCGGAGGACAGCCTCGATTGGGAACTTTCCCAACCTCTCGACTTAACCCAGGATGCAATCCAATATACCCAGGCAACAACACCACAAAGAACCCAGCTCCGAGTTTGAAGTCTCATCACGCAACAAAACGCAAGGAGCGGGTCGCAGAGACCGTGATGAAGAATAAATGGAAAACAATTACACAATGATGCATGTCAAACGTTCGCCCAGTGACTGCTTTAGCCTTGGCATGTCACTGATATTATGGGACATGAGAGATTCACATTCCGACCTGAAGCATGGTTGGTTGCACAAGCTACTGCGGCTCTTGTCACATTCCTCCATTGCGTTGGGGAAAGTTTTGGTCCTTTGCCCGACTACAGTGTGTGCGGAGTTGGCAGGCATTCCAAGGCTATCCCGACTGTTATCATGTCCGAACTAGGGCTGCCTCCTTTGGCGTACCAACTCATATGGTTGAACATATTGAGCGTTTGTCGGTCCTAAGTACAAGCAGAACAAGAACTGAGTCTAGTCACCTGTCACATACACTGAAGACGTAGATATAGCTGTATACTAATGCCGCGAACCAATACTCTGACGAGACTCAATAATGTGCCTCTCTTGATGTGGGCGCATGTCCTCCAACGTTCCACATGATGTACTCAATATCGCATTGCTTACATGTATCAAGGCGACCAACTAGCGTAGTATAGATGTTTAGTGGTATACCTTGATATCACTCACCGCCGGCAGACAAAGTGACTACGGTTAAGCTGGGCAACTTGCTTTCATGATATCTCCAACAATGGCGGGATGTAGACCCTCCGAACAAGGACTTGCAAAGCTTCTTGCTTAGTAGGTATCAATAGCGATGTCCATACCTATGTTAGCTATGTAGTAAGCGAGATCTATTGCCTCTCCAGGTTCCTTCGTGTCCCCAGCTCCATCTGTCGACTCGAAGCAGGGGAGTTTCTACACATTCCCATCATTCCAATTCATACACCAAATGTCCTGGGCGCTTAGATGCTTACGGCGGCAACCAATAGGCGCTCGCGATGCCGAGATAGTCGGAGGGTGGGGTTTGGCCCATGCACGTCACAGACCGAGCAAGAGGGAAAAACAACCCAAGAAGAAAAGAGGTGACGAGGATTAATTTACCCCTCTATCCTTGTCGTTTCCCCCCTCTCTGCCCCTCCTGTTAGCCAGCCGACTCCGTACCGTCTGATTGGCCCCGCGAACCAACGAGCCAGGCGCTTAAATGTTATATCACTGTTAGCGTGCGAATGCAAATCCCAGGATTCTGGCACAAGGCACCGTCGGCCAATCACGTCTGGAACTCTTGGTCGTGGTGTAACGACTATTAGCATTTCTTTCTCTTTTTCCTTTCTCCTCGTCCATCGACTTAGGTTGTGTACTGACTGGGCTGGAACTCTCTTTGTCTGCTTCGCTTGCCGGAGACCTTGGGTTGTACTACCTGCTGAGATGACGAGGTGACAATACGAGAGAGAAATAAGGGAGATCGGTTGTACGGGCGGGCTAATTAGGCGTGTTTTCTGTCATCTCGGCTTCGAATGCCGGTCATTGAGGTTTGGCTACACGACGGCCTTCGCTACCCAAATGTGCACTTTCATAGTTGTGGGGGAGGGAAGACCAGAGCCCGAATATTTAGCGTAGGACTCGAGTGAGATGACGGCATTTTGTCCGTACCTAGTGTAGTGGTAAAAGCAGTCAAGGTAGATATGAGTTTGGGGGCCAAAATGTGCCTGGTGGTGAGGTCTACTCCCCCCAGAGATGGCAAACCGGATTCGCCTACCCACCTACCTACCTACTACTGTATAATAAGTACATATTGTATCAGAAAGAAGTCCAAACGCAAAGCATGCTGCGTTGTGCTGCGCTGTCTGTACCTCGCCAAGTAAAACACAGCTCGAACAACAGCAGTAATTGAGGTCCGTGAGCAACAACTCCCCAGATGCCATAACCGTCATCACTGCGATCTTGTGTAGTAGGCGATCTGGGCTTTCTGACTGGCTGGCAGGCTGGCCTCTCCCGCGGCCGCTTTTCTTCGCGTGGTAACAAAAATAAATACAAAGAAGGAGGGGGGTGGATGTACAGGAATAGTGCAGGAGACCAACCACTGATCTGCCTGCTTACCTACGGTCCAAGTAGGTACAGAGCAGGAAACGCGTGAGGCAACCCTGTGTACACAACGTTGCGAGGACTTCCTTGGCTTTTCTTTGTAGTGCAGCGCGAGTGTACTATTACTACGGCAAGGTGTGTGTAAATGCGTACCGTAGTGAGTCCAACAACCGGCGCCAGTGAGAGCTAAGCAGCCTACGAATAGCGATGAACAAATCAGAAGGACAAACCAACAATATGAAATGCAGCCAATCGGCATAGCTAGCTCTTCTAGAAGAAAGAGAGAGAAAGTTCTCTGTTGTTCTTTAAAACGTACCCGTACATTGTGCCACTAGCTGGCTGGCTTAACGTTACGAGCATAAAGTGCGTACAGGAAGTTCAGCCCCATCAACACACGGTCCGAGAGAGGGGCTGGCCAAAGAGAAGCCAAACATTGACCGAAAAAAAAAATTAAGTCTGTATGTGTATGTATCTATGTATGCAAGAAGGGTGGTGTGAGGTGTTTGTTGTTATTGTTTACTGTATTCTTATTAGCGGTGGCGACTTCTGCGGTAGGTAAGGAGGAAGGTAGGCACCTAGGTCCGTTGATTACGTGTAAAGAATATGTTGGAGAACCAGGAACAGAAGATGCAGAGGGAAGGGTAGAGGGAGTTCGTCTCGCCAGAGCAAGCAAGCAAGCCAAAATAAACAATGGGATGTGGTCTAACACAGTAGGTAGGCGAGTAGGCAGGTATGTACCAACCACCTCGGGCCGCATTTGAGGTCGCGTTTTGTTCAATGATGCTCCTCTTTGCTGCAGGAGATATGGACACTTACAGGTCAAGAAACGCGCTTTGATTTGACGGTTTTGCTCATCTTGTTTCTCCCTCAAGCGTGGTGTCTTTCCTTGAGAGGCTAGTTTTGTCGGTGTGAGCAAGCATAGGTAGGTTATTGTATGTTGGTAGGAATCATACAGAGCCAGTGAGTCACAGGTCAAAAGAACCAACAGGCACAAAGATAGCGGCGAACAACATCTGCATGGTACTGTGGGATATATGGAATCTCATTGGAGTTTCTCCCTGTCGCTTCCTCCTCACACTCTGGATCTATGTCCGCGCGCATAAGCACTACGCTGTCCTCACAAGCAGGCTAGGTAATGCATCAGTCAACAACCGCGCTTTCGTCGTAACTCAGTGGTTGCGCTTCTTTCCGATAGCCCACATTCGCCCCCGGTTCTTAGCCAGCCTCTGCTACCTTGGGTATGTCTAAGTATGCCCTTCCCATCCTGGCTTCCAAAACCCTTGGCACCAGTCCTAATTGCCCCTCCCAGCATGTATCAGAGACCCTTTAGAAAAATATCAATGAGGCAAGAATGATCTCACATTTTTACCTCTGGTATCGCAAGCTGGGGAATTGTTTGCAAGACGCCGCCCAGCAACGCCATGGAACTCCTCCAACACCAAACGCTGTTGGTGAGGTTAGTTAAAAATGATAATGATGAAACCCGTGAACGTAAAATTCGTGTCTGGTGACCAAGCCCCAGCTCTATTATTTTGTGGAGCAGCGGTCTGATTTCGTCGAAGTCGTGCAAGCCGTGCTCATAGTTCGAGCAGCTAAAGCAGATAGTATGAACAAATGGAAGAGAAATTTTATCGGTGTTGAGGTGATTTCGTAGCAAGTGAGGTCGTTAAAATTGTTTGTATGGCTCTGCTTTCTTCGCAAGCTTCTGTGGGTTTAATGTTTCCTCAAGTGATGCTGTATGCCCTTTCCATTGAAGCGCGCCACTTTGACTCAAGATGAAGTAGTCGTGGGTGAAGGTGAGGGTATCTCCGTCGTCGCTGCCGTCAGTTTCTGGCAGGTCGAGTGCACTTTCCTCCGCTTGCCCTTGGGGGCTGGACTCATCCGTGGCGTGTAAGTGACTGTCCGCGTAACGACTTCTCGAATGTGCCGCACACTCTTGTTCGTTGCCTTGTGTGCTCTGCAGTCTTGGGAATAACGGGCCTTCAGCGCTGCCTCCCAGTCAAACGGTGATCGCACTGATCGGGCACTAAAAGGTGACCGTATCGTGGCGCTCAAGGGCGAGTCCACCATCGAGACGGCAGGGGATGGTGGTACTTTTAGACTTGGGTGTGAAGTCACGCTCATGGGTGGTGCAGACATAGGCTGGTTTGAGTATGGGCTTGGTGGAACACTCTCGGGTGACTTGTGACCGCCGCACTTACATGAGCAGTCTGTTTGCTCACTGCTCGCTGTAGATGGCATTGATTCTTGTGCCGAGTCTTCCTCTGGCGTGGAACTGCCAGATAGTGATCTCTTCGCTGGGACGACAGGCGACTGAACTGACATAGCCTTGAGAAAATCCATATAAGCTGTTGGTGGGCTGATGGGCGTCCGAGCACTGCCTGGGAATTCCTCTTTAATAAAACTTGGTACAGCTGAGAGAGGCGTTCTAGCTGACGCCGAAAGAGCAGACAGCTCAGACGGAAATGTCGCGGTGACGGGCGTCGTCAACTGTGCGAGCTTTGGCTTAGCTGTGGGCATGATGACGTTATTAGTTTCTCGTAGTTGGTGTGAGTAGGCGGTGGTATGCTCTTATATATCCTTCCTCAAGTCAAGTGAATGACTCGCCAGGGTTGATAAGACAAGGTCGTGAGATGTCTAGAAGCTGCGCGCAGAAGTCACCGTGATATTGCGAAGGTCCGGTACTTGACAAAGAAGAGGTAAGCCGGCAAGAGGAAGAGCAGAGGTTATACTACTAATATGTGGGTTGATGGTTGATGGCAGACCGGGGGTTGTCCAGCAGAGAAGCCAGGGGGTGCCGGGGTCCGTTGTAAAACAGCGTGGGGAGTGGGCGCAAAGCCAGCCGAAACGAAACGGAGGCGCCAAACGAACAGGGAAGGCCAAAACGCGCGCGCGCGCTGCTAGGAACACTGCCCAGGAAGCCGTGTGACGGGATCCAGAGGGATGGGTGGAATGGGTGTGGCCGCAACACTGGCCGGGGTGTGACCTAGTGTAGAGAGTGTGATAATCTGGACGCTCACGCCGGGACAAGAGAGCGCAGGCGCACCGTATGACAAGAATAAAAACGAAATAAATAATAATAATAATAAAAGAGCAAGATAAAATAGATGATAGCCAGCGCGCGCTATGCCGTTTAGCTGTGAATCACCTACCTACTGTAAGTGTTCAAGGTCGACGCTGAATGGGAGAAATGTACAGATGCACTCTGGTCGGAAATTCCCACGCAGATTCAACAATACACTAGGCAGGCTACACCAGGACTTGACAGGGGTGGGCAAGGTACCCGGACAGCTGTGTAGTGTACCGGATAGAAGAAGTCCTCAAAACTGAGTAGAGTGCTCGTCAGTGGAGCGTCTCGAGGACCAGTTGGCGCGGGCGAAGAAGCCAATTGAGCCCACGATGGCGGCAAGCAAGTGGTGGGAGTGGACCAATCTACTGCGCCGTCACGCCCTCTCCTTCGCCCAGGTAGCGTGTGTTGGGGGGGGGGGGGGGGGGGTGTACCGGGTGGTAACGAGCGGGATTGGCTGGCCGAGCGGCACCAGAGGTATGCTTAATCGACTCTGTGTCTGTCTTTATCTCTCTCTCTCTCTTCTCTTTCTCTTTCTCTCTGTTCGGACAAAGCCTTGCCAGGTTCGGGGATGCCGCCTGTATGTAACCACCAACGCCAAAACGCACGATACCTACTAGAGAAAGCTCTGTCAGCTGGAGACGAAACCAATGATGTGGAAAGATCAGAATGGTAAGTAAGAGGTTCTGAACGACACACCTACCTACAGTAAGTAGCCTTTGAGTCGAATATCACGGCGGTCGAATGAGATGTGATTCGCTGGGCGGCCCCCTGGAGCGTTCATGCGGTTGCACTGGGAGAGGCCTGGATGGATGTGGAAGTTCCTAGGTAGGCAGTACCTATGTACAGACTATGTAGGTACCGGTAGGTAGGTACCCAGGTACGTCGCGTCGGTCGTGCAGCTGGTGGCAGGGGTTTAAGCGCCGGCACTATTCCCAATCTATAATTAGCAGCCTGTCCAGCTAGCCATTCCAGCCAGTCATTCACGCCAGTCGTTCACCTCCATCCAAGCATCCAGCGTCGTCCCTCGCTCACGGCGCAAAGAAGACGGGCGGCAAGCTTGTGTGCATTGGCTGACTGACTTACCTACCCGTTGGGCGAGCAGATATCTGGCTCGTGATAAGATAAGACCTGTCTCGCAGCAAGGGAGGCACAGATATGTCGATATAACAGTACGGTAGGTATTCGCAGGTACGGAATGCTGGGGGGACTGACGACACTCGCCCTACACTAGCCGGCTGCGATCTGGTGACGAACGAGGGAGTCTGTAAGGGCTTGAGAGCTCAAGGTGATTGGTGTTTCTGGCGAGAAAGGTGCTCATGTGCGCCCCAATGCAATGTGTGTGGAGATGCCGGTAAATGGAGGCTTGGGGAGGCAGAAAGAGGATAGAATGGGTAGTGCGGTAGAAGAGGGTTGCAGTGCGTTGAGATCGTTGAGATGTGCTGAGGGCCGTTCCGCTCTGTGTGTCTTACTTGACTTACGACGCTCTGGTCATGTCAACTGATTACTTGATACCCTGAGCTAACTGGCTGCCTAGTGGTTGGCATCACACCAGTCATGAGGACATCTCCCCATTATATGCTCTATTCCTCCAACGCCGACATGTCGAAATTCGACACAAACAAAGACCAGCATGGAGTCTCCAATCTGCCACCATTGGCGCTCTGGCTCCAAGGCTGTCTATTCTTGTCGGTCTGCTTCATTCAGCGCGCGCTTCCCCAAACCACCCTCTCTTGTGTTGCTATATTCGCACAATCAGAGCTTACCTCTCTTCTCTACCGGTCTTATTCTCAGGCCTGTGGTGGGTAGTCTCCTTAGTTGGAGCGCGCGCCACAAGATGTACGACCTCGACGCACGTCTAATTCCACATTACAGTTGGTCAAAGTTATGTTTGCTCCAAGTTCAGAATAGTAGCTCTTTGCGGATCCGAGGCTTCAGCGCGCGCGTGATTTTTCTCTTGTCGAGACCATCTAAGCCACTTACTAAATCCCAGCTTGCCTGCCGCCGATTAACAAGTCGAGGTAAGTATTCTCCGTTGATTTTGTTCTTTTAGCGCTTCAGAGTAATCGGCCACGTTTCTACATGGAGATGTCTGCCAATGATCCGGGGTAACGCAGCCGCCAGGCTAGTTAAGCGCCTTTAAGCTCCTCACTGGTCCGTACTGGTTTGAGCCTCGCAGCTTCAACTACATAATAGCCTCCGCGCTTAGGAAATAGGATAAAGCGCTTGGACACAGGTCGAAGACTCCTTTTGAATGGTTCGCCGAGTCGTAGCGCTGACCAACATATGAGAAGCTACCCCGGATTCTACGATTGCCTCGTGGCCAAGCTGTGGCCGATCGACTGAGCCCACTACCCATTAGTAACCGTCTCACGCTCTGGTCAAGCACGCGAGACTTGACATATGCAGGGTATTATTGACGCTTAGGTGAACCAGAGCCATGGGATGCGCACTGTGGTCTTCATCCCATGCTGGACAAAAGGCTTGTTTAGCTACAGCAACATACATGTTCCCTGGGTCCAATGTCCAAACTAGCGGCGTTATTCAAACAAAGCGCCCAGGACGACGCCTTTATTGCGTCGGAGATTGCTGAGTCCCCCACCGGCATATCCTTTCGTTTTCAGGCGGGACCGCCCCCTTCAATATATCTCCACGGTTTGTCTATGATGAAAAAACAGCTGCTTATAACATCTGGGGCCATGGCCTCCTACTTCTTACGTCCGGAAGGCTGTTTGCTATCTAGCGGTATTTATGAATATAGGTCTATAAGTAGGTACCCGCAATCCTCGTACCTCTCAAACACATTCTTTACACGCAAGGACTCCATGTTCCATATTTAGCCTCATAGTATAGCGCTGTGCTCACATTTCCCTCAGCACTTTCGTGTTTGTCTCTCATAAGGAAAGAGCAATTTCTTCATGGTGGTATCTCATATAGTGAAACCGCTTTCCACAATCTACAGTGGCACTATCTCATTTTCTTGATCTCGATACTGGCTTCCATACGTCACGGCAGTGAAATAGGATGCCAAGGAATAACGACATTATAGAGAACGCCACATCACATCACAGGTTCATGACTCAAGAAAGGTATTCATTCTCGAGATCCGAAATTCAAGGGTTGACACGAACTATGTCACATGTAGCGGTTCGTGGGAGCTGACGTCTTACGCTTTCAGGTGTGCTGAACATCCTTTTGCCTCTCATCGAACTCTGATTGTCGAATCATACCGGCCGGTCTACCACCCCCTCGGCACATAATGGTTTGGCTATGATCGTATTCCTATCGGCGCCTTAGCCACGTAGACATGTGCTCGCGCTTTTGCGCAAGCTACGAAAATCCAATAACAATTCGCGAATTAACCGCCGAGTATTTAGTCTCGTGTATTTTAAAGATTACGTACTCAACTGTCTGTATGGAGTCTTAGTTCCAGCGCTTCGCTTCGCGATCTACCTCACAACAATAGGAGGCTAGCTTTACTTCCCTAGCGATATTCAATAGCATGCTATGCAATCGGGCAATGAGCAGAGGGGTCATTGCTAAAAGGTTGTAGGTAGTTTCATCGTGCTAGAGGGTATCGTAACTTTTCTCGTGCGACTGATCTGTGCTTACCTGTAGCAGTAACCCCAGCCCGTTTGCACTTATATAAAGATCACGCTAAGTTTCTTGGTTTCAGACTTGGTTACCAATGTGAAATGTCGCTCTCCGCGTGCGCATCATATTCGCTATGTTCCTGCGGGGGATTAAAATTAGATCAGTGGAGATCGATGACTAAGTACGAATTCTGAATACAGGACCCCAATGATGAGTTTCAGGTCTATAATTAGAACAAGGTCCCTTTTCGGGTCCTGCCAGAAGATGCAAGACAGGATCAGCAGGTTCATTGATTTATCGATAGTGATACGTACAATGGCTGCAGATCGGCGAAGAGGTCTAATTTTCTATGGGGATCAGGTGGTTACGTGGGTAAGTACTCAGTCGTTTGATTGATTTCATATGTCATGTCCATCCAGTGAGTAGTTAACTCATATTCGAGTGATAATTCAGCCCAGGATTCCAGTGTTCATGTCAGATAGTTCATATAAGAGAGCGTACCAGTACAGAACTTTGGGATTGGTCCTGTATCTGTCCGATATAGCAACGCTTCTAGACGCGCATATAAAGACGAGGCTAGGGCTAGGATGTATTGACACGGCAAAGAAAAATAAGAGATGACAAGGCTTATTGTGATGATGACAAGAATCAGTCTAGGTGGCGGCCAGTCAACATACATGGAAACACTGTCGGCAATACGTTGGTGGCGTTGACAGATAGACTAGCCAAAACTGCGATGAAATCGCGACATGTAAAATGCGTATTCGCTCTAGCAAGTTTCATGGCTTTCTCTACAATTCTGTGCCGGAGCCCAATTCTCACCGTCGTGAAAGGACACCGTCTCTTCGTCCGCCGACCACTACAATTAGTTAAAGTAAGCAATTATCTTTTCAGATGAAACGAGAGACGCATTGGTCATCCTTATAGCGCCTCCACGAGTTGCCAAAACAGGAAGAACTGAGCTCTGGGCATGGCATACTAGAAACTGAATCATCTCAATTTGACTTTAATATCCTTTATGCAATCTTTTGGTCCATTTTTGAAACCCGCTATAAGAACTCTTTTATCCCCATTAAGTTTGTTGCTGATTGACTTGAACTGAATGGAATAGCACAATGCAGACTTTTTCTGACGGAGTTGCAATGAAAAGATGCGAGCAGGTGATGACTAAAAGGGCGATGACTGGAAGTTTGCGTAAATGTGGTAAGGTTTACTCTTCGAGAGTTTTTGACCGGAGTTAACGAATCTTCCCATATCCCGATGGCCAACTCTACTTAGTGGCAGAAATGTAGCTAATACGGATGAAGCTAAAAGTGGGAAAAGGTCCAGTGGTCTCCCATCCATCCAGTTGGGGAAGGGTAACACGTGTACGGTATGATGGCACTGTTGTTTCAGACGCTCAGAAAGGCAGGCGATGATACAATCATTCCTCATGCTGTAGGCATCGGGATATTTCCGCTCACAAACACTACAAGGACGGCGGCGTACCTAAGATTCAATCAGCTTTATGTGACCGAACAACGGGGACGCAACTTGCGCTGCAGTGGCCGCAAATATTTCGGCTCGTCTCGCACTCGTCATCACACCAACGCTCAAAGCAAACGCGGCCGTGAAAGCTGCAATCATGCCAAGCTTAGCGGCATCGTTGGTGACGAAGTAGAGGCCCGTGATGGAGCCAACCAAGAGAACCGCAGCTACAAGGACGTTAATAACGGCAACTGCGATAGAGATAGACTTCTCGTTGAATCTTCCTACGCGGTGAAGTCCATCCCGAGACAGCTCTTCCTGCGGCATGTCAGCAGAGCATATGAGTTTCAGTAATTGGGGTGCTTGCCCTAGTTGACCAGTATCGCCTTAGGATGAGGGACAGAAGGTCAGTCTCCGAAGTATTGAGGGCAACGAGGTCATTCAAGTCATCTAGGAATGTCTTCGCCTGTCCACCAAGAGCGGGGTATGGCTTCTTATTAAACCATTGTCTATAAGCGTCATGGGCGCGTTTACTGGGCCGTTTCAGCTTTGCAATCTCGCTTTGCAGCAGGAGAGCCTCATCTGGCCAAGTTAGCCCTGAGTGCAAGATAACACGCGAATGCCAACATACGATACTCCTTCATTATCGCACGTAACCTTACGATCAGGTCTATGCGGACTTGCGCTTCTTCATTGCCGGTATCATACCGCTGCGTTAGCGTCTCCCACGTCCTGCTAGCATCCTTTACGTCCATATCCTCGCTATTGGCGTCATTTTTATCCAGCTCATAAATTTGCCTTTCGAGTAAGAACTACTTGTTCGAGTTAAACGTGTTCTCAGAACACCGGGATTGCTTCTTCGATATCGATTCGGAGGAGGTCCTCTCTCAACTCTGTAACATCCGTCTCATTGGTCGGTATGGTGATTCCCTGAACGTCTTGGAGGAGAAGTATTTAGAGGATGGTAAGTATCATCTATCAGACCTAAGACCTTCGGCTGATGGAGACAGTAATTTCCCCCGGTGCCTTCAGTCCCGAGATGGTCCAAAGAGAGCTAGCAAGACGAGACCAGATTCGTGACGAGATTTTGGATCTACCCAAGGGCCAACGGGAAGCAGCTACCCAAGCGGAGGCTGAGAGGCAACGCCGATGGCAGGACTTAAGGCACGTGCACAGAACAAGGTACGGGGTTGATTCATCGGTGTTACAATCATCAGATTGTCGTGACACCATTCACAGAACAGGGACATATAAGGATCGAACACAGCCTTCGGAACGCCCTCCTGCCGGGGAGGTAGCAGAGGACGGCCTCCAAGGGGCTGCCGTCAGGAAGGTGTGGTGGAAGAAAAAGGGTAAATTATATGTTCCTCTGCGATTCCTGAGGGGCTCGAGAACTTAGTCAAGAGTTACGGCTCTGGTCGTATGGCTGCATAATCCACTTAAGTGATCCTACGCATTGCTAACGACTTCTGGGTATTTGCTTCTTCACCTTACAATTAACGAGTAATTCAAATAATAGCCAACGGCTTCTCAGTTGTGCTTCTGTTATCGCGACCCCGTAAGATTAAGGCTTGACCAAAGAATGTGAGAGTGTTACTTTATTTCAAAGACCTAAGTAACCTGGTGATTACACTTCCGATCACCTGAGAAGCTCCACAGCAACGACAAGGTTATATAAAGAGCAAGGCTAAATCTACAGTTGTCGGGCTGTTACCAATTGTACTAATTGGCTGTCAAGTCAACTGCTGATCCAGTTTAGGTACGGTTCTCCACCAAAACTGCATCCTGCCCTTCAGCCCTGGATTTCTGACCAACGCCCGTCCGAAATCACGGGACATAATCTAAAACAACACCTTATCTCATGAACATGCTGTGAAAGTACCCCCCATTGAATCCGTGACGGTCATACAGCCAGGATCCCCTGCTGGTGCGGAGGTTGTGGGAGGCTGGGTACTCGTCGGCGACGCTTCTGATGACGAAGGTGATGCGGATACTGACGTTGAAGGCGACGGCGTTCCACTGTCAGTAGTGGCAGGTTGAGAAGTCGAGCTAGCTTCAGATGGTGTGCTAATCGCCGATGACGATGTCGTTGATACTGGGTTTGATGATGTCGAGGTGGTGCTAACGCCAAAAGCAGAGTTGATCTGCGATTGTGCAAAATCCGCTGCTGCATCATCATCGCTAGTACTTTCTTCCGTGCTAGACCATTGCTCCCACGTTACAGCCACCATTGTTGATGTTGGCGTACTTGAACTAGTAGATGAGGTTGCCTAGAGCCCGTTAGTGTCAATCTATGCTGACAAAGATTTAGTGGGAATATTCACCGAAGACGAGGAATCGCTTGAGGCTGTGGTAGTAGAGGATGGCTCATCTGTTGTTGTTGATGAATCCTCTGGATCTACTGTCGGAACCCCGTCGCTACCGATCGTCACACTAGATGGCATATTAGTATACTTCCACTCGTAAGAAGAAAAGGACGGCTCTCACGGTGGAAACCCCGGGAACGGCGGGGTAAGAGGTGGTGGATAGACGCCCGGAACATCTGGGATACCAAATAGTAGCAATCCTGCTAGTCCAGCAGGGCAAAAGAAACATCCAAAAAGGATTGGCACTTCAGTCCCGTCGACATTGGTATGAGTGGCAGTAGTGACGGACACAGTCGATGTCGAAACACTCGTTGGCGGCGGAAAAGTAGTCAACGGCGGCAAACCTTCGGAGGTAGTTGATGACGTTGGTGGTGTAGAGGATGGAGGCACTGAGCTTTGGGACGAAGATTCTTGAGCTGGGGATGAGGTTGACTGGGTTACAGAGGAAGTAGACGGGAAAGATGAACTCGGAGTGAACGATGAGCTTGGAAGAGATGAAGTTGATATGGATAGGGAAGGTGACTGCGAGAAGCTTGTCGCGTTTGACTGCCTCTGAATTAGATGCGCTCTTCGTGGCACATAAATCTTGTTCTCTGCTATGTTGCGATACTCCTCGGCGTGAGCTCCAGCGACGATGCTAATGCAACCGAGAAAATATAAGAGAGGAAGCTGAAGCCAAATCATATTTCTTATTGTGGGAGTTATTTCATTCGATTTGGTTTTTATGTTTATGGGGAACAAGCAAATGAAGCCAATGTTAAATATCTGAAAGACATCGAACTTTCAACGCCTTAAGGCTGTCCCTGAACATATATCTGGAACCTGAGTCTCGCTGTATTCAACCCTGCTATTTCCGTATTAACCATCTGATCAAGCCGTAGTATTGGGTTATTTTTATTTTGCAGGTGACGCCATTCACAACGCGAGGATGACTTCAGACTCTCCTTGATCCTAAATTGACGACGTGCGATAATAGAGTTGAAACAAGCTGATCAGGCGCTCTGCATTGAAGAGTAAATCACTAGGGTTCGTGACTAAGCCGCCACGAGTGCAACTTACAACCCTTTAGGATGTTGGATTTATTATAGGACTTCGCAATGCGAGTCGGCTAGGCCTGACTGCGACATCCTACAGGGAGGCGGTGCCATGCAGCCGGGGTTTCGGGTTCGGCCACGGCCATCTCAGCCAGTCGAGGCCGGGTGATCGCTCGCGGTGAAATAGTTTTTTTTTTTTGGTTAGGAAAGACATTCCATAGGAATGCAAATAACCGGTAAAGCCATTTGCGTCGTCTCTTTGAGTTTCGTCCGAGCGGGTGGCTTGCTGACCAAGTTGCTTAATCATGCAGTTTTCTCACTTTGGGGTAACGGCGAAGTGAGATTGTGCTGTGTCTATTTTAATATGAAACATTGCATAACTTTGATCTGGCGCCATCCCACCAAGACTGAACGTAATATAGGAGGCTGTAGGAATAGTTACCCTATGTAGAAGCTGAGTTGACTGGGCTGTGGTATCGAGGTTCATTCGTCTCACAGACCTATGTTATTTAGCTTATAACTAGTTGTGAAGAAGGGATTGAAGTTGTAGGTACGACACTCCCTTAACATATAGCAGATTTCCGGACGCTCGATTTGGTCCTTTATCCTCATATATATGAATCTGTAGTCTTTGAATTACCAACTGCTTTATTAGTTAAACTGCGAGAAACTATCTGCACACCCTGCCTGATCGACTCAAAGCCACTCACAAATATGTCGTCCACATCACCATTGGTTTCAATTGCCCTTATTCTCGGCATACTCACATCAGTAACCCAGGGGGTTTCTGTTGGTGATGTTTTTGATATCAAGTCAGGCACCACGAAGGGAGGGTGCGACGGGAAAAACATTGACGGATGGTTTGCAGATACCGTGACTCTGGCAAACTCTGCTTCAACTGGTGCAGCAGCTACAGACCAAGATAGTAGGAAGTATCTGAAGACATTCTTCAGTATTGGCCCCCAAGATGATGCAACACAGGCCGGAGGTATTTGCCATCTCTTCAGCACATTCGAAATGGAGCTTGCTGATTTCTTACTCAATCAGGACCAATCGGCCAAGTAGTTGATGTTCTCAACCTGAAAAGCGTGCCTCCAGGAGGAAAGCCAAGGCTTTATTGCAATTCAGACTGGTTAGAAGGCAAGGATTCAAAAATAATGCATTTCTTCAACCACTGAATATACTGACCTACCTATATAGAGCAAAAATGGGACGATGTAGCATTCGACGACGTAACTGGACTCCCACGTGTAGATGGAAAGAAAGTCCAGGACGTCTTTCCAAAGGATACGACCGGCTTAGGTACGCGGTCTCTCCTCGTTTAACTCTTTGGGGTGTTGTCTGATCATTATGCCAAGTGCCTTTCTGGTCTGACGACCTTCGACAATATCTAAAGGCAGACTCTGGGGACTATTGCTCAGATAGTGAAAATCTAGCAGCGACCCAAGATCAAACCGCTCCGAGCACCATTACACTCTGTATCGGCAATTTTCTAGGCACCCAGGTTAGTTCTCTGGAGTTATACTTCTACCATTCAGGCAGTTTTTGGGCCTCATTAATTACTCCTGCATACTCCCAAAAAATGAGCAGAACCCCTTCTTTATCTGGCAATTACTGACTCTCGTGTGTGTAATAGGGAGATACTCTTGCCAATGTCCCTTCAGTTACAAAGGAAAAGGTTTCGGTCTCGACATTACAAGTTCACTCCTTGACACTATTCCATGAGATGTTCCACCTCGTTCTCGGGACTAAAGCGACACCAGATCATAGCTGTAAATAACGAGAAACCATGTAGTATCGAAAACTCCAGCTAACAATTTCATCAACAGACAACCTGAACTCTATTGTAAGATTTGGGACAACAAAAGCTATTCAAAACCCAGAGTCCTACACATTTTATGCTTTAGCATATTTTCTAGGACAGAACACGCAATTCACGTTTGCCAACTCGAAATCGGCAAACAGGCCGCCACCAGCAAACCCGAAGAGATCTGCAGGGGATTACGTGAGTATGCTGGCGAGATTCCAGCTGTACAAGCAAGACCTGCCACAGGGTGTTTGGGTGGCTTAGATCCGCAAAATGGAGGATATGCGCAACCATATTATAAGCACGCTTATTTTTGAGGGCTTAGATTGTATTTCAAAGCACATTTTCAGGCAGCAGGTATTAGATTGTTATGAAGTAGGGTAGAATCATAAACAACTTCAATTTGGTAACGAGTGCTCAATGTGGCTTATTCGCCTCGGGTCCTAAACAGAGAGGCTTACATATTGCCTCGCGTCAAGCAGACTTGGGTACTTTCTTGAAGTCGACATGAATATCCTCCCACCCTAGCGCGCCACAACTTTTCAAGTCTCTCTCAAAGGCTTCTAGTATCAGAATCTTGTCTTCCTCTCCATCTCTGGGAGGCCGCGTCTCCGTCAATTTAAACTTCTCTTCAACCTCTCGATCCTTCCAGTAGTGACACCATAAACAGGCGACTGTGTCTTGATTCATCCAAATTTGCGAACCCTCTGCCCAACCGCAAGTGGGCACGCCGTTGTATGGAGAGAAGTGGGCTTTGCTACCATCAATGCCAATGCCCATTGTTAAAACAAGGCCTTTAAGGCGTGTCACGGCATCGCGCGTCTTTGACGGGATGAGAGCGGGGAAATACACGGTGCGGATCTCGGTGTTTGGTCCGAAGCGCCACCAGAAAGCTATCTTATCGAAATCGACGATATGAGTAGACGGTTCTGTAGAGGTTGTGTCCGCTTTGAGATTGCTGATGAGTTCATGGTACTGGGCAGAGTCCTTGTATGCTGCGAAATCCTCGCGTGACTCCCAGATGACCACGAGCATGTGCTCATCGTTTGCTTCAGCTATTGAGCCATAATAGGCGTCATGTAGGCGATCATTATTGCCTGCTGCCAAGGGTTTGAAAAGGTGTGGCCCAAGAGATTTGGCGGGAAGCTTAAATCTGGTCCACGATGAGATCCGCCCGCTACTCATGATTAATAGTGTCACACTTCTTCATAGAGGTGTCAGGTTTTAGTGATGGTTTGAGCTGAGATGAGCGGATTGCAGTAGGTAACAAGAGGTGCCCCACTCTACGCTCTCACGTCAGAGTCAGACATTGCAGGAAGTGTAATTCGGTTCGATGCAAGTTGGGGAAGCCATCGATTTGGACGTATGTAAATGCAAATTGCATAGCGTAGAGCAACGTAAAACGCCGCCAGCGAGGAAACGAATCGCGACGGCTCATCTTAGTTTCGAACCTTACTGTCAAACATATAATAATTATAGAGTCAAAAGAATCATACTTTATTGAGATCTACAGCCTGGTGTGATTCAATGACACGCCGTATGTAACCATTGATTTGATAATACTGTACTTGCATTCTCATCTATATCTATAATATAACTGTATACATTGAGTTCACTATAACTCATAACTATGGGAAATAGGAGATGAAGAAAAAAGATTGAGAGAAACAGAATTAGAAGAGAGAACAAATTGAAGGGATGACAAAAGCAAGCTGTTCAATATCGGGGATTCGTTGGTCGCACCTATCTAACTGCTAATAATCTAGCGGTGCTGAAACAGGTTCTCCTATATGTAATGTCCAGAGCGGTGCAACAGAAACGACCACCACATTGTCGAAACTGCTATTCAGTTGTAGTTGATGCCTTCATAATGTTGCTTAGCTGACTAGCTTCGAGAACCAAGCCGCTCACGCATTAGTATTGGACATTGGATGGCATTATCGAATATTAAACTGCTGCCGTAGATTAACTGTGAGGGGAATAACGTTTTCGAACGGACCGGGAGTATCTAAAAGGTCCGAAAGTGTGGCAGGTCCTGATGTAAGCAGTCCGACTATCACTTGATGAGTTTGATTTCGTGTCGCAGTTCCAAAACTAAGATGATAACCTCACTTCCAGGCTAATCAGTAATATGTAAAGCTTGAGGTCTACGGAAAACACAGAGTCTACGATCTTCCCACTTTGATCATTGCACAATCAATGAAAGATAAATGGGGAAATAATGTGTAGCGCAAATCCTAGGTTTATATTGAAATGAGATGATACTGCCTTCGTTCGAAGGAATGGGTGATTCGGTTGAGTGATTTTCTGCAAATCCTGGATGTAGCATTGTTGTCTTCACCACTTCAAACTGAATTGGTTCGAGGCCGACCCGACAGACTAACCTGCATCCGTTTCACATTCCTCTGGGAGCATGCTATCACTTCGAACCCTAAATATGGAACAAAAGCTAAGATACCGATTCAATGGTCACGTAGCTAATCAACCCGTAGTGCTTTTGTTCTCACCTATTACTAACTAATAGTAACGTGCCTCTTAGCCGAACCTAGTGCCTCTAAGATTGAATTCCCGAAAGTTGGAAGTATAGAACTGTTGCGAGAGTAACATATAGTTGATAATCCCTCTGACCCATACAAATTAATGTAACAGAGTAGATATTCCATATATACATCCGCAATATCATTTGGGCAAGTGAAAGATTGGAATTAAAGTGCCAAGTCTAAACAGACTAAAACAATATACCCAACTGTAGACAAGCCTCTCTTCTCCTCGCCATGAGACAACATCCCCTAGCACTTAGCGCCTGCATACCACGATATCATTGTTCGCCACTTAAGACTGAGCGCCTCAACCATTAACGACTGGAAAATTCTGAAAAGTTCCCCAAGCTAATATATTACACAACGTTCTATGACGTGGTATGCGAGCAGACCACTCAACTCAGGCTGGCTATCCGCCGCCTCAATGATATTACTAATCGACAAATGACCTTTTTTTTGGGTAGTTTATCATTAGTACTTAATGAGCGTCTTGGACAGTCAACGGCATCCACTGTTTAGTTAACTGTCTTAATCTTAACAAGCCACGAACCGAGAAACGAACCACGTTACACTCAATACCTCATTACACGCCAAGTATATCGATAATATTAATACCCAATGTTACTGATACTTCAAAGGCCTTTAGCAAAAACCAGTTAACAGGCGCCATAATCCCGCATATCCGGCTCCCAATCCATCTGCGATACGAGACGATAAAGCTATGGAAACCTTTACCCTCATCAACATCAACACTAGTAAACAGGTTTTCTTACTTGTTGCTTAGAAAAAGCGAGATTAAGAGGCGGCGATCTCATCAGCCTCAGCCAGGGCCGTCACAACACCGAGCGTTCCTCAGAACAAGGAGTGGGAAAAAGCTAATAAGAATGAAATGAAATCAATAAGTAAGCACGGGGAAGTATTCTTTCCCCAGAGTCCGTTCACATGTCACGAGGGGTTTCTGTAACGTAGTGTAGTGTACGCCTGCTGGGGCGTGGTCGTCGCGTGTAAGTTAGGCAGGTCAGAAGCAGGTAGCAACGAGAATGAATTACCTATTAAGAAGTACTTAGTTTATCATTTCCGGAATGGGGCCGAAAATTGTCGTCTTGGCCCACGCCGCTTGGTCGCCCTAACCTAGGACACAACATCGCGTCGTATTGAGGGAAAGATGGAGACAAAATAATGCGATAGCTGATTTCCGTAAACTCTTGAATTCGTGCCGGGAACAATCTTACTGGCTATCCAGCTGAGAGCCATCCTCGTCATATTAGTGGTCATGGCGCTCTGTTGTGTTATCTTGGGCTGTAGTCTATTGTGCGTTGTGTACTTAGATGTAGCGTAGCAATGGTTAAATAGCGATGTGAAGAGCAAGCTGAGTATTACCATGGGACAAGTAATGATAGTCGTCTTCTCATGGGTGTTGTGCTCAGCAAGCCTGGGGAAAAACAAAAACAAAAACAATTAAACTTTCGAGATAAGCATCATACCTCTGGCCATTCCCACCATGTGCGATTTTACGGGACGTGCAAGACAACAAAGAGGCATGGACAGGTAATTTAATGGGTACAGTATTACTACCGGTACGTGTAGATGGTTTGTAGTATGGGGGGATGTCATGTATGTCCCTTGCTACAACTGAATAACTCTAGTGTGTTTTCACCCCGTTGCATCGGAGCGGAATCGATCCAGTCGGCGGCAAATCCCCCCCTCCAACTTTTGACGGCGGGAAACAGCTTCAGGGACAAGAAACAAGCGTGGTGTTAAGCGCGATTGGTGTGGACATCTACTTCCAGTAGTTGATGAGATCTGGGGGATTGACGTCGAATCAGACGGCAGAAGACGCATCTAATGATTCTCATTCGCCTGAACTCTGTCGAGGCCGACCGGGGTAAGCTCGTTGCGGTTCTGGGAAAGTGGTGGACCTCGTCGCGAGGTGTGGTAGGACGTCGAAAATTGGGATCACGCGAAGGTGAAAGGATTATTTGAGGCTGAAAAACCAAGGTGATGGTCTTAGGATTCTAGACTGAAGACAAAGACGTACACTAGCTTACAGTAGACCTACGCTACTACGACTACTTGTGCCAGTGCCCAGTCGGACATTTTGCCTGTAATGAAGATAAAAAGTCGATGCCAGCGGCGGAAGTTTTCGGCCCGGAAATAGCATAAGCTGAGCTCTACACTAAATCCCTCGGCAAGGCGGTGGATTCCGCTGGGTTCCGTTAGACTTGAGAAGCGAACAATTTCGGAAATCAAGGAAAAGAAGATGGACAGAGGTTGATCATGGCCTCGTAACTCGAGAAATGTGGCGTTTCGGAAATTGATGCATGTGAATCTCAATACTCAACTAGCATTAACTCAACGTTAGTTATTCGATAGTACTAACCAAGAGGTGCTGTTGTCAAACCCAACACGTTTCATCGAGTCCCGAGTCTCTGAAAACACTGGATTAAATCGTATTCCATCTCAAACCGCAAGTGAAGTATATATCTGTGTATGCTATGGTACACCAATAGGTATACTAGGTAGACTGGAGCGCCAGGCAGAGATGGCCGCCACTTTGTTGACCGTCGGGCTTCACTTCAGGTGCCGCCGTGACCATCTGAGCCCTGATTCGTGCCCGGATTGAAGTATGGCGCATCGTCTATCACTCGTCATGCCAGCCACTAGCTGAGACGAGCCCCTCCTCTCCACCTCATGCAACGTCGGGCCTGTCCATCCACCCTACAACAGAAACGGGCAACCCAGAAGAGGGCATCGCCCACGATAGGACCGTAACGGTTCTTAAAATGGGAAAAGGTCGTGGACCGCCGTGAGGATTCTGGGCCACTTACAGGATGCGGCGACACTCAAGGAGTGGACTATTGCGCCATGCAGACAACGACCTGGGACAGAGATCTTGTTGTTTTGCTTGTCTAATCCATTGAGCCTCATGCCATCCTAGATGTTAAATGTGAAGCACGGCAAAACGGGTACGGTAGCATTGTCAATCATACTGTCGTATCTACCGCTACCTTGGCTAGTCGCCTTATGCTTGCTGCCTTCTCTGGCGCTACCTACGTTGAAACGACGCAAGGAAAACAAGACAGCGCCACCCCATTCAAGTAGTGGACGACGGTTTCTGATGGATGCAGGACCTACTTCGTACGTCTAGCACCTTCACCACTGTATATCCCTGGCCTGCCCGCCGTGGCAAGTGAAGGGAAAGGTGACGAGGTAAGGATCGGGAGAACGACGTCACCGAGAATTCTGCCGGCTCTATAGTGCAGTGATGGCGTATCGTAACATACACGCAATATACCACATATGGATATACTATGGATAGTAGCAATAGGATACTTGGTACATACGGCAGGTAGTAAGCATAATAGTTGAGAAAAAGAGCAAAGGCCAAACCCGTCGGCTGCGAGGCATGGTTACACCGACTTTCTGTTGCTTGCTGGAATACCACCTCGACCCTGTTGGGTATATTCTGACCTGCGAAGTATACTACCTACCCGATGAGTTAGCTTTTGAGCACGGAGGTCTTCGGTCCTGAAGAGCCCTGGCTGATAAAAATTGGCTCACCGCCGTTATGGAGGACGACGTTGAGCCCCTCCCTCTGCTACATTTTCCATGGACCTACCTACGTAGTACTCAGTAGCGGTAATCATGCTGTGCCTAGCCCGCCTGCCTATACCGCAACGGCTATTACCGGTGCTGACTGGAAGGGCGGTGCATGGAAGATGGAAGATGAGCAACAAAACCTGTCTCGGATTGAGTCGCTCTCTCGTTATGTCGCAGTCAGAAATGCGTGCCTCTACCCCCCTGCAAACGGGCGAGGTAGGTACTAATTGTCCTTTTAGTCCCCTGCAATTTTTGTAACAGTAACATGTACAGCTGCACAGTAGATGAGCTACGGTCGCACACACATGTAAGTGAGAGAAGATGACTGCCCTTGGGCTGATATGCGATATGCAACGACAGCGCCCGCAGAACCAACACCTGCTGGATGCGCCCCGAGGTGTTTCGGCTGAGCTTTGCTTCTTGGCGGCTGGACAGGGCCCAACCTCTTCGATTTCCCTTCCGATCACCTCACAACACTCATCTCGAACATACACTACCTATAGGCCAGAGAGTCGGGATCAGGTAGATGAGACAATGACACAGTAAGTACCGCACAGCATGAATATGCGCCCCGCGGCATCGTCGTAGCGTCGTGGTGTTTTGTAGACGAATGGCACGCCGAGTCTGTCAGACCTTGCAAGCGAAATGGCCTAATTTTAGGCCCCGATCGATGGATATGAATCGGTACTGCAGAGTCCAACCCATAGAGGTGGGGGGAAGAGGGTCTAAGCTTAGCGATAAGGCAGGTATGAGTAGCAGTGAGAATACGTAGGGAGGCAAGCTATATAACACTGATCGAATATAGGTACTGTTGTCATCTACTGGGAGAGGTGTTGCATACACGTAGCCGTAGATGGAGAAGCGGAGCGGGCTCAGTCTACAAAACCAAATAGGTGGTATAGAGCTGACGGCGCATATTTGGCTTGGTTGGTTAACCCTGCTCCGTTTTTTACGTCATTCAATCCCTTGAACCAGTCAAGAAGTGATAGACTAGAACCACGGCTCAACTCATGTAGAAAATCATGGGTCATTTCATGTTATCATTTATTTGTTCCTACATCCGGTGACGGATTGCTAGTGAAGTGTCTATTTCCATCCTGGTGTAAGCATGTTAATGGCTTTGGTATGCCACCCTTTTTTTTTCCAATTCGAATGGGTCTGCTGTCGCCGTTGCTGCTGTAACTGTTGGCTGTCTCGAGATATGTTCCTTGACCTGGCAAATCTGGCGGCTTAACGCCCCTGCCCTCCTCCCAAGCACACGCTGAACAGACATTGGTAACCGGACCTCTCTGTGTGTGAACCCTCGTAAAAGAGAACCGAAAAAGACATATTTGCCACCCGGCTCAACATAGTAGACATGAATCGAAGAAGTTTAAAGACTAAATAAGTACTTCAACACTGGCAAGTGTAATGTAGTGGGGTATCCTTCCGTTCATCGCGTTTCATCCTGCAATCTTGCTTCTTACCAACCTACCCACAGGGTCTCGACACTATGCAACAAAATTAAACGAATATGAAGTAGAGAGGCGGAACATATCGCGCGAGCGATGGGGAAAATGTTTAGGAAAAGATCGAGAGCGAATGTCCCGGCGCCTGCCGACATGCTGTTGAAACACCACGGGGAAACCTGGTCCCATATACGAGAGAAAAGACCAACTCGCGTCGGCTTATTCCTTTCAAAAGCAGTATAAAAACAACGCTCCGTCGTTTCCGAATGACTCCCTCCCATGATTCCCATCTCCCCGAGAAGAGCCAGATAAGAAATGGTATAGGCAGCAAGAATCAAACAAGTCGTAACATCGTGATGGCTGACAAAGCAAATGTTGGTGTGGCACAAGGCCACCTGTACTAGCTGTCGTCCTCAGCGTCTTCCTCTTCTTCATCCTCGGGGCTTTCTGTAGCTGTAGTCTTGGCCTTTTTATTGGGTGTTGTTGAATTTGCTTCAGATTTCCTCTTTGAGCCAACTTTAGCATCGGCTGGTTCTCCGCTGGTGCCATCTTTGTCCTCCCCAGCAGCTTTATTACGCTCAATCTCGGCGACTTCTTCCGCAGTAAGGAAACGGCCGCCAGGACCCCTAGGTCGACGCATGGCATGATTATGTCGAGATTCATGTAAATATGGTTTTCGGCCTTTGCTTGTCAAGCGTAAGGCCTCTTCTAAGCGCTGACGGGCGACTCGTCTTTTTAATATGCGGTGAAATTGTTTGGCGTTGACATAGAGTGGCGACTCTTCAACGCCAGCTGCCATTTCTGGGGATTGCGGAGGCTGCATCGTCTGGCCTGGTGGCATAGGAGGGGCGACGCCTGAGCGAGGGCCCGTGTGATTCATCATAGGCGCATTGGGTACTCCTGGACTCGTGACTTGGCTCATTCGTCGTTGACTAAGCTGGTTAACACTATTCATCTGCTGCGGCGAGCGAGGATCCCGGGTTTCTTTCTTCGAACCGGCAGCCATCCTCGGTGAGCTTTGTGTCATATTGGGGTCGGGCGGCATGTAGCTGGAGTATCCCGTTCCACCAGCTGCAGCAGCGGTTGCGGCCATCGCAGCGGCCTGGATGCCATAATGCATGCTCTGTTGAGGTACGCCGTACTGTGTCTGATACATATTGTGTCCTTGTCCGGGTGCCGAAGTTTGATGTTGCGAGGGAAGGATAGGTGAGGTTTGAACACCGTGCTGGTGTAAGCTGTGACTTGTAGGAGATGTGATGTTATTTCCAGCACCTGAGCTCGTGTAACCAGAATGCGCCGTCTGTGGTGGTTGCTGATATTGCGCGTAGTCCATCATTATTGGCGATGGATGGCGCGCGAACTGGCGGCGAGAAGCTTGCAGTCTTCGAGCTTCGATATCCCTGCTTCCTTCGATCTTAGGAAGCCGTCTGAGTTGAAGCTTCCAATTCGATAACTGCTGTTAAATCCGTGGCGTAAGATCTCTGTATAATTATAACCCTTATGGCACCCGTTGTTAGATTGTCCTGTGCTTCGAGATGAAGGGTGGGATGGTTGACTGGTATAGGGCACAACGCGTTGGGAGGGTCTTTCGTCACTTGGGTAGCCGCGATGAGGTAGGCTTGGATGCGACCCAATCTATTGGATATGCGTGGATGCGCTGGCACTAGGTGATGTGGTAGGTGCACGCAGGTGGCCGGCCTTTACGGCATATGCAAGTAGAATGGCTTTGCGGGGCGGACCTTCTCGTACCTCAGACTCTCAGGCTTAAAAGGAAGTATGACGACCACGTGAGTGCTCGGCGATGTGCAAGGCTGCTCGAACAATCCAATGCAGCACCAATGGCAAATAGGTCTGTTTTGGCGAAACAGCTCTCTCAAGGTCTTGATTCCAGAGCTTCTGGCAACGGCTATATGATTGTGGGGATCTATCCAACCAGAGGCATTAGACACAGTGTAATAAGTATATGAGGGCAGCTCGGACGATGCGAGGGAGGCGGGGGTGAGTGACAGTGCTGGTTCTTTCGCGCTGGACCACTACTTGATGCGCTGGCATGCATGACGGAATATGCACGAGCCAGGCCCACCCTGTCGACCAGCTCAGCGCAACTGGAGGACCAACATCTGGACCGGCCGTCGCGCAAGGCGAAGTAAGCAGGCCCTGCCTGACAAACGGGGCCTGACGATTAGGGCAAAAGTCGGGCTGCAAAAGACTACAGTAGAAACATGCTATCCAACATTTCAGGGCTTGAGCTGGGGTGATTGGCTGGGGAGCGCATGGCATACAATTCTCCCACAGGTCAAACAGCAGATGGATAGTCTCATTTTGGGAGATAATGGAGCACTTGGCTGCACCCAGGGGAAGAGGGTGTGGGAGAGAAAAAGGGACAAAGGAAAGAAAAGGGAAGGCCCGATGCAAGTTACGCAAGAACGGATGGATGGTGCCCCAGGTGGAGGAGTTTGCGACTTGAAAGAGGGTAATCCAATTATCACATTGCCGTAGTGGGCGAAGAACAAGTTGACATGGCAGTTGGTGGTGTGTGCATGTATCGTTGCAGACGAGCAGATGGGGAAAGGGAAGTGGTGGCCGGGTGGATTGGTGTGGAAGAGAGTAGGGAAAAGTGCATACCTTTTTCCAAACGAATTCCCGAGTGCTTGGATTCACCCTGTGGGTTGCCAAACTGGTGGATGTCTAGGCCGTCTTTAAGATAACGACGTTAGCTGGGCCACGAAGAAGCAGAGCGTAAGCAAGTAGGGCACAGACAGACATGACGGCAACGGCAGAAGAAATAAGGGCAGGGAAGGAATCAGATCAGCATTAGATGGCGCCTGCCCATGTTCAAGTCGGCATGGTAAAGGGCACACTGCACGGAGTACCTTGGTACATCTCGAAGTCGCATCTTCGAGCAGAGCATAACAGCTAGGCATAGCTAAACATAGCTAGGCATGTCTAGGCAGCACCGCACAGCACTTGCGGGCAGGCCGTGGCGGTACAGCGCAGGTAAGACAAGATGGGACAGTAATGGATACTTGGACAGAGAGCTGTCGGTACCGACGAGCCGGGGGCGCTGGTGGTGGTTCGGGGCATTGCGTAGGGCGGACGGAATGCATTCACCCACTTACTCCTTGTAGAGTATAAGTCGCGAGGGTTGAGGGTCCCAAGTGAGCGACGATCCTCAAGACAGAGAGGCAGCGGCGCTTTGATTGATCAAGCACTGGCAAGATCAAATGAACCCAATCCGCAGATAGTCTCAATCACCTGATATTCAATATCAAGGCAATAGCCAATGGCAACGGTGAGAGGAGCACTGCTCGCATTGATAGGTCTCCTGAACCTCGTCGCAAAGAGGGTCAAATAATAACGGAGCGAAGTACATTGGATAGGGAATGTGGGTTGTGGGTTTGTCGGGTCTGTCCAAGACCCTGCCGTTTCGTCTTTGCGCTGAGCCGCTGAGTGGCTGGAGCTGGTCAAGAGCAACCCCAGGTTGGGTCTGGAGTCCCATCCAGATGAAAGGAATAATATGGGGTATCGTGTTATGAAAATTGATTCGAGAAAAACAAAAAAGGGTCGACGCATAAAGACGCAATGCTGCTAGTACAAGTTGACAACAGAAAAAAGGGAAGTAGCCAGAGACGACGATGACAGTCAGAGTCCAGAGCTAGGTAGGTAGGTAGGAATTGGATGTGAAAAGCGAAATCAATAAACTCACATTTATTTTATTGTAGCAAGATGCTGCTCAGTTGGTAAAGAGGTGGCTATTGGATATGCGATGTCCGATGCGTTTAATAGTAGATAGATAGTTGTATGCGGGACAAAAGATGCCTAGGTTATAGGGCTGCGAATTGTCGCAGGCTCGCGTCGCAGTGATGTTGTGGTACCCTGTTTTTGACCAAGACTTGTTTTTTTTATATCTCTTTCAATTTTGGGCGTGGTTGACAGACAGGCCGGAGAGGGTCATGTAGCCAAGTAGAAATCTTGTGCAACCACTGTGTTCCAGGTTGTTTCTGCAAGTAGACTGGGGAAAGGAACAGTAGACTACCTCTTTTTCTATTGATCCCTCGCTCTCTCTCTCTCTCGCTCTTCTTTTTTCTTCTTTTGTTAGGCCTGCAAGCTCGCTGCCTATCTCTGTAAAGTGCGATTAGATAGAGGGATAGCAGACAGCACGAGACGCGTGGGTGCGGTGGTGAGGCAGCGATCGTCGAAGCGGCGCGCAGCCCACACAAACCCTAGGGTGTTGTTGTCTTTGCTGCTGCTGCTGCGATAGGGTCTATCTACCGGTGTCTGTGCGGTAGCCGTATAGTAGGCTGCGATAGGTAATGGGTACGGGAGGCACACAATACAGATACAGGCAAATACAGGCAAGCAACAACAGCAACAGCAATAGCAACACCGGGTGTCTGATAGAGTTCAGGACCAGAAATACAATCCAATAGTGAGCCACGACGAATGGCGGGATCTGATTTGGCGAGGCGAGGGTGTGTTCAGTTTCAGGAATACTTAGACGAATGGGTAAAGGTGTCGCTGGGGGGAGGGGGGAAAGCTCGTCTTGTGTTGGATGAGGAAGGAAAAACTCGCAACTGATTCGATGGAATCTGGCAAGTGGTGGACCGAGGCGAGCGAGGGCAGATTGATTGGTGAAAATTCGGCAGAAGCGAGTGAAATTTCAAAGAAAATACACTGAGGGGCCTGGTGCTTTAATGGGGCGTGTTTTTTGACTAATCAGCAGGCCTGCTGAGATCTCGCCGTGGGGCCTGCCGTGGAGCTCGCAGAGAGAGGAGAGAACAGAGAGAGAGAAGACGGATCTGCAGTCTCCAAGTACCTAGGTAGGTGGGAGTAGGTACCACCACGCTGTGCCTCGAGTACTGTCCCACGCCACTGTTGGTAGGACAGTTACCCAATCCATCCTTCCGGCCCGGGCCACTATACTTCCACCGCCTGCACCCAGCGGAGATAGGTACCTACCTACACAAAGACATCCATACCACAGTACATATCTGTGCAGGTATCTCTTGGCTCTGCCCTAGACACATCGGGTATTGCATGCCACCTGCACATGGGTACTACCCAGGTACTCTTGTGCACAGATACTTGAGTAATCCCGAGGTAAGAGAGGTGCCAGTATGGATGGCTGAGGTACTGAGATACCTAAGCTGTACCTGACCATCCAGAACTATCCAATGCGTAGGGTACTTACACCATGCTCTAATTGTACATCCCCACTCGTCACTCACTCACTCTCTCTCACTCCAGGGCGCTATCCAGGGCGCTACCCAGGGCGCTACCCAGGGCTTCAATGCCAAGGGGGCGGGCCTCTGCTCTCTCTGGGGAGTTCTCGCAAAACCACCCCCCAGACAGGTTTTTTTGGCCACCGACACCTCCAAGCGCCGCCAACGCACGTCCTGAACTCATCACATCACCCACCGCCTGTCCGGCTGCGACGCACATCAGCATCATTAACATCATCAGCATCATTGTCATAATCATCATCAAGCGCCAGCGCCAGCGCCAGCATCGTCAACGTCCGCTTGGCTCTCTCATTCACCCCGTCAACAGGAGTCTGTCTCTGCTTGGATGCAATCGCGGCGTGCTTCCACATCGTCTACCTAAGTAAGTACCTCCGTGCTTAAGGGTAACAGTTCCCCACTCCGCTGTTTTCGCCCGACCCTCGCTCGCCTAAGAGACCGGCATATTACATAGTAGTATATTAGCATTGCTATTACGTTGCGTCGAATCTCGCTCTATCCATCAAGCCTGAATACCTAGCAGGCAGTTATGCTAAGTACTATGTGAGTAGGTAGGTAAATAGGTACCGGTAGCCTAGACTGCTACCACGTTAGTATACATAGTATTTGGGTGCACACCGTGTTGGTTGGTTTCGGTACCGTATTCCTTACTTAGGCTAGCTACTTACTTCGTAGTATCGGCGATGCTTGGAGCGACACACACAATCGGCTTCTTTTCGGGCATCAATTCTGTTCGTTCCCATGACATAACCTGCCGTCCCACGACCGGAGCCATGGACGTACCTAATCTGTATACTACCGCTTGGTACAAGATCCTACTCTGGCGATGGAACGGAAGGATACATTTGTATACCACAAAGCGTCGTATGACTTGTCAAGCTCTCTTGTGCTAATATCGACGTCAATGCTTGATTGCTATTAGTCGTACGTTGGTCAGCAGAACTGCTGAAACACCGCTCCCCCGCCAGTTTCGCTTTGGTGGCTGGGAAACTCCATCAGCCACTTCACTACCTACCTACCTACATTAGGTATGTATGTAGGTAGTGTCCAGCCCTGTTGCGAGTCATGCATTAGTGAGATAACTCATATTGTGCTCGAGAATAAAGCTCCATTACTTTATTTCTCCATCCTGCCTGCACATTCTACTATGTGGAAGTGTGGTGAGAGAATGAGATTTCATAGTCTCAATGCATATTCACGCTTAGTGTTGCGGTACCGTAAGTTGTTTTCTAGGTGGTTTTTTTGGTTAATGGGGATTTCGCGCAAGGCGTTGCGCGTTCGGATCCCCACCATCATCATCGCGATCTCAAGAGGAGCTGCCTTTAGTCTCAATCCTTCCCTATTACGGAATAGAGGGTCCTCAGATAGGACCGCGGCGATGTCTTACTGTAAGCTCGCCTGGGCGGTGTACCGTACTCTAACCACCGTGTCCGAGGTTATTCTATTTATTTACAGCCGTGAAGCTATGTGCTGCATCCCGATTGATGAGCTACCTATTGAGTTAATACCTAGTAGATAAACTCGGTATGTATTGGCACATCTCTGGATCCGAATGCGCCTATGTAGTAGCTTATCTCCCATCGATTAATCGAGGTGCAAGCGGGAATAGTCATTACGTCAACCTAGACGCGAAGCACAGCATATCCAGGAATATTTGTGTATCCTCAAGTCGCACACAACGGTACCATGTTCAACGAGTTTGTTCCAGGCTAGCCCACGGCCAAGCCGAGAAATAAGTAGCAAGGCAGAAAGCCGGACGGTCATCCCTACTTCCAGACATTAGCAGTACGAGAATATCGACTGAGTGCACCAAAGTTTTAGCCCTTGTGACAGAATGAGCACAGCTATGAGCTAGCAAAGTTTGCGTTCCACGTTAGGACTCGTCCCTTGCACGGATAATGATAACAATCCGTCTCCCTTGAAACTCAGCTCACCGAGGGAGGCGCTTCTTACATACGTACGACACTCGAGGTCATCCTCTGTCATATCGGAATATGACCTAGTTTTATATTTGGACAACCCAGGCTCTCCGACTTGACGCGGATGGCAGGGAGCCGAAGTTTGGATGATTACCGCACTGTTTCTTTCCCACGCGCTGTTAGTCCCTTGCATGATCGGGCAAGGAATTCATTCCTGCGAATGAGCACGACGCTGCTTTTGCAGTCACCCTGCTAAGATCTGCAGGCCTGATCGTAAGCCATCAGATATACTTGGGGTAGTTCATCATACACAAGTGGGATGCATGGAGGCTTAGCTAGGAACGATGCCATGAAGTGACCGAAGCCAGTGAAAGCTAGATGTTGGTGGTGTGTAGCTGCATTGTACCGATGCATGTTCAAATGATGCAGTACGGATTCTCAGATATACCAATATTGGCAATCCGACTAAATGATGAGGATGTTCGAGGATACCTAAGCTATACCTATACTTACAGAGGTACAATGGATCTAGGTAGTTGTTTGGCGGGGTGATAAGATAAGCTCATAAAGAACTTTACAATGCTCAGGCTGGAAGCTTAATTATCACGTGACTGTATTGAGCACCGAGGGCCCACTTTCTCGATACCTGACCTGCTTGTACCTTTACCATGATCATAGGAAGGGAAAGCATAGGTCTCAATCCCAGCGCCGGCATCTACCAAATCAATCGTCTGCTTATCGTAAGGCCTCTTGATTGATACTTATGACAGGATGCTATTCTTCAGGTGAGACTTTTCTGTTTGCCCAATATTTTGCGATTTTCCCTCTGCGATTTTCCTTCTTGTCGTTCTAGCGATCTTTTATTGGGCATTCTGTCACGTCTGCAGATTGGAGAAATAATGAGTGCACACGGTTTTCGGACTTGGCATATCGACATAACAGTCGATCAACCATGTACCCAGTCCATCTGACAGCATGAATTGGTTCTCTATGAGCTGTTTGCTTTCTTAGTTTGGAAAACAGTAGCTCAGCGAGAGGTGGCATTTGGGGCCTGATGCTATATATTCTCTCTATTATGTGACTGCGGCTTGGCTCTGACAGGAGCTATGGCTCGTGAGTTCACGGAGATGATGAGTTCTGGCTGCCTCTTTGAACTACGGCGCGTCAACTTGTGCTTTGTAGAGTGTACGAGACTGTGCTTTACGCCGGGTGCTTCCATCGTTGTTATGGCCAGGTTCCACGCATGTCATTTCATGCTAACGAAAAACTAAATTCCAGCTTCTTCAAGACGCTCATCGACCATGAGGTGACAGTCGAGCTCAAGAACGACATCCAGATTCGGGGCACACTCAAGAGCGTCGACCAATACCTTAACATCAAGTTAGACGACATTCAAGTCGTTGATGAACTCAAGTATCCGCATCTAGTACGTATCCAACAACGAAATTTTCGTCGCCGCATTCTTCGATCGACCTTAATTTGCTTTGTCAATCTCCTCCATCGTTTACTAACACCACTCTCAGAGTTCCGTCAAGAACGTCTTCATTCGTGGCTCCGTTGTGCGATATGTACACCTACCAGCCGCCGCAGTTGATGTCCCACTTCTAGAAGACGCTACGAGAAGAGGTCAGTAACATCATCCTGCGGGTGCTCAGTTTGTTCCTTTTTAACACTAGTTGCAGAAGCCGCGAACCAGGCTGGTAAGGGGAAGTGAAGCAATCACTGCTTAGTCTTAAGCCATACAGCGAGGAAAGGGGTCTAGCGAGTGAATTACAATCTGAAATCAAAGAAAGATGCACTACAGGAAGCCGCAGCGGATTTTAGGAGAGAAACAATGCGAGCAAAGGCATCGGTACCAATTCTTTTAACTCTGGTTTGAAAGGCACGCGCACATAAAATGTACAGGTTAGAAGGGACGGAGATGGCGTGGACATTGTTGGCATACAATACTCGACCCACGCGCGAGAAACAGCAGCAGCTCTTGAATGGCTAGATGCACTTCGCATGAACCATGAGCTCTCATTTCAGAGTTTAGTAGAAAACTTATATATCCTACGACGCCATTGATACCAGGGGCTTCTATTTCATGATTCAGGCCCAGCGCTATTACTTATCCCATCCAAATGCTATTGATCGCCCGCTATATATATAGACTAGTCGCCCTGGGGAAATAGTAGTTACCAATACACACCTCCTCCCTTCCCATCCTTGCCGTCCCAAAGCCTAGGCTTTCCGTGTTCCATATTATTCTTGCTTTCTATAAGCTGTTTTCGCTTTTCACTAAGATTTTCCTCGTCGTCATCGAGAACTTTCACGATGCCTCCTTTTCTTCTCTCGCTCAGCCAGCGATCGGTCCATGACTTCATACGCTTCCTACTAACTTCACTCCCTATATTCACGGTTGGGACAACCTTTTCGATACGTAGAGTCATGAGGAAGAGGGCGAGCTCGCGAAAGCTTGAATGTTCGGAATATGGGACGCCAAAGCACATGGCCTCGCGCGTGCTTCCACGCTGGGCAACAAAATCGCTGCTTCTAAACCGCGTCCTCCACGCATCACTATGCAATATAGACGTCGTAGGGACGGAGCCGGGAGATGTGTTTACAGGGACGTTCTTCGCAGTAGCGGTAGGGGAGCGGAAGTTCCACCCAGACGGTCGAAATCCGACGATACGTGTGAAATGCGGCTTATATGAGTCTAGGTAGTCCTGAAGTGTCTCGGCACGAATCTCCATTATCATCTGCATATGAACTTGCGCCTCATAAGGATTGGAGGTCATCAGTGCTGTAAGCTCTGGGTCACCCAGCTGTGAACAGATCTTGATCTTAGATGGGGAGGCGAAGATCTTGGTATTGAGCGCTTGCGCAATCGCTTTGCAAATACGTTCCTTTCCTATCGAGTAGGTGCCGCAAATTACGAGAAGCCTGTTCTTGAGATCGCTTCGAGTTTCGCTATCAGAGTCCGAGCACTTAATTGTTAATGACAATGCATCACCATTCTCTTTAGTAAAGAATGAGTTAACTGTTGTGCTACCCTTCTCACGTTTAAGCCCATTGAATGCCTCGTCTGCTGTACTTGGATCCCCTGATAATGCCTTGCAAAATTCTGCACAGGCTTCAATGACATCGTTTTGTGGGGGAAATGAGTACCGAGGATTGAGGTACGTGGTGTCTAAATAACAAATATCGATTTTTTGCTGCTTGAGTTTCCCTGATATTGTATCCACAAGGTCAGGCTTTAGTAAGGGATGTGCAACATGTGCCGGACAGGCTCGAAAGTCGCCACAGTGTAGTATTCGTTGAATTCTTGGATTTGAACCCTTCCCTATTTTTTTCTCAAATAGAAAGAGAGAGCTTCCTGGGCAGTGATTTGCTGGCACCATAGTGACAGTCACACCCCCTGTTCCCGGCACTTCTATCGTCTCCTCAAATTTAAGTTCCTTTATGTATTTTGAAGCCGTTCGCAGCTGGTTTTTGACAAGACTGCCTGTCACTTTGCTACAGTAGATAGGGCCATGAGTCCAATTCGCCGTCAAACCTATGTAGTGGTCGCTGTGAAAATGGCTGAGGAAATAGGCGTTACATCCCTGAACAGCACCATATCGGAAGGCATCCACACATATAAAAAATCCCGGCATTATCTTATAGAATGGGCATGTTCTTTGATACGCCGGCTTGCCTCTGGAGGCATGTTCAGCTGCCGCGGCAGAAGCCCAGGCAGAGTCTTCTGCATGACCGGACATTAGCTTGCTAAAAGCAGACGTTGGATTGTTCGTGCTGCTTCCAAGGTTGATGGGATTAACCTGACCCGGTCGAGGAACAGCAGCTTTGGCAAAACGTTTACTCATTTGGGGAGCGCCCACTTTACCATCCCCTAAAGGTGAAGAAGAGGTTGTAGCTGGTGTAGGAAGTGGATTGCCATCAAGGCAAGCATTGACGTGAACAGTCGCCTCGTCTGGTGTGATACCGTCTAAAGTTGCATTGCAAATAGGGCAAGCCTGCGCCATGTAGTCTCCTGGTTCCTCAGCCTCGAGTCTCGCCTGCTCTTCCATGAATCGTCGTTCACGATACTCTTCTCCATCATTAGCGAATTCGTCGTCGTAGTCGTTACCAAAGAGACCTTCCAAATCTTCAAGATCCTCAAATTGGCCATCACAAGACTCATACCTCTGCATATTGGATCCATCATCCGGGTCAGGGCAACTTTCATCGACGGGTAGATTCGGCGCTGATGGCACAGAAACACCCGGCTTCTCTGTGGGTGAGGAGGGATGTGTTGGCAAAGTGATCTTTAGAGTTCGTTCGGCTACATCGTCTTCGCTATCCGAGTCGTCCAGGAATGGACCCCTCGCTCGTCGCGGTTTTGCTGGCTCTGGTCGGACAGGCACTTGTACTAATTCATCTTCATTTATAGCCTCCTCTTCCCCTTTAATAGACACTTCCACACCGGCGGCTTGCAGGGTATTCCCATCATCGTGGTTGATTTTACGTCGCTTAAAAGGTTTCTGGCTGTCTTCATATGAGGAATTCTGGGCGCAGTTCTCGGTGCCATATATATCTTCATTCTTTACGAATGTAGGTGACCTGGGCTGTGTAGGAACTACAGTAGAGGACTCCGACAGGAATAGCTGTTCTTCAACTTCCACCTTGCTGAAGAAATTCAATATGTTTCCGTTTGAGCTTGTAGAGTTCTTTTTCCCGTTATGTATCGTGCTGGTAGCTTGCGCAGGCTTGAAGTTGAGTTTGGATTGCTTTGGTTGTTTCCGAGGGGTCGCCGATTTGGTAGGCATGGCGCTACAAGCCCGGACCGTATCACAGTTGAATCGACGATCAAGGTAAGAATGCACAAGTATAACCCACGTACCAAATCCCTCTGTTGGAGAATCTATTCCGTGGGTTGGCTTTAAAATGGAAACTGGAGAACCGGAGTCGTTCACGAGTCGTATTGCCGAGAGATTGGGATTGGGAGTAGAGAGTTTGCCCCTCGGCGTCTTTGGTGACGTGCACTAGCACCTGAGCTAGCGCAGTTTCCGGGGACGCGGTTGGCGGCGTGTTCAGGCGCGCGCCATCACCTGACTTTGGAACTTTACTACCGGTACCTAGGTAGACAGCCTTCACCAGTATATTCCTCTATCCTTTGATACCAGCATGCTTATCCTACACAATATCTAGGCTAGACGCTTCAAAGCGCCCTGTTATTCAAGTAATATCCCATATGATACTATAGATTCATCTAAGCAAATGACATGATACAGTTAGGCAATAGTCATTCCAATGGCAATACTTCATTTCCTAGTCTGACTTTTATTTATTCTGAGGTAATAAATAAGACTATTATACTGTATGATCTTGCCCATGCGCTCATAAAAAATAGGCTTTGCCAGCCTGCCAAAAACCAGAACGCCGTAAAAATGCATAATAGATTATATAACAAGTCAGATCCTTCATTCATAACCTCGTAACTTTCTCATCGACATCAATTTCTGTGCCAGCAGGGTAGTGGTCGATTGAATCAGATGCTGAACTGCCCTCCTTCAGTTTCTCCTTTTTCAGCGGGTTGGGAACATTCGGAGAGTTGCCAACGAAGTAATTACGGATATCCTGTGTGATATCCTCATCGTCGTCTTCGAATTCTGCCGATTCGGTGTCGCTGGTGGCCCTTCTCTCCTCCCACTCTGCGCGGAGGTCATGGATCTTGGCCTTCATGTCAAGATCGGGGTGGTAGCTTTTCCCATCACCCCTCCATCGCTCCCATAACGACAGGTGTTGGGGGTGGACAGCAATTCCGTGGTACTCCTCGGGATTGCCGTTTAGTATGCACTGCCACCGACGCTCTTGTTCTTTCAAGTCGAGGCCAGTGGTGTCCGGAAGCCAGATCAGAGTGACGAGCATACCGGCAAGACCGAACCAGGGCACAACGAGGAACTTGGTCGGGTTGTCGATGTAGTTGTAAAGCACGGATGCTAGAAGAGCTCCGGACTTTCCAATCATGGCTGAAAACCCGTGTGCACTGGCACGTACTTGTGTCGGATACACTTCACCGGCAACGAGGAAAGTAACTGAGTTGGGGCCGAATTGGTTGAAGAAAGATGAAAGAAAATAAAGAGCTTGAAAGCTGTGGATTCCAGCTGGGCTCGTATAGTACTCGTAATTGAAAGCGGGGATGACGAAGGCGAGGAAACAGACGAGGAAACCAATCTGCTGCATGTTTTTCCTGCCGTACATCTTGTTGTCAATCAACAGTGCCGCAGCATAGTATCCAGCAAGCGAGACAACCACATTGACCAAGTTCCAATTCCAGGTTGTCAAAAGCGAGTCGGGATTATCGGAAATGACGCTGATAAATTGACCTGGGTAATCACGTTAATTTATGACCTTGTAGATATCCTGAAAGACAGTTTTCAACTTACTCTGAAAAAGTTTGTTTCCGTAGAAGAAAACGTCGTTGAAGAACCAGCCAGCAGAAGTGGCAAAGAGTCGACCGCCGAAGTTGCTGAACGTGGTCTTGAGTGATTTGACGTCATATCCTGTCACATTGGCCTTTTTCTTGGCCTTTTCGAGGTGTTTGGATGCGGATTTCATCTTATAGGTACGATAGTAGACAAGCCACAACGTGCCAATCGCAGGAAGCGCAAACGAGATTCGGAATGTGTACTGCGCAGCAAACTGGCTATAGGGCGGTTCGCCACCAGTGCCTCGGTTGAAAATCACCAATAGAACGGTCAAGACGATCTGATTGAAGAATTGGCCCCAGCCCTGCATCAGAAAAGCCAGTGTGACTTTTCGACCTCGGTGTAGACGGTCTTCCCGAGTGGATAGTTTGCCAGCTGAAACGGCATTCTCCATGGAAGATGTTGCCGTAATGGGATACTCCCCACCAACTCCTATACCGTAAAAGAATAACGAGAAGGCATAGAGGATTACCCATCCTTGTAGCGTAACACCCCAAGAACCAGTAAGCAGCAACAAGCCGATGAACATGATCAGCGCATCTTGTATCAGGCCCCATCTTCGTCCAATCCAGTCGCCAATGATCTAATTAGGTAATGGTTAGCTCTGAAACGAGTGAGGACCACGAGGGAGAAGACATACGCCGACGCCAGTTTGACCAAACATGATACCAATGATTTCTAAACTGTTTGCGCACTGGAGTTAGTTATGGCCGGAAAAGGCAATATTCAGCTCATGAAGCGAGAGCATACTGCTAGTAGCAGGGGGGTCTGAATCCTGTGGAAGGGGAATACTAACTAGGTCACTGATGCTACCCAATTCTTATCACACACTTCATGTGTACCCCAGCAGCCTTTCCAGACTTTGGCAAACAATGGCTGCAAATTTCCAATCGAAAACAGCACATAACCTTCTAGGAGCAAGCCAGCGCCGGGAAGGACGGAATTCCGAAAGTACCAAGAGAAAGGACTGAGGGGATCTTGTTTGAACATGGCCCATATCGACTTGAGCTCTGACTTGGTCTCCTGTGAGCTGACTTTATTGACAAAGGCGAAGCGTTGAGAAAAAGGAAGGTCGGCCCAATAGACACCTTCTGGGGTGTACGAATCATCGGGCCGGAGTAGATGTGAGAATATTTGCTTCTCGTAGTCGGTGGCATAGCTTGTGGAAACTCGGCGGGGATAGTGTTGGTGTTCGTGGCCAGTCTCCGGTCCATGGGGAACGGGAAGCTCGCCAACCGGAGGATCGTGCTCCTTATGGCGGCGAAGAAAGCTAGCCATGGCGAAGGGAAACGTAGGCTGGTTTATCCTGCAATGGGGATATTGTGTATGGTGACGTACAGACACCACCGCCCTGACGGACGAGCAGTAGAATATGTGTGAGCGAATGTGAGTGTACTTTGTGGCAGAGGAAGAGTATGTGGAGTGGAGATTGGAGCAGAGGAAGGGAGAAAGGAGATGAGTAGACGAAAGATGGAATTAACTACCCAAGCTGGAGTAAACAGACAGATGATGAGAAGGGGTCGAAGATTATAGTTTGAGAGGGACACGCTTTATACTACCTATTATGTGTGGTAATAGAACTTCACATCCATGGATGTACATGTATCTACACTGCCAACCTAACTCAGAATTAATATGCGTGCACCCACATATATAAGTCAATATTTGTGGCTAGACCCCGATCAGACTTTTCGTCACGCTCCCTCGGCCTCCTCGAGGTACTATGATCGACTCATTCTTGTCTACACACCATCCTACATGTACAGTATGAAAGAATCAGCCAGAGGGATATCGCGCGATGTAGCTGGGTTGGTGGGGGCTCGGTCTCTACCACCTAACCACAACTCCGCAAGGAGCCATAATCCTAATGTAGGGACCCCCGTTTGGTGGATCTAGACTAGACGACGACTCGCGGAGATACTATGCACTATGTATTCGGATGGATATACATTTAAATACAGTAGCAACAGACTCCAATCGACGTCGGCTACACTGCCTCGACTGCACTCCCCGTGACTTAAGCGAGTTAATTGAGGTATCGTCTATGAGCAGACACCCAAGCATTGTGATGGCGATAGCTGAGCAGCTGCCATTATGATGCAATCGAACCCTGCCGCGAGGCGTGTTGGCTCGCTAGCAGTGAGGTCGAGGACAAGCCGAGATGACGGCATGGTCGAGTACTACTGTTGCAAGTAGCTGGCGAGACTGGATAGACTGGATAGACTGGAAGTGGTGCTTCGGTGCTTCGCAGCTTTCTGCAGGGTGCGTTGAGGCTCGTGCCAAAAATCCAAAGAGCCAATGAGAGATCGATATGGGAGCACGTTGCGAATCTGGATCTACTGATTAGTCCGGGACAAAAGCACTAATGCAAGATTTTGTTTGTTAGAACAGGGGTTATAAAAGTCGAAGAATCTTTAAGTGGCGATGATTTAGTAAAAGGGGACCGAGGGGACCAAAGACGGCCTGGTGAGGTGTTTAGACGGACCCACGGGCGGTTCTGTACGACCCCGCTCGCCCGCCTGTATCCTGACAACGGCCGGGGCCCCTTGCAAGCCTCCAGCGCCTCCAAGCCTCGTTCCCGCTCACTGGGCCTTCTCTGGCCTTCCTCTCTGGGCTCTCCTCGGCTCTCTCGCTCTCTCTCGTTGGGCCCTACGAAGACGCCATCTCGCCAAGCCATAGCCGAGCACAGCCCTTCCGCCGTTGGGAACGGCGGCAGGCCGTGATAAGGTCGCATCAACTGCAGTTTTGCTGCACCCAAGACCGAGCCAAGACGCCGGGGCAAGCTTCAGCAAAAGCTTGAGTTGATTGATTCAAGAAAATTTTCCGTATTCTGCAAGTGGTCGCGTGAGTAAATCCCGCCTGAGTCGCAAGGCATGCAAAGGACCTGCTCCTGGTAGATTTCCCCCTCACTTCAACATCGTGGCTAGATTGCTCCCCACGACACATCTACCCCAATGCTTAGCCGGGAATTGCAGGTTATAACCTGAACGTCTCCTTCTTTCTTCTTCTTTCTTCTTAAAACGCTACCTACATTGGGCAGCTACTAATGACAGTGACTTAATGTGCACTCAGCTATTGTGTGCATTCCTTCACTACCCGACATCTGACTACACTACGCGGGTAGATTGGTGAGGTGGCTGGCCTTGTGTGCACTATATGTAAGTATGTCAAACAGCCGCAAGTTAATGCTTAGGAAATACCGCGCAATGGTACTTCTACCTCAGTTAGACTAGTGTAAATACAACTGGCGGTGGATGTCGGCTTCTGCGGTTCTCTCCTCGGTCCAGTGTACGTCGCAGTTGTTCGAGTAGTCCTTCGTTCCCCACAACTCCCGCTATGTAATTTATTATTTACGCATACAACATGTGTGTTATAGCTGTAAGATCACTGACAAATGATCCAGTGAGAGAGATTGAACCCGGTGTACCCCGGCTGTGATTGCTGCGCTTACACGTACTTGGGCCTTCAGGGCTGATTGTCCGCGTTATTAACTAACATGTTGTGTCGTCTAACGACTCTCACGCTGTTCCGTACTGGCAGTTTCATTTAGGATCTTTGGATCTTTCCGCTAGGATATGCGATAACGAGAACAGGCCGGGCTCTAGAATGGGTATGCTTGGCTCCATCTGCCCAGAAAAAAAGAGTGTTTTGGTACTGCCTCGACGAGCTCTCTATAGCAGTTTGAGAATGCTACAACCTTGACAGCTCGCAGATACTTCCGCTTGCTGGTCTCAATACTTCACCACTATATCATTTTACTTTTGGTAACACTTCGGGGGCTATCTCTTTACCTACAATTAATCAAGACATGGACAACATTGCAACTACGCAACCACTACGGAGATACACGAAAGATGTAATTTACTTGAATTAGCTCGTAACCGAGGCTATCTATGTGTCATATGCTATTATATGAGCGAGTCTTGGAAAGTGTACTGTATCAGTCTAGTTACTACCGGAGAGAAGCTGTAAGAACATGAAAGCAGACACAGGTTACCTTAGGAGGTAGGTATTAACACAAGACGATGTCACGTGACTACGCTCCTCTCAGCGCCGCGTTGGAACGCGTCGGGCCCACTATCGGCCATTAGGTGATGATGCCATGTCTCCAATCTCCAACATCTGTGGTCTCATCACTTTCGACTCGCATTGTGCATAACGGCGCCCAACCATTACATCTGGGAGCACATGGGTAGCGAAATGCCTCTTCGCAAGTCATCTCGAAAGGCGAATGCGGCTATTGTGGAAAGCAGTGTGACTAAAACCACTATTTCAAAGGTCGAATCTAAGACTCGAGCCGCCAAGCGCAAGGTTGTCGAAACTAGTCCCGAGCCCGAGATAGCATCAGAAGAAGACACGGAAATTAAACAAGTGAAAAAGCGCAAGACTGTAGTGAAGCCAAAGGTGGAAGAGGAACAATCCACTATCGAAGAGCCCAAAACTGCTGCGCCCAAGAAGCAGAGGGCAACCAAAACCAAAGCTAAACCTGAAGATAGTATGCCGCTCGCAGAGCGCACCGCAATTGCTTCCTTGAAGAAGGCTATGCGGATTGGCGCTCATGTCAGCAGTGCGGGAGGTAATACCAGCGCCAAAGCTTAATCATAACCGCATACTTCAACTCTTGTCTGACTTGGTGTAACAGGCGTGCATAACTCGATCACGAATGCCGTCCACATCGGCGCGAATGCATTTGCGCTTTTCTTGAAATCGCAGCGAAAGTGGCAGAATCCACCCATCACTGCCGAAGCACGGGAGGGGTTTCATAACCTCTCTAAGACGCACAAATTTGAAGTCCACCAACACTGCCTACCACACGGCTCTTATCTTGTAAATCTAGCACAGGTGGAGAAAGAAAAGGCGGATCAGGCATACGGCGCATTTCTCGATGACTTACAGCGGTGTGAGTTGCTAGGAATCAGGCTGTACAACTTTCACCCGGGCAATACAAATGGCGACGCTCGCGACGCCGCGATTGGACGCATTGCAGCCCAGTTGAACAAGGCACACAAGGCAACGAAGACTGTCGTAACTGTTCTCGAGAACATGGCCGGACAAGGGAACGTTGTTGGCTCGACATTTGAGGACCTGCGCGACATTATCGCACTTATAGACGATAAGACCCGTGTCGGCGTATGCATTGACACATGCCATGCTTTCGCCGCAGGCTACGACCTGCGCTCGTCTAAGGCGTTCGCGGCGACAATGGCGAAATTCGATGAGGTGGTGGGTACAAAATATTTACGAGCACTCCATCTCAACGACAGTAAGGCGCCCTTTGCTTCCCACCGCGACTTGCACGCCAACATCGGCACCGGATTCCTCGGTCTCCGTGCCTTCCACAATGTCATGAACTACGACTCTCTCGCTGAGCTGCCCATGGTTCTCGAGACGCCCATCGACCGGCCTGGACCGGACGGCAAGACCATCGAGGATAAACAGATCTGGGCAGACGAGATCAAACTGCTTGAAAGCCTCATCGGCATGGACGCTGAAACGGCAGAGTTCGCCGCATTAGAGGAGAAGTTGCAGGCGCAGGGCGCTAGCGAGCGCGCCAAGATCCAGGATCAGGTCAATCGCAAGGGCGTCAAGGATGCGAAGAAGACGAGCGCGAAGCCGAGAGGGAAGAAAAAGAAGACTGAGGAAGATTCCGAATCTGGATAGTAAATTTTCAAAGTTATCATCATTGAGGCTACTTGTTTGCAAGCAAAGAACGAAGAAGGCTTGTGTATAAAGAATAAGTCTTATGCTCTATTCTATGTGTGTATAACCCTTGGGGAGAACTCGGTACATAATTTGATGACGAGCATTGGCGTCTGGGATGGGAAATGTAAATAGGGACGAAAAAGGCTTGGTTTGTCACTTTTTGTTAGCAGCAAAATTGATAGAATGTTTGGTAGCCTACATTAAATTTAATAATAACAGAATGTCGACTTTCCCACGTATGACAAAAGACTTATAGAAGAAGAGTATTAACCATATTCAAATTGAACTTATGAGGGATATCTCGATGAAAAAGAAGTTCTCGTGCCCCCAACGCCCCATCAAATGCGTTATTCATCAGCTTCGTAACTGCGGGCAAACCTTGGGAAAACCCGTGGTGTTGTCTAATAAGTCTTCGTCAACCCGCACGTCTAATATCTTATGTCCGTCCTCTTTCCCCCAACTCTTCTCAATTTCATGGAACATATGTCAAATATTCGCGACAAGCCGTACCCAGCAGTCCAACGAGATGCCAAGACAGTAGGCAAATGCATATAGGTATCCCTTCAAGGCTTCTTGCTCTTCGCCCAAGTCTCGACACGATTGATCATTCCCCTCAAACCGATGCCCTTCTCGGAATTCGCCTCGAGCCACGCCTCCATGCGCTCCCGAATCCGCTTCAAGCTGCGGTTGACAGGCATCCGCATCTCAACCTCGCCCTCGACATGCGAGCCGGGGTTGAGCAGGACGTCGAAGCAGTCCCCCCAGATGTCCGTCTGCCAGTATCGCTTGAGTGACTCGCGGATCTTGTATTTTCTTCCGGCCGCCGTGCCGAGGCCGCCCTGGTCCGCGCGCACGGTCTCAATGTACTTGCCGAAGAGCAGGCAGTGGACAATGCCCGCGAGCCCGTGGTAGTCGAGCTGCCACGTCCAAGGCCGGCCCTCGCGGACCTCGGCGCAGTCTTCCTTCGTCGTTTTCCAATCAGCGATGAACTGCACGTCCTTCTCGAAAGCGCGCATGTCGATGCCACGCCCGAAGTCGATAAGGACCACCCCACGTGTCGACCAGTTGCCCGAGCCGTCCGCAAACCACTGATTCGAAAGTCCCTGGGTTTGGGGCTGGGACTGTGAAGGGGAGAAAATGATGTCATCGAGACGCAGCAGGCAATTGTCAGCCTTTAGATCGCCGTGGAGAATATGTTTTGAGTGTAGTGCCTCGATGGTGCGCAACAGCTCAATCGTGAAGAACATGGCAAGCGTCTCATCCATTATGCCCGATGGCTGCTCGCGAAAGAAGTTGACTACAGAGAGCAATGTGGGATGAGGGTGAAAGGGGAGGAGTAGAAAACACTCGTCCTGGTAGAGATGCATCTCGTGCGCTGCTGAGATTGAAGCTGTGGCACGATCTTGTGGGCCCAGGCGATCGGCGGCGAGACGCATTATGAAGAATTCCCAGGCGGTTGGGGGTTGTTCCATCTTGAGTGCTTCTAGGGACACCCGGTGGCGGGTTGCGAAGGCACCCTTGCCCATTTCAATAACACCGTCCTCTCCATCGCCATCCTCGGGTGACGAATTCTCAACGAGATAGACCGGTGCGAATGCGCCAGAACCAAGCTCTCGCTTTAGAGTGTACTCGCCCAAGAGCTCTGGGAACTCGAGAACCACAGGGCTGCAAAGAGGGCCAGTCTTATCCGTGTTAGACTTGCCATTCTTGCCGACAAACTTCGCGAATTTACGAATTTCGTTGCCCCGATCACTCTTTTCATTGCGGTGATCGTAAAAACCAGCATACGAGCTGAGAGGCGGATGAACCTTGGCTAGAATCTCGTCTCTGACCATGCTGTCGACAGGGTTGCATTGTGCATCGTGGATGATGGGTCCTTTCGGTATCGCTGGCGTCACAGAAGCCTTGGGTTTAGGCTTAGATTTGGACAGCTGGGGCTGGGCCAGCTTCACCGGTGAGCGAGCATCGTTCAAAATCTCGCGTAATGGGCTACTGAGTGGTTCAAAGTCCTCGTCGTCTTCATCCTCTTCTTCCTCAGCTGTGGAATCTAATGTGTCCTTTTTGCACGGAGTTTTGGTATAATAGTTTGACTTTGTTTCTGTGTACATACCCACTGAGGTTTCCGTTCGTTCCGTAATAGGTGTCATAAACGGTAAGCGGTTATTAGCCACCTCAGCCGGGTCCCTATACGGCCGTGTAGGTGGCTCGTAATCCTCTGGAGGGATCGGGATGAACCGAGTGCGAGTTTGCGGGGGTGAGTCTTCAGGCGTAGGCGGGTAATCATCGTCTTCGTGGCTTGCCGGCTGCACATCATTGGGATCCATCAAATCTGATGTTTGGCTATGGCTATCTTCATCTTCGTCTTCATCTGGTGCATATTCACTCTCGCCGTCCACCTTGGGTATGTGTTTTCGAGCGGTGAAGTCAGACCACTCGCTAACACTCCTGTCATCCGCAGTTCCATCATCCCCAACCTCACTTGTGCCGGTCTGCCGGGTGGTGCCTGTACTCTCCGCACCACTGGTGTAGTCGTCATCGGACACATAGTCTTCATCTTCACTCTGGATATCCTGATTGGCTGGTCTGAGAGGTGCATTGAAGATATCATATATGTCGTCCGTGGCAGCTCTGGTGTGCAGTGTCATAGTAGGCTCTGACGACACGTTTCTTTTCTTCTTTATTTTAGGCCCTGATGGAGAGTCCAAATTGGCTTTGACTAAAGACATTTAGTATTTAAGGGTATAGATATATGAACCAATCTTGAGCGCACGAAACAGCAATGGCGTGAATAAACTGATAACAAACGAACGTACAACAGAGAAAGTGTACTTACTGATTTGAGTCTCATTAACCTCCATCACCTTCTTCTTCCTCCCTTTCGTAGGTTTGGTGTGGTAGTCTTTGATTGCTCCATTCTCGTCGAGCGGCACGGTGTCTCGGTGAATCACTAATTTCTGCTCGGCTCTTCTGCTGAGAGCCTCTACTGGGGGGGTATTTTCATCTGCAACTTCGTGCTGGCGATCGACAAGACTTTCCTCATCCCAACACGCATTGAGCCAGCCTTGACTTGCTGCCCATAGTTCCTCGAAGCTTAGCTCAGTGCCTGGCTCCTCGGGAGTAGGGTACACAGCCTCCAGATTAACATGAATGCGCTCTCTTTTACCGTTCTGTGGATTGATAATCACTTGGTGCTTTGAGGGAGCAATGACAATATGAGACTCTGCTATTCTAGCCAATGACTGAAATACATAAATGCGCAGCCGCCAACAATTAGTCCTATGATCATCAACAATCGGCCGTCGCCGGAGGGGCGCAAGAATTGGTCAGCTTACCGGATCCCTGAACACGGCCATCTTTGGTCCGTTGCTCTTTTTGACGCTGGTATCCAACGTCTCTCCCACCCACGGCCTAGCCTCCATCACGTTTTCCTTTCTTCGGTCGGCGAGAGATCCAATTGTATCCCATCCCTTTGCCCCATCGCCCGCGGACGACAAGGCCGGTTGTGTTGCACTCGCATCCGAAAAAATAGCGAGCTTCGACTTGCTAGGCCGAGTGGACTGTCCACCAACCCCCATGTTTGGTCTGGGTGCCTGGGGGTCGACTGGGTGAGCGGCGGCTCCAAAGGGGTCGGCCTTGGCAGCTAATGCCGGCCGCACGCTGGGTAGAGCAGGGGAGGATGGTTCGTCTGTTGCGTCCGGGTTTTGGGCGCGTCGCTTCTCGAACTCGCCAAATTTCCGTACGAGACGTTGCACAGGACGCGCTTCTCGCTCGATGCCGAGCTTGTAGACTTCGTCTGCTTGTTTCCAGCGGCCAGCACCTTCGAGCCAATCAGCGTACTCCTCGTAGAATAAAGCCAGGCCTTCGCCGATGCTGTGACGAGACAAAAAGACAAATGTCTCTCTGGGAGCATCGGAGAAAAAGTGTATGTAATGCAGCCACAGCTTCAGGTATCTGGGGTCATTGCGGTATTGCGGTGATCCAATGAAAGCCTTGGTGGCGCGTTCTAGTAGTGTGTGAAGTTGAGATTGGGGGGTCGCCTGGGCGGATGGGTAGGCATCAAAGGTCCACCGCACATATCTATCGAAGATGTCGAGAGGGTCGTCGGATTCGCTCAGCGCCGCGACCTCGGCCTCGTACTCGGCCCTGATATGGTCGTTGACGGTTCTGGTGTCTGTGGGTGTGGGTAATTTGTGTAGAGGCGAGGGCGCGAAGGCCTCAGCAAGTTTCCTAGCCGATCGGCCGCCCGGTAAAGATTGAATGTTTTCTTTTTGGCCTTCGATGATATCGAAGTCGATTAGATCGCCGGCAGCCATGATGGCATGTGGGTTGCTGTGGACGAACTGCGCGGGAATCCTTTTTTTTTTGCTGGAGTATGAGTTGTAGGGTTGGGGAAGAAACAAAAGACGAGAATGCAGGTAGGCAGGGAGGTAGGTATATCTCCTCGATCAATAAGGTTTGGCTCATAAAATGTTAACTAGAATGTTTCCTTAAGATGTTGACTTGTTTTGGTCGTACCCCATTGGTGTCGCCCTGGCAACAGCGCTCTGCAGGGACCTGTGGCTCAGCCGAGCCCAGGGAGGTTTAGTGTATCTACAGCACATCCTCACAGCAGGTACCCTGCTATATACTACGTGGTACCTAGGTACCTACCTATATACATAGTACTTACGTGTGAGGTGTTGGGTACCTAGTTACATGTACGTAGGTTCGGGTCGCAAATTTACATTAGGCTTGGGACGGTAGGCTAATACTAAGGGTGATGGACATATACGACCTAGACTTCCATAGGTAGGAAGCATTTGCAGGGCAACTTGGCGAAGCTTATAGTCTGATCACCTGCAGTTATATTTAGTTATATTGTGTAGGTGGTATATAACAAGATTGTTGAGCACCTGGATATGTGTACTGTAAGAAGCTCCAAGTCATCGATTCTTCCAGTGTATGACTCATCATAATCATAGCATAATTCTCAGATAAAGAGAGAGAGGAATGAAGAGCCAAAGTCACAAAAGCTAACCTCCATCTCCAATGAAGCAGGGCGGGGTTAAGAAATACAACCGATTAGATCCCATCGTCTACAGGAATTACAGGCCAGAAAGCCTCCTCTAGAACCAAAACCTTCTTGACCATCGCCGCAGCCGCCGAGAATCTAGCCTTCTCGTTCTCTTCTCCTAGCGAGCTCTCCGCATACGCATTCAAGCATCCCTGGATCTCCTCGATAAATTCCTGAAATGGCCGTGAAGTCCAATTAGGGATGAAATGTTTACGTAGCGCGCCACCGTCAAGATCTTTCTCCCAGTTCTCGTTTTGAGAATCAGAGCTCTTCTGCGCGTAGCTCCAAGCAGTCAGGTAAGCCTTTTCCGTAGCCCAGAGGACAACCAACCCATCAAACAGGGTCCTCGGCGAGTCTCCTCTAGATTGAACGGCGAATGAGTCGAATAGTTCCATGTAAGCCTTAGTTGTTGCATTAGGACCAAATGTATGCTCGCCAGGTCTCGTGGCCGCCAAATCAAGACCATAGCTAGCTGCAGTCTCTTCAAAAAATCGCAACTCGCGCATGATGCCAGCCAGACATCCTTGCAGCAACGTAAGGAGTCGCCACTGTAAACCAGCGCCCGCGCCCGCTATATCAACCTCGATAGGGAGCATGACGCGGGAAATCAAGCCACCAATGAATCGGACATAGGCTTGAGCATATAGTCTGTCTTGTGATAGCCACTCACTGAGTGTCTGGTGGCTCAGGCGGCCTTGGCCTGCCAAACGAAGGAACTGTGCCTGTGTCGCCCGCTGATAGAGATCAGCTATGTGGGGATCGGCCAGAAAACTTGCTGTTAGTGATTGTTTGCTCATCTTGTCCTGAGTATAATCTTGTAGGCAAGGCGGAGGGTTAGGCGAGGATAAGCCAAGCAGTAATTGATCATTCCACTCAAGGTAGGCGTGTAGCCTAACCGTGACATATTGGCGCAGCCTGAAGACACCAGCCACGCAGCCTGACGTAATACCTAGATCATTTAACCTATTTCTTGATGAAGTTACCTAAAGAGTCAGACCGCTTTCAAATAGTCACTAGAACGACAATGAAGACATGATGAAATAGCTACCAGACGAGTCCAATGTCACGAGGTCATCAATAAATTTCAGGCCAACTATGCTTGGCAACATTCTACATAGTGAGGCAGTGATGAAAGATGTTCTCAGATACATCTGCAATATCATGGCAGATTAGTCATTCAGCCTAATAAACCAGGCCCCAGCACTGAGTTAAAGTAGATTACACGCATTTCCATGCTGATATCGAACCAAAGCTCGCCTTGGTTCCAGTACGACCATTGCCGCCAGAGGTCAAATTGTATAGCCAATTAGACCATAATTCGGGAACGTCCTACCTCCCCTTACCATGCTCCGACCTCGAAGTTTTCCTAATAGTACATTAGAAAGTGCTGCAATAGGGGTTTTCATTGAAGGCTTGCTTACCTCGGGAAAATACGTTGTCACGACAGTCCTGTCGGCGAACTTCCTTCCAGCTAATGCTTGAAGCGCCTTTGTGGCTGATTCTGTGGTATCAAACTTGACAAAAATTTTACCAACACCAGCAGATTGTCGGCTACCTCCGATTGGCCTCGGCACCTTCATGGCTACGATATTGCCATATTTGGCGCATTCTCCCTCCACATCTTCGCAGATTTCTAAATCGGTCAGTTACGTCAAAGTTATAAGGGAATTACCAGGACTCACCCTCATAGTCGTCATTGTCCAATAGTTCTTCTGGTGTTACCATATTAAGTAGCTGTACAACGCGGCTTATCTCCGAATCGTTGGAAGCGGTTGTGCCGGCAAGCATGGACATGGCATTAACACCCATCTCCACACCAGACACTTGCGTGATGCCAATGCTAGCCTTTTGAACCTTGAGATTCTTCTCGCCAATGACCATGCCGTTTAGTCCCTGTACAGCAATATCTGTAATAGAAGGGTCAACGAATTCGCAAAATGCAATTCCCTGATGGTTGTTAGATATCTCCGCGCATTACTTATAGAGGGCAGTGTCAACTTACACGAGATTCTTCAGTGCCGTTATCTTTTACGAGAACAAATGCCTTAAGCTCTCCAAATGCTACCAAAAGCTCGGTGACCTGCTCATCTGCAAGGTAGGGAGGAATATTAGATATGCTAATCTTGTTAGGAGTATCGATCACTACTTTTGATACTACTCCGGGCTCGTATGGTGTATCTTCGGCGACGGCGGGGACAATGTAATCCTTTGGTCGTTTAATGTGGAGCCCAGCAGAAGCGGCCCCGTTCATTGCGTCGTCTGCTTCCATCGATATGCCGTCTAGGGCTAAGGCAACTGTAGCTTCCGAGGCATGTCTGAATTCGAGTAAAGCAAAGGAGTGATCCTTCGAAATCTGGCAGAGAATACATGGGTCGGTACTCTCAACTACGTTGAGACCATTCAACTGAATATTGAAGAAGCCAATGACGCTGTCGTCGGTAGTGCCTGGCGGAAGATTAGACACTAACAATCTCTTGCTCTGTCGGGAATTGCCCGGTTTAAGTGCTGCGCTGTTGACAGCGCCACCGGGATGGTTCATGAAAGCCTGAAGCCTTGTAGGGTCCATGGGTTGCTGTCGCGGCGCGCCTGGTAATGGGAACATTCCTGAAAGCTTTGCCTGCTCAGCCGTGACGTTGTCATAGCCAGGCGGCTTGATATCCCACTGAGTCATGCGACGCTTCCGCTCGAGGACAGGAACGACGTCGGTAAGATCTGGCGTGGGCTCTCGCTTCTTCGGAGGGGAGGCACTACGGCCACGGCGGTTCTGCGCAAAAAGGTCCTCATCGCGATCTCGGCCACCGCGATCTCGCCGCTCACCACCACCACGGCGGTCATCTCCGTATCCGTCACGGTCCCTCCGAGAGGGCCGGGGAGGTTCCTCGCGACGATGTTCCCTCCGAGCTCCCCGGTCGCCTCGATCGCGGTCCCATTCTCTCTCTCTACGGTCACGTCCAGCACCTCCATACCGATCTTCACGCTCACGATCTCGGTGGCTCCGACTCGAGGCATAGGCATCCTCGTCGCGATGGGAGCGTCGTGGTGATCTGCTGCGCCTTCGGTCACGTCGATCGCCTCGATCGCCTCGATCCCGCCTGTCATCACGGGAAGAGTAGTCGCGAGATGCGCCAAGACGGCCATCTGCAATTGGTAGGTCAGTTGATGGGCCAGAGGGTGTGCAATGGAATTGGTTGAAATATAATTGAGAGGCTAGATGCACTTACCTCGCGCAGAGTAGCTGTCTGCGTTCATTGCGACACAGATGCTGTTCCGGGTTTTTTTTGATAAATAGGGCGGTAACAGACGGGTAATAACACAGCTCACTGGTGGTTTTTGTGCGCAGTGGTGATGCAAGAAATGTTGACAGAAAGCTCTGGACGAATGCAGAGCTCCTTAAAGAGAGCCGCGTTGCAAGATCAACCGCGAGGCTGGAGAACTTAGAAATTTTGGTTGGACGGAGAACTCCAGCTATGGGTACCAACTAAGTTGCTAAGAACCTACCTAAGTACCTAGATACCTACACGTAGAGTCCCGAGCCACTAAACAACACGCCCAGACCAGTACTTACGGGTATTACAGCGCCTGCAGGCTGCCATTGGTGGGTACCTAATTGCATACCAGGTAAGTACGCAGTACCTGCCTAGGTACCTGTAAGAATAGCGCAGCTAGGGGATCTCAGCCAATCATGTGCCAGTATCGCTTGCCTCTTTAGGACCGTGTCATACAGCTTGCTTCAAGCCCCTGACCTGGACCCTTCATTCTCCCCTTCTTGGTATTCACCACGATACCAATCTTTCTCGGTTTCAACGGCCGTACACCGTCTTTCCTTGCACACGCGATTTTGTATATATACGGATCAGTGTAAATCTCGCTCTCATTCTCTGTCATGCCCTCGCTGTGCGGGTCGGAGTGGCGAAAGCTACCTCTCAGCTTAACTGAACTATGCATTGACACCACCCTGCGCTGTGGACAGTCTTTCAGGTGGCAAAAGATTAATGACGAGTGGTAAATAACTCTAAAAGTCCCTTACCATCTTGCTCTTTTTTTGTAACCACTCTTCTATAGGAATTGTGTGCTTCATGGCCGCTTGTTATCCTTGAAACAAGATGAGTCGTGTTTACACTATAAGGCAGCCTGGCCAAAGATTACTCCAAATTCACGCAGGCCGGCCCTTTCGCCTGGAGAAAAAGACAATGCAGATGGCCAGCAGGGAGATGATACAGAGGCTCTCATTAGACATTATTTCAGCTTGAGGCATAATCTGGGAGCCCTATATGAACAGTGGTCTGAGTCTGATGCCAACTTCAAGAAAAGAGCTCCACGATTCACCGGAATTCGCATTCTCAGTCAAGATGCTTGGGAGACTCTCATATCCTTCATTTGCAGTAGCAATAATCATATCTCACGCATTTCGCAAATGGTTCGGATACCCACACTTCTGGCTCCCATTGGATGCTAACGCGTTGAGCAGGTTCATAAGCTTTGTGTGCACTATGGTCCTCTGGTAGGACATGTAGGGGATGAAGCCTTTCATGATTTTCCAACACCCCAGGCTTTGGCTGGAAGGAAGGTTGAAGCCCACCTAAGAGAACTTGGCTTTGGGTATCGCGCCAAGTACATTGCTGACACAGCCAGTATGTAAAACCATTAGAGTCATTTTCTTCCTGTTCTAGTTACTCCTGGAGGCCACAGTTGCCGATTAGGGGCACAAGTGCGTCTCGGGAGTGTGCGGAACCCCAACCCCAACCCCCGAAGAGAACTTTTACCTGAAAGAGTAACCACTGACTCCAGCGGTTGTAGTGATAGTGGCCATGCAAAAACCTGAAGGGTGGCTAGAAAGCTTGACCAATCCAGAGACCCCGAGATGGGCGTCTACTCCGGTTGCAGTCCGAGACAAGCGCATAACATACAAGCAAGCCCACGAAGAACTCCTCTCGCTCTCGGGCGTTGGACCCAAAGTAGCGGACTGTGTTTGCCTGATGGGCCTAGGTTGGAGTGAAGCTGTACCGGTTGACACTCATGTATGGCAGATTGCCCAAAGGGATTACGGTTTCGGGAGGAGCAAAACCAAGACGTTTTCGAAGGCTATGTACGACTCAGTTGGTGACCACTTTCGACAAATCTGGGGGCCTCAAGCTGGTTGGGCTCAGTCAGTATTGTTTACGGCAAACCTAAAGTCCTTTTCCGAGCAAGCAGCCACGAAATCCAAAACAACTGAAGTCACAGTAGCGGTAAAACAAGAATTAATTAGTGAACCATCGCCCATCTCCCGAAAACGCCGGACCACAGCTGTTGTTGAGCAAATCAAAATTGAGAATGACGACCCTTCAGACGTGAAGGCAGTTGTCAAGAAGAAGAGGAAAACTCGGAGATGAAACAATAGATGTTGTACAGAGCGAACACTATGTAATAGCGCCTCTTATTGGAAACGGAGCAACTTCGCACCATCCTCGACATTCCTCTCTACAAACATCTTCCCGGCTAATTCTTCTCGAGACCAACCAGCTTCAAGGACACGTCATATAACTTTTTCGCGTCCTCCTCGTGATACGCCCAAGGGGCACGGCCGGGACCTACTACGTCTCCTCCTTCAACAAGGCCTTGACTAACTTGACACTCTTCAAGATACTTACCGCCCTTGCCCTCAAGGTCTCGGCTCACAGCTGCCCACGTCGATGTAGCCGCTCCTTGTTCTGTGTTTTGCATATACCTTCCAATGAGTCAGTAATATTTTCCGGGACATGGAAGGGCTAGCTCAGGAGCTGTTTCATGGTTTAGAACATGGACAAACCGAGGAATTCAGTTCTTTCTCGGATGTGGCTACTAATAGCAGGAAGTGCATGCTACCATGAGAAAGGGGTTTTCGCATTCCACTCACATTAAGCTGTGTATGGGTCCATTTTTGAGTACGACCAAGTAGTCACGCATATTTGGGCGCTGTAACCCCGTGCGTATACCTCCAGGGTGAATGCTCCAGCCGTGTAGGCCTTGCGCTCCATATCGTCTTTCAATCTCATTGGCCATATACCTAGGCATTTCAAGTCAAGATTAGTCTCCTGTCACCTAAAAGAGCGACATAGGATTGGATCCTTTCGCGCCGAGTAAAGGTTTTTAGCTACTAACACATTTGCAAGCTTGCTTTGCCCGTATGCAGCCACCCCGTTGTATTTTCGCTTCTCAAAATTCAAGTCGTCGAAATTGAGCGGCGCAGTACGATGCGCCGTTGACGAGACGGAAACAACACGCGAGTGAAACTCAGGTGATGAAGAATGCAGGAGCGTCGGCTTTAGAAGCTCAAATAAGAGGAAATGGGAGAGGTGGTTTGTCGCCAGGTGTACTTCGAATCCATCCTTCGTGCGGCCTTCGGGCACGAGCCTTACCCCTGCGTTGGCGATGAGGATATTGAGCGTCTGGCTTCTCGACAAGAATTCCTCTGCACAAGTGCGCACGCTGGCCAAAGATTCAAGGTCAAGTTTCAGAAGATGGACCCTGCCACCGTCTAGAATACCCCCGAGCGCTGTTCTGGCCTTCTCCAGGTTGCGCGCTGTGAGAAACAGCGTGGCGCCGGTAGCCTTGAGGGCTCGCGCAGTCTCGACGCCGAGGCCTGACGAACACCCGGTGATAAAAACAACCTTGTCGCTTAGGGACCCTTCGCGCTCCTCATCTTTGATGATTTGCAGTGCCGTCGGTCGCGCGTCCCCCGGACCTTTGGGGTTCTTGTGAGCTTCTCTGTAACGACCCTCCATTTGCGGTGGTTTGTAGATCACAGGTAAAAGATAGTTGGTTATTGGACGGTATGTAGTTAATGTTCTCGATGTAGCTCGGTTTGAATGCGCTGGTCTTGGAGGCAGGTTTTCATGGATAGTCCTTGGTAACCATAATATTCCGCCCAAGCAACGTCGTCTTTATATAATTTCTGGCCAGCCATATTCACCCTCATATCGGCGTCTCCCTAACTAGAAACGCAGGTGACTCTGTGATGCTATTTTGACGCGAAATCCCACCAGACCTTAGGCTACAACACTGTCATTTTCTAATACAAGGCATATTCAGATGGAATATGCTGACGCCATCTCTGTCAATAGCTTACGGCGCATAGATGGGTCGTTCGACTCAGAGACAGAGGGCGGAGTTATCGAGTATCGCGGCCGCGGGGCGGGATCCCTCAACTTTCCGCGTAGTTACATCCAACACTCGTAATCACAGCAAATAAGATTCAAATCAATTGGAACTTTTGGTGCCAGATACGATAAATCTCATATTCTTAGTTGGTAATCTCTACTAAGAACTACTTCATTCTCTTTCGCGATCAATGGCGGTGAAACACGCGATTGTAAAACTTCCTATTATGTATGTTGTCTATTACGGTCTCATGATGCGCGTTGCAAATCGACCAGATTATATGAATGATATTCCAGTCACCTTATACGCTCAATAGAGCTTTAATCATCTCGTCTGCTTCATGCATCGCTTGCCGGATAACCACTACATGTAATAAAGTACCAGTTTACGGATGCTATGACCAAGTGCCGCGTCCATCCCACAGACCTTCCCAGGCAATTTACAACTAATGCATGTTAGCACAGCCAGAGCTACGTGAGGCAGGAGACAGCCGCCATATCCTTACGTCGCCATTCTCATGGGGGTTTACACTGATGTGCAGGAACTGGTTAAGTAGTCGTTAATGATGCTTCTCGAACCTGGCAAGGGTATCTATAGGATTAGAAAGCATGGCGACAGTAGATCACCTTTATGCAGGTAGAACGATTCGAAATATACCTTGACATGTAGCGTATAATCAACAGCTCCGTATAAATCCCGTTGGCAATGCCTTTGATACAATATAATCAATGTTCATTCACCGTAGGTGAGTTCAGTACCTTTTAGAATAAGGCTATAACTTTTCATTCTCAAAATAATGTTATTGTCTTATGGTAGGGGCTATGACGTGAGGTGAAGATCCTAACATAGGGATATAAAGGACTTTTGTTATTGTTGCGCAAGTCGTCCTGGTTGGCTATCTTACGCGCCAATACCAGAGACAGAGTGTTTAGTAGTCCCTTGAAGCTTTAGTGTAACAGTAGATGCGCGTTTAGTCTACCGGATATGGGCAGATAGGTGTTGGCGTTACATAGAAGTTGTAAGCGTGGCTAATTCAAAGAATATGAACAGTAGAAACCTATCGAACTCCGCTGGAGTTGTTTCCGGCTTGGGATGCATATCCTCTCGCTGGCGATTAGCTCAAGCCTCGTGTCTTTCACCCATGGTCCTCTTCTCATAAGATACGTACAGTCGGCTGTAGAAGTCCGAAAAGTTTCATTGTGCAGCTACTTGGGAGATCTCTAAAGAGATCAGAGATTTATTATTACGACTGGATTCCTGTATACATATATTGGCAAATCTTTCATTGCGGCGTCATTTGTTTTAACGTATCCCGGAAACATACAGTTGTTTACCGAACCCGTAGTTTACTAGTGACCACCATTCGTAGAACACAATATCGTCCATTCTGGAGAGCGAACGTAACAGGCGGAATAGATATATCCTATTGATAGCTCCATCCAAAAGTCTAGAGCTACCATGAAGTGTCGTGTTACCTCTCATGCCCCCTTGGACTCTGTCGACGGCATACGAAGTTGGGGTAAGAACACCCGTAGTGTGTCGAATAAATTAAATCATACGACAGGCTATGCACGAAGGCTGAAGCCATTCTTATCAATTATTCTACTCCACAAGAGTTCTAGATGGTACGAGTTTTGCTCAAATCCATACATATATTCGTACTACATAAAATGAATCTGCATGAATGTTCCTGCTTACCCAATGGAGCCATACCCGAACTATACGGTATACTCTTTCTGGATTTCAGCATTATGTTCTATAGCACACACCTCGTTGTTGACGCATTTTCTCGTTCGCTATTTTACCAGCCTACCTAGTAGGACCAATGAATCGTATTCCGTGCCTACGGTAATCTCAAAGATAAGCCATGTTGTTGAACTACCTGCTCAATACCCTAGCCATACAGGAATTTTTAGCATGCTAGTTAGTCTCCAATCCCCTTTCCCATAGGACCATTAGCATGTAGTGCCTGCGATGACCTTTATCCTCTTATACGGACATGATCTAGTTAAGAAGAGGAATCATACATTGACTAGTTCGAACTTGACAGTAGCAGTACCTCAAGCAGGCATATCTAGTTAAATAGATGCTGATTGTGGGCAACGCTTCTTTGCACAGCATCGAACGTCTATTAGCTCCCAACTTTTATAAGGTTGTCTTAGCAGCCGGTACTTGCTACGCTAATATCGAGTAATCAAACTACTTGAGGTAGGGATGAAGCTTGGTCAATAATATCTAGGTTAGGGTCCTACTAAAGTCGTCAAGTTGGGAAAGGGTGATCTCGGCATAGATAGGTAAGTTCATGCATGCAGCAAATGAATTCACTAATCCAGGTTCCTTAGCCCTGCAGTATACAGTATGTACTGGGATGTGCATGTAAGGAAGAAAGAGGAAGGATGAGAAGAAAGATCTTGCATGCATTTTTTCGCTTCCTAGTCGTTTGGCGAACTAATATTTGCCGGGGGCTAATTTTCAAAAGACATTTTTCTTAGAATAGGGGTGGCAGCTATCTACTTAGTTTACTGTTTTACATCTTATCGAACTTCAAGGGCTGGACTCTACGAGTTTATGTAGCACCATTGTTTAACAGTCCATTGATTTAGAGTCTGATAATTCGAACTGCGTATTGTCTGCCTGTCTGAGCTAAATGTTCTGGAAACCGGGAATAGCGGAAAACTTGCAAGTTGATATCTCAAGGCAAGATGTCAAAACCACTTCTTGACCAAGGTAAGTGTTGTAGTTATGAGGCTTCACCGACTTACTAAGTCTCGATATCAGCACTGTCTGCGCGTCACGGGGTAAAGGAGGCATAGCCTCGATAGCTTGTCCTCAGTTATATGTTCATATAGTAAAGCGACAACAACTTACTACTTACCTTAACGCTAACAGCAACAGCTTGGGCACTAAGTACGTGGCCATCCATGTAGCGTGCACCCCAGAGAATTACCTAAGCCTATCGGCTAGTGTACTATGTAGTAGTGTAGAAACCGTTTATTAGAGTAATACACTACCTTGGAAAGCGAGGTTGTTGGTGGAGAAACAAATCCCACGCAAGTCAGTAAGAGTAATACAGAAAAAGGTAGGTGCCGGTAGTGATAGTACTGGAAGGCGACGCTCGGGATTCTCCCATTCAGCCAGTGTAATTACATACCTACTTAGTAAGTATGTGTGAGTGGGTGGAATCCACCTCCCTTACCTCCGGTTCGCGGTCTCGCAACAAATTCCTGCAGCTCACGAGTCTTACACCACTGTAGTCAGTCGACGTGGCCCGGACCCGGACGACCTATGGCTGGACCGTGAGGAGAGGGCAATGGGTGCCCGATGACATTTGGGGAAGGCCATTCTCCGTCACAGTAGAGACACTCGGTGCTCAACGTCGGTGGGATTAAATCTGGATGACTTGTTGTTCGATGATGCGAACTATACAACCCAAGGATGAACCACTCATTCCAGCCTGGTTGATATTCGTATTCGTGATACCTACGGAACAGGTATCACATGGTAGCTCCCGATGCTCGAATGATGCATCTGCACGGCATACCATCGATGGGTCCTTATGTGCATGTCACAATCAGTGTACTGGGCAGGGCTAGTATGCAAACCAGGGATTCCGTGGCTCTGGCTGTGATGAAGTTGAGGCAAGGAAAGTTAGCAGAGCAGCACAGCACAGGCCAACAAACATGACGATGCTTCACTAACATGTACAGATAGGACCTCGTAGAAGTGATCTAGATTGGGTTCGTTGCACGGTAAGCTCTTGGCCTGGGGCTTTAATGGACTACTCGCTACTGTAGTAGATACCGTTGGTGTGTGAACCATCTGCGAGGCTGCAATCAAAGCATGCAGCTCATCCTTGCGTGTGTGATTCCTGGCCATCGAACCACGAAGGTCGGCGACCACTCTGGGACCCGTAATTTTCTCTGCCTTCCCGTATTCCTTTGGACTATTCAGGTAAAGGCCATGATGGCGGAATATACACTACTTAGACTTGGGGGCAGTACTTGGATGCTTTTTTGCTTAGCTATTTTCTTTTTTCTCCGCTGCTTTCCCGGTTTTTGCTTGTTTGCAATGGTGCTGCCGGGTTAGTGTTAGCCTTCGATCTGACGCGACACTGAGTCGGAGCTGTAGATAGCGTCTTCCTCTAGGCCGTGCACTACCGTATAGTCTATAAGGTGGATGGGAAGTACGGTACGTTACCTACATGCTGTGTTTGGATGTGGTTGGGACAGAGTCAGGAACATGGTGCAGACATACTCCTTCGTAAGACTGAGAGTACTTCGTAGTTGGAGAGCTGTGCCAAGTCTCAACCTCACCAAACACCATGCCGAAACAATCTCACACTAAGAGTAGTGCAATGGATTGCGTACGCGTACATCTAATGTAAGTCAACAGTAGGAGCGTAGCGTGGTGGGTAAGTTATACATGTAGGTATGAGGTATGCATCTGTAAGGATGCCGCGTCGTATAGTGCCAAGACAGGGCGAGGGATTCGGGGACGTTGTCGCGGCTCTTCCTCGCTTCAATAAGAGCAGCCACGACAAGGCTACATATACAATATATATACGATACATATGATACATACGATATACACAATACAGGCTCATAATATCCATATCGACTTTCATCTGGCCGCCCAAGGGTCCTCTGTCTGCAACGGGGACGTGCTGGCCGACGCAGCATCGTGGCGCACCCCGGTGCTGCCGCTGCCGGTGCGCAGCCGAAGCCGACAGCGACACCGCTACACTCGGGTCATGACGATGGGAGGGAAGACTGTTGCCGAGTACCTAGTGGTATGAAGATTCAAGCGGTAGGTACCTTAGATACCTAGGTAGGTACCTTAGACAGGTAGTTAGTGCTATGTAACACTGCACTCCGCCGGCATTCGCTCGCTCGAAACGGGGTGGAATTGTACCTGCCATGGGAGATGGACAGCTGGAAAAGAACAAGTGCAGCGTTAGCGACATGGTGGCCGTCCAAAAAGGTCATGATCGGCGCCCGCCCACAACGGCTCATAGTTTGGTTGTGCAGCCTACCTAGGTACTGGTACACGTTTACCCGCAGTACTACGTACCTACTACCATGTACGTATGTAGTACTATGTAGTAGACAGCTTGA